AATAGACACCTATAGGCCTTGTACGAAAGGATATGAAAAGTCTACAAAGCTAGCTATAGGAAGTGTGTCAATATACACCTATATTAGTCAGATCTAAATTAGATCCAACTCTAGGAACGAATAACTACTAAAGAGGTGGCGGATATTTGCTCCGACCCAGCTCCAGGATGGGTCCGATACTTAGCAGTGTTGTAACATCATTACACCCGTTAGAGTAGCACGTCCCATAATTCAACTTTAACAGTCGATATTCTATTCCATCTAAATCAGTATTAAAAGTCTTAAAAGTCATTGTAATGTGTACATACGCAGCAGGCAGTTTTAGCAAAAATAACCTGGTCCACATCGCAGAAAGTTGTGCAAGTCTTCTCATCAGTCTGTCCGTCGCCGCAATAGTAGATTATTTCTTTGTTACCATACTCATAACACTTTAACACTGTTAGTAAAAAGATTCTCTAATATTAGCGTATATTGTGCCGGTGTATAGAGTTACTAGTAACTCTATGCACTAAAAAAAATACATCTAGAAAGAAAGGAGCACTCAGAACTCGAGAGAGGTCTATCTTTTAATAGCTAAGCTATGTTTTCCTCATCGTAAGTCTGAATAGCAAAGACAATAGAATATCGCTCAGTATAATTAAGACTTAAGACTTACAATGCCGCATTGCTCATACGCTTGAATAGTAGGGATCCATGATACCAGAGCGAAAAAGGTAATAGAGAAAGATTTCATCTTTGCCGAATCGTCTGTAAGATTGAAAATCTAATTGAACATTTGCTATGAAGTAGATAATGAACAAAGAAAAGTCAGTGTTTAATATATATCTCTTTAGGCTAGCTATTAAAAAAAATGATAACGTAAAATAGTAACGCAGCTCTATGTTAGAAGTGATTGTTATTGGTACGGAAAGTGATGGAACATGCACACGCAATATCTCTTCTAAGTAGTCGTACTAACAAATAGCTAAAGTTAAACCCCGCTTCTATCCCCTTATCTGATCCTGCGACTTCCGCATCTATCCAAGCATCTTACAGAGGTGCCTTTCAAAAGTTCTTGCGGACAGCGATCATCTGTATTACTACCGAAATACCACCGAAGCTTGGTCAGATCTGTCCCGCCGCCCCTCCTTGTACTCATTACCACCATCAAGTCGAATTATNACAGAGGTGCCTTTCAAAAGTTCTTGCGGACAGCGATCATCTGTATTACTACCGAAATACCACCGAAGCTTGGTCGGATCTGTCCCGCACCGTGACCCTACTTAGTTATTTATAACTATTGTTATTTATTCTTACATACGCTATTTTCATATGACGAAAGTATTTTTTAACCCCCTTAATTTACCTTCTTTACAATATTAATAGAGTTTCCATCACTATTACTATTTCGCATAGGACATGTGTTTAGACAAACCTTATTAAAACGTCCCTAAATAGCTCCAATTTTCCATCTCGATGCCCAGTAATTATAGTCAAGCTTACGTCCTTGCCTTTCGCATAGCATAACTTGTAATTTCATATAACATAATTTTCTCAAGCGTACATTTTTAACATGATGGTTCTAATAATTGCAAGATTCAAGAGTAACACCATGTACACATGTTCATCGCTCTGCCTTTCATACAGCTACAGTGACATTGTTGAAGTGCTCCATACATTTCTCTAACGGCTGTATCACATTCCTGACAATTTCACCCCTCCAGTTCTTTTCTTTGTCTGTTACGCCCGTAAAGCACCACTTGACAGCTGTCGCATAATCTTCTCCACTTTCGTCGCTCACGCTGCGTGACCACTTCAAACCGGCCATGACGTCAAAGGCATGTTTAGTGGCGGCGTCAGCGTTTGGTGGGTGTCTTTTGCTTACAGCATGATCTTCCAGACGACAACCAAAACATAACTCTAAAAGAAGTATGCCGAGTGCATAAAAGTTACAACCATCCGCCGAAGATTCAGTGGAAGAAAGGTGAGCGTGATTTTGTACGAAGCCTTGTCGGATAAAAGGCTCGCCGCACGGAAGCAATTCGTTCCTCTCTTCAGAAGGAAAGAAGATGACATCTTCTTTGCAAAGGCCTGTCCGCAGCCAGGGCGTAGACTGAAGTTGTGCTACCGATGAAGCAACAAGGAGAGCAATCTGGTAGCGTTGGCGCCGCGAAAAAGGGTCTTGAAAGTCACGAGAGAGAACATGGCCAAGTGTTATGGGACCGTTTTCGGGTTGATTCCTTTTCTGGTTCACCGGATGAAGGTGAAAGGCTTCGTCATCATGACTGACGATGCCCATGCATACTTCACACTCTTCGTCGCCTAATCGCCGGCATAACTGGACGTTATGATCAACAAACATATCTACTTGTATCTTTGGTACAGTAGGTATAGGTGGTGCAAATCCCACTCTCTTGCAGTGAGTAGTTGAGGGCAGTTTCGGACCAGCTCGTGTGGGCAAAGGGACCGGCTGGTGTTGGGGCGTCAAAGACTTGATAGTTTCCAGTCTCTTCTGAGACGAAGAACAGCCAGGAATATGACCGCAGCGAATATGTTTCTCGGTCCATGGAGTAACTCCGTGTTCGGAAGGAGCGATAAACATGAAGACGATCTCGAAACATGCTTCGGCCAATGTTCGATGCTCAAGTCTCAAGTTCGCGAAGTGGTATTGCTGGCATGAGCACTGCCACGCATTCTGCAGCGCCTGAAACAGCAGGTTTGATTTCTTGGAAATCCTTTTGAAAGCCGACTCCAGCTCAGAAGCTTTTTTGGTAGCTCCAGGTGCGACATCTTGGAGTGCAGAGACTCTATCGCTAGAGTTCAATAGCTTCTCCAGGCGCTCATTGCATTCTTTTAGCTGACCAAATAGCTCATCCCTGATCCTTTCCCCAACGCTAAACTTCATTCTGAAGAATTCGTAATCCATCTTGCCCTTTGCAGTGGAAATTTTCGAAGGTCTTGCGCCCTGTTGAGGGCTTGGCGACCGGTTGACGCTCCGTCGTTTTGTTTCTGGTAGTGAGAGCTTATCCTGTACATTCTTCTCTCCAAAACATAACTCTTTCTTTAGCTCTTCGGCAATCTCATTCATTTCAGCCATGGTGTCCAGATACAACTGGTATGACTCTTTCAACCTGCGTTCTAGTTGCTTTTGTAACGCCTTATCACTCCACTTTAGACCCCCCGGATTTGCGATGAGCTTCCCAACTTCATCGACATCGTGAAGGAGTGGAAACAAGAGCTCTTTGAGGTTGTTCTTATATACGATTTCATGGAACTGGATATCGCGCTGGCATTTGGTATATTCCTTACGTATCCGCCAGTAAAAGCCGCCGACTTTCGCAACATCACGCCAGTGCTCGATGCCGCTTATGAGTAACGGAAAGGCGCCAAGAACAATACCCGCTACTTCCAGGCCGCTCATTCTGACATTTATAAGGTTCTGTTAAAATGAAAAGTGTAGATAAGACAGTTAGGTACGAGGAGTGGAAATCTCCAACGATGAGGGTGGTGTTCCTTCCCCGCGATTTTGGCCCCACAGGTAGCTTCTGCCTTCTCGCGACCTCTCCATAGCAGCACAATTATCAGAATATTCCCATCATCGACTTCTTGACGCTCTTCCGGAACGACTTCTCGAAATCTGAGCACACCACTGCCTTCTTTTGGTGAACTAGATTCTTGATCACTGGATTATGAGATATGACGCTGTCAGTGTCAGACCAATGCCGCTCCTGCATCGCTATTCTCCAAGAAGTCATTTCTGCCCCACCCCACCCAGATCGCAGCGGCAACAATGCCATAAACCTTCTAATGAGGGAGGAGCTGGACAGGTTCAGTCTTTTTGTTGGAAATATTGGAGCTCTCCATCAACCCGAGTCACCCATGTCCATCGAATCACGACTACAAAGAGCCCATGATGTGCTTGCTCACATTTTGGGTCTCCTAGACGACTTGAAAGAAGTTACTGGAGAACTCTTGGATATTGTCTCTGGCAAAAGAGAAGGATTTGTCTCAGTTGTTGACGGGACTGATGATGAATGTGGAAGAGAGATCAGTGAAGTAAACGAGCTTCAGGAAGAGATCAGTGGGACCGTCACCCGGCTCTTTAGAATTTCAACCCTTATTCAACGTGCAGCACCTACAGATGTTTTTGCGAAAGCTCTCAGCCGTAATAAATATCACTTCAATGACCAGTTCGACATTTCCCATGTTGGCGAAAAATATCCGAAACTTGCCACAAAGGACTCGGCCTGGCTACGTCAACGGCTTGGGAGAGCTATTACGCAAAGAAGGCATTACCTCAGCTACATACAGGACCACCGTGAGAAACTGGCAGATCCACTCAATCACCATGGAAAGTCGGGTGGCTCGGCCTACAAACCTCAGATTCCTAACATCAAGCAGTCGCTGGGTTCGAAGCCAACGCTAGATAGGGAGAGTCTACCTTCCTTCTTCACTAAGGCCACCACTATTGCCACCGAAAATCTCGCGCCTGAACTGAATTTTGCCGATGAATCAGATCCAGATGATGCTCGTTCTTACACAACAATATCCCGCTCGATGGATGGTGATCATGAGGCATGCTCCAATGTTCGCATCCCAAAGCTCGATTCTTTACGCACTGATTATGGGAAAGAGTTCGAATGCCCATTCTGCTTTCGCATCAAAAAGTTCAAGAGTGAGCGTGTGTGGAAAAAGCACGTCTTCTCAGATCTTCGTCCATACGTCTGCACGTTCCCAGACTGTGATTCACCATATTTTGGTGACATCAACAAATGGTTCCAGCATGAAATGACATTTCATCGCGTGAGTTTCGAGTGCTTCCTGTGTTCGAAATTTTTCAACCAAGAGGACAAATACACCCTCCATATAAAACGGGAGCATGATGAGACTTTGGATGATGGTGGGGAACAAGCAGCAAGAGATCTCTCTCGAAAGCCACTGGCTCAGATTCCAGCAACCGACTGTCCTTGCTGCTCTGACTGGTCTACTCGTTTGGAAGAGCAAGTCATTCAAACGAGTGGATCAGCACCTACAGGAATACTGGCTGTTACTCCAACAGTCTTTAAACGTCACCTCGCAGGCCATCTTGAGCAACTTGCGCTTTTTGCAATCCCTATCGGCGTTTCAACTGATGCCAACGATGATTCGAATGCTGCCATGGAGGAGACAAAGAGTAAGCGGACAGATGCGTCAAAACTCTCGGCTTTGACATTTCCAAGCGATCGTGGTGATTTAGAAAGATCAGAATCAGAGTCAGAAATAGATGAGTCCGGGGGCATTCTTCACGCTGATATCCAGCCTTCGGAAAGCAACACTAGTGCTGGAATGAAGTACCGAGTATTTGGGAAGAAAACACGGGAGAAAATCGAACAGCTAGAAAGATTGACCGCCCTTGCGGAGGCCCTGAGCCGCTCAGGAACCTGGAGGGACGCGCATGCGCTGTATTCACACGTGATAGAGACTAGTAAAAGAAAATTCGGATCAGAGCATCACAACACAGTGAGAAGCAAGACCGGACAAAAGACTGCCTTCAAGGATTACAGCCAATTCTTCGCGGCGGAAGAAAACCGGTTGCGAACGTCCGGGGTCGATAATAGGATGCCAAGCGCCGAGCTTTTGGTAACTGTTTTCAATCTTAAAAACATCGGGACAATACTATTTGAGCAGGAGAGATATGTCGCAGCAGAAATAGTGTACAGAAAGGCACTGATGGCATCCGAAGACACGCTGGGGGACGAGCACGAACAAACGATTTTAATCATCGCGAACTTAGCATACGTGACAGATAAACTAGACAAGTTGGAAGAGGCAGACAATTTGTACAACAGATGTCTAGAGTTGCAACGGAAGAAGTACGGATGCTATCATCAATCAATGCTTCCAGTCGCGCGTCGATGGGCGCTCATGCTTGCAAGGCAGGCGAAATTCGTAGAGGCAGAAACTATCTACAAAGATGTAATAAAGGGGTATAAAAAGACTCCCGGAAATGATGATCAAGGATTGCTTTGGTTCGAACACAGCCTAGCGTCACTTTTAGTTGGTCAAGGGAGGTATGAAGAGGCGGAATTGTTGTGTAGACAGTTACTGTCAATATACCAAGAGAAGGACTGGCATCAAACTGAAGAAGCGTTTTTGGTAAGAGAAACTCTAGTGGAGGTTCTCGCCTACCAAGAAAAGCATGATGAGGCAGATTTTCAGTTCATGGAGTTGTCACAGCTGTGCCTGGAAAAGTTGCAGGAGGACCATAAAAAGGTCCAGAGGTTGATCACTCATGAACAGTATGAGGCGGCAGAGGATGTTTGTCAAGAAGCTCTGTTAGTATTTAGAGGCAATTTTGGAATTGGAGATGGAGATTTAGTGCCATTGTTGCGGGAATTGGGCATTGCCCTGGTACATCAGCAAAAGCTTGAGGAGGCGGAAAATGCCTTTAGGAAAGCACTGAAAATATACGAACAGCCTTCTCAAAAGATGGACGCAATCATGCCAGATGTCATGGGAAGGCTGGTCGATGTACTGGAGATGCAAGGAAGACTCGAAGAGGTAGAAGATATGAGATTACGGATGCTAGAGGTACTGGAGATTCTAGAAGCGTAAGAGGCTATAGAGGCTAGAAAGGCTACAAAACTAGAGAATGTAGATTTGAAAGTGTGGTGTGAGCGACTCAGGAGCTTATAGCGGCGCAAGCGAGTCAAGATGCTAGAGCGGTGGAAGTGGCTAGAGAGGTGCAAACGGCCCGCGAGGCCAGAGCAGTGCTAAAGATGCGGGAGCTGATACCTTAGCTCGTGGCTGATGGTTCGGATTTCGATTTGGAACATGATAACAGCGATGTTGCATGAATTGAACTTTAACACTGCGTTGCAGAACTGGTTGGATAGAAACCGTCGTCAAAAGCGCGAACAATACAAAAAAAACTTCCCTGCACACTGATGTAGCCCAATATCGTAAGCGCAAGCTAGTACATCAGTTGACAAAGACAAGTAAACTTGCTTAATGAGACAGGTTACATTCTTCGTTTGTAAAATTTGCTGAAGTGCTTAGAATAGAATCCAAAGATGCTGAATGCGATGGTTTGTAAGATCCTGTAAGAAAGTAGTAAGATTTAGAGGTTACGTCTGTTCCTCTTCTTTCTAAATAAAACCTAGAAACAGAACATTTGTTTGAAATCCATGTTGGACAGGAAACTCGCATTTTCTATTCATCATTTTGCAATTCAAAGGTCTTGAATTCAGTATCAAGCAAGCTTCCTCCAAAATTCTCCTAAAGACCTACTTGAACTCCAGACAAAAAGTGCTATACTTATACACACAAGAAGAAAATACTAAAAACTAGAAGAAACCTAACAATTCTAACTTTTACATACAAAAAAAGAAAATCAAACTCGCCTCCTAACTTTCCCGTAAATTAAAACCCCTTCATTCTATCAAACGCATCTGCAAACTCGGTATAATCCCACACCCCATCATCCTCCTCTTCGTCCGGCGCAAACTTGGACCCCACAAACTCACCCCTCGCAATCCTCGTCGGCTGCCTCCCCATTTCCAAATGCAAACACGCCTTCAGCCCCTGATCCACATCGGCCCAACAGCACCCCAGACTCATCCACAGCGCCACAATCCCTACCCGCTGCTCCCTCGTCTTATTCCCGCCTACGGCAAAAAACCCCGGCCGCCACAGCTCATCCCCCCGGGGCGGCTTGAGCGAAAAAGTAAGCGACTCAAGATTGGGAAAGCAATCCAGGAGCGCCTTGCCACTCTTGAGGATCTCGGGCCAAAACCGATTCTTCCAGCAGTACTTGACATGCTCGAGACTGCGGTCGAAAATGCCGCGCGGACTGGCTTCCATGACAATGTGGCGGACGAGTAGGTTTCGGTGCGCAAGACTGAGTTCGAGCAGGCGGGCGTTCCATGAGGAGAAGACGTTGGCCGAGTAGAGGATGGGACTGCTTTCGGCGTTGAGCTGGCGGCACGTGCGTAGTAGGGCGACGGGGAGGGCGCCGTTGACTAGGGGTTGCGGGGCGCTGGGGCCGCGGCCGGCGTGCTGGATGTTCATTGCCCGGGCGACGAGCCGCGCGGCTGTCGGGTCACGTGTGTAGATGAGGAGGGCGCCTTGGATGCGGAAGGCGAAGTCGTAGACTAGGTCGCGCAGTTCGCGCGGGAGGTCGAGGAAGCCGATTGCAGTTTCGTCTTGGTTGTGGGATTGCGTCCATGGTGGTGTTGTGCCGTTTGGGGGATACTTTGGGTGCTTTTGGTGTGGTTAGTTGGCCCAACTTATGTCCATGGTTGTAGTAGTAGTTGGGCGCCGAATCGTTCCGGCGGTTTGAATAGATGGGGGTATACGCACTTGGAGCGCCATCTTGACGTAATGCTCCTTTCCGATACAATGAAACTGTCAAGGCAGGATTTTGATAGAAATCATTTATGGATTGATGTTGCGTGCAGAGCTGAAAAGGGCCACACGGAGGATTTCTTGATTACATGCAGTATTATTGAGCTAACCCCCTTAGGAAGGACTAGAGCTGAGACGCCCTACAGACCCTAATTGGCACGGAATAATTGTATGCCTTGCATATTTGTACACGCGCACGTTTGGCTACACCCGTGGGCCGATATTTTTAGATAAGAAATATATTCAACGTGTCCAGGAGGTTTCATCTCACGCCACTTTCTACGTGTACCACAACATCACGCAAACTTAATATTCATCAACACCCCTTCCCTGTCCCAAGTTCCCCTCCAAAAGTCCTTCCACCAGCGCCACAGCCTGGATCTTCACCTGTTTCTGAGTTACCTTCTTCCTGAGATCCTCCTTTTCTCTTTGTAACATTCTCAGATTTTCCCTTGCTTTATCCAATTCAACCTCGACATTTCTCAGACGTTCATCGTGGTCCGTAATGCTATAATTCACTTTCTTATAGGTGCGATTCGGTCCGATGTAGTCGCCATCCCGCACTTTACCTCGTTCTATTCCAGGAGCGCGGTTCACACTAAGAGAGGATAATTGGCTAGTGATGTCTCGGACCTTGTACCATGAGCCAGATGATGAAGGCGGGGACGAGTCAGGAGAAAAGTGCGGGCCAGCATGAGGATGATTATTCGAATTGTGCGCTGGCCGATCGGCTGTATACCAGCCTGCAGTTCTGAGCTCGGCACGAGCTTTATTAACATCGTTCTCTAGTGCTCTACTGACTTCAATAGCATTGAAAAAGCGTGACCGGTAAGTACTTTGCTGACTTTCAAGTTTCAGCAGGTTGGGTGGCTCTATGGTACTGTGATCCAGCAATTCGCCGTGGTAACGACCAGGGCTCGATGTATCAGGGCAACGGGTGAGAAACATGCATGCCCAGACTTTGAGATCAGGGTCCAGTTCGCAGCCTCGGTAAATCTCTTTGAGAACAGCCACAGGGTCCTCATACAGGACACCGTATGTGTTCATGCGATCCAAGGCATATGTCTTGCAATCTTCGAAGCCCATATATAAGCCGAGCTTGGCAAATCGTATGTCGGCTAAGACCACAACTGCTTCGACAGATACATTCTTGGACTTGATAATAGGAGGGGCTTTGAGTCGGACATCTCGAGTGACTGCAGCACCAGCAAAGATATGCGGATCAGGAGGATAAGAGCCAGTATGGAGGAATTCGAGAAGGCGCATGAACGTGCCCTCCGAGACCTCCTTGGGTACCACGAGAAAGCGACTGCCAGCCCTATCAAAAGTTCTCTTGACACTCGGAAACTGGTCAATCTTATCTATGCCAACAAGGACCGGTCGATCTTTGAAAATCAACTCGACAGACTTTGAAGAAGAACCGAGGTGCGCCCGACGTCCCTTCTCGAGCTCGTGTCGTCGAACATTGTACACCTCAACCTCAAGACCTCGAATACTTGGTGTTAGGTCAAGCATTGGCTGGCAAATCTTTTTATACCACTCTTCCACCTCGCTATCGGATGGTCCGCATATGTCACTGTGACAATGGCTACAAAACCACTCGTTCCTATCTTCGTGCTCGATTTCGTCTCTTCTCCGCGGGCGGTAGTAGTCGTCAACATGAAAGCGTCTGCTGGGCAAGTGATGTCCATAATCCAGGGTTGTAAGTTCTCTACCATGGACAGCTGAAAGCCTCCGGATGGCGAGCATGATCTTGCCGAAATGTAAACCGTGTTTCAGACGCCCAGAATCCATCTCATTCTCCTTTTGCTCGTCGCAGGCCACAAGAAAGTATGCGTGGATCATGTGGTGGATCAACGTAGCGACAATATCCCTTGCCTGGCCATGTCGGATGACATCTTGACTAAGGATAATGGAGATGCGCTTAACTTCCCGATCGAGTCCCCATCGGTGTGTGTAAGTAGCACCAGAAATCTCAGAGTCGAATCTGTTGATATCGAGAGAGACTGTGTTGTTCAAGTATCCAACAAACAGAGCTTGGTCGAGTTTGTTGAAGATTCGAAAAGGGATTTTTTCGCTCGAGCCGTTCTGGTGGAGTGCTACTGCTCGTCTGCAAATGTTCATGAGTGATTCAGCTGCATCTAGCCAACGTTGTTCCAACTGGTCGACGAGGAAAGCCACAGCCCAGTCAACGTTCCATTTCAGGTCTCTGTCACACCGCAAATAGGGGTCTTGTAGTTGCAATGCGGTGTTCAGTAACGGATGGCCATAGTCGTGGGAATCAAAAGGTACATACACCTCCGATTGTAAATCAGGCAAGGGGGAACGGGAGAACGCTTCTTCGTCGACGAAGCTACCGTCGAACGGAAATAGCGCCAGAAGGTCAGTAGAACTCAACGACATGAATTCAAGTGGAAATGGCGAGGTAAATCGGTGCATCCAAAAATTGCCCAGAATCTTAGTGCGCATAGGTGACAGGCCGCAACTATGCCTATATAGTCAAATGGAGTCGATGATGACAGTGTTTGACCGTTGCATATACAACGCTTGAGATTGCTTTTCCCCGGCGAGGCTCCTCAGACTGCGCTCCCTTAGTATCCAATGGTTACCGGCTTTGAGGAAGAGATGATACAAGTGCTGTGGTAAGCCGTTTGCCATGGGCATTATGGAAGATGGAGCCTTTGAACAGTCGAAATGAAATGGTTATCCATCTCATTGGCCCCTTTATCAAACAATCGAGCTAATTCCACGTCAGTGTGACATTTGTGTCTGTTCTCAATGAATTCCAGAACGCTCAGGCATGCCACGAGAGCAAGGTGTCAACGCCAGCATTGTCGCACCGAGCTAGCCAACACACCTCAAGCTACACAAGACCAATTGCTGGATCTATAGAGACGTTGGCAAAAGGGCGCTCCTTTTGCCCATCTTGAAGCAGACCTGGCAATTGTGCATGTTAGTAGAATTGTGAAATTTGAAAGACACGGAAGCGGGCGGATAAGAGGTAAGGATGGTATAGTGTGTAGCTAACGAAGCCTGCAGCAACACCAGGTGCGGCTCCAATCATAGAACAAAAAAATAACAGATGGGATATACAAAGCACGTAAGAGGAGCGAGAATGAATGCGCATGAAATGCTGAAGCGCCTGACCATTAGCCGAATCTCCTTCCCCCCGAGGATGTCGTAACACATAAACAAAGACGGGTAATAGGCTTGTCTCGATACGTGGGCACTTGCCACTATCGATGCGGGTAGAACAGCGAACAGGACTCCGGACATGTTTGCGCCGCCACCACTAGCCCTGATTATTAATAACGTGGGCGGTCATCGGGACGACCGTATTCGTCAACAGCCCTTCCACTGACTGAGCCGGGGCGCGAGCCTGGACGAGAGGTCCTTCCGCCACCCTCGCCGTAGTGCTTTCGCCTGAGAGCGGCTAATCGCTTCTTCTTAGTGTGGGCGTTGATGTATGTGCCGATGATGAAACCGACAATGTTGAAGAAGGGTACCCAGGTGGTCTCCGGGAGGAACTGCTGGGCAAAGGCCAGAGAGACGGGCGAGACGACCCAGCTGACCTTCATGACAGGCAAGAAACCAGCCTTGACGGTAGCCTTGACCTGATGGAAGGTGCGCGCGCCGGCAATGAGGGCCATGCAGATCAGGTAGACGCTGTTTTGAATGGGCGCAATCTGGACAGGCACGGGTTAGCATGCCATGCGATGCAATGTGAGAGCGGGCTTGTGCTCACGATCAAGTTGCTAGCAAGAATCTGTAGGACCTTCGCCTTCAGACTCTTGCGGCCCTGGAAAAGTTTCTGGAGCGCGCTGATCAGGACGTGGCCCAAGGGCGCACTGATCAGAGCACCATAGATGGCCATCTTGGGGACACGCGAAGTGAAGTAGTGGCCTGACTTGCTCCGGTCATGGGCAATCCACGAGGCGAGGAACTCCTGCAGGCCGGAGAGGGTACCCGAGGTGAGCATCTTGGTGCGCAATGGGTTGCTCTGCAGCTGCTTGAGATAGGCCTAGAGAGCGGACAGTCAGTTGGAGAGCTCGTCGCAGCGTGTCGAGACGGGCCAAACTCACCGCGAGGTAGCCATTGGGGCCGCCGCCTTTGGTGATGGCCTGGCCGATTTCGTGCATCAGGTCGTCGTTGCCCTTGGAGGCCGCGTCGACGGCGGCAGCCGTCGAGTGGAAGGTTTCCTTGTCGAACTTGACCGACATGGCGGCTCAATGGGATGCGACGGCAGCGGAATGCAGATGGGCGCGTAGAGAAGGTGAATGCGGCGGCCGGGGAAGGTTGTTGTGGGGGAGGGCTGGAGCTGTTGAGCTGACGTGCGGATGGCTGGGGGATGAATGTAAACAGCCTCGGATCCCAGTCCGTGCTAGCGCCGTCGCCCGACGAGGATGCAGAGGCCGTCGAGGCGGAGGTGTCGTGATCTGACACTGCACTACGACCTCGGCTCTCGCCTATCAGCCCTACTCGAAGTACATGGCATGGGATCTGTCGAGGAGCACGCCGTGGGTGCTGCTTGCATAGATAGCAGCCTCGCCTCCAACGCCGTGGCAAATGGCCTAGCTCCTTTTGCAGCGAAGCGACCCAAGAAGCTTTGGCACAGCGGCCAGCTGTTCACCCTTGCTTTTCCTTTGTGTGCCGATGGAAGCGTCCAAGATTGCCCCAGCTGCCGATACAATGGGTCCATCTCGCATCAAACATGTGCCGCCCGCCCCATGGCATCCTTACATCGCCATGCTCGACGTTAGCTGCATGGCTGGAGACTCGGAGACGCGTGCGCATGCGCCTGTGTTTACCTGACTGCATTCCCCGACTCTCTAGTACCACCCCCCACTGCCACCTCACCATGCTGGACGAGACTCCAACGCCTCTCCAACCACGTGTTGCATACACACCGTCATGTCCATCTCTTTCTCGTCCGCGGCTGCAACCCTGATCCCCCCTTTCTCATCTGCTCCTGTTGATCGTCTTTCCGTTGGATTAAAGCAGACACTGGGTGCACCGCCACTGGTTGCGTGGCTGGTACGTCGCTATCACGGCAAACAGTTGAGATGAACGCAGGGACCGTCAATCGTCTGTAGCACGGTAAGCAGCATAAACGCAATGTCAAAACACAAAAGTCCTCTGGGTAGCCGCCCTGGGAAGACACTGTCCGGGCGCGTCATGATTCCCTTTTCCGGTCTTTTCTTTGGCGTTTGACATGACTCTGGAACAATCCAGGCCTCGAGACCCGAATGTTCCTTCTTTTCCCTTGCTCCTTCTTTCACGTTTACAACTACCCTCGTGACCACTCTACCTTCCTCAAAGACTCTTTTCATTACTTCCAACTTGCTGCATCCTCACCGTCTTTTCGCCCGACACCGACACCTGGGACCGACACCTCATCTCCTCACCCGCCCGCCCGCCAACCCCACCATCCTTGGCCATGGGGAAACGCACGCAAACGACAAACTGCACTCATGTAGACATGGACCGTGTCTACGGGCACGATCAGCAGTGTTCTGTTTGTGGCTGCTCATCCTCCCTCGGTTTCCTCTATCAATGCAAACAGGACAATGAAACAGAGCACCTCAGCGATCTGATATCGCGAAACACATCAAACATCATGCCAGTCAAATCGAGGTTACGGAAAGAGCTGGAGAGAGCTGGGCTGAGCGAAAGTATTATTACTGCCGCAGAGAGCGGACACTACACCGATCAACAACTTCAGAAACTGAAGCAACTGAAGCGCGATCTGCAACATACCATCATCGACGTGCAGCAGGCTGATCAGGCCAACGATGCCATATCCAGGCTTATGGATATGGCAATGGCACCTTGTGGCACTGATGGTGCCATGAGTAGCCTACTCCCTGCAAATACGGTAAGTGGACATGTGCCGGGTTATCACATGCAAGATAATTGCCGTGATAAAGTCAGACGTTCCTAACAGACGCCCAGGAACCTTCGGGATGTAACTTCAAAGCATGCCATGGATGCCGCCCCTATTACCTGGATCGCGTCTACATTTCTTTTGGAGCCGTCATGGCGGGCGAGTTCCCACCCTTGACACGAGCAGACATTGGAAAGTTACCCGTCAGGCCCGCTGCAACCATGCGCAACATCGGTATGAGAAGTCGGCCACTACCGTCGTCCAGGACGCCCAATGCCACACCATCCACAAGGGCGACCTTCAATTCCCCCGCCACGTCGACTAGCCTCCGCCACTCGCCATCATCAGACACGACCGACTCCAGTGCCGCCACATTCCAGACATCGCAAACCGACCTCGACGAAATCGCAAATCAGCGCCGTCCCCGCCTCAACTTTTACAAAATCGGCCGTCTCCCCTCCAACAACCCGCCATCTACCCGCCCATCCCCCCTCCTCCCCCAAGGCTTCAAGACGACAATCCAAGGCATGTTCCGCTACAACCGCGACCGCAGTTCCACGAGCACATGCACCACCTGGGACACGGCAAACTCGACCTCCACCTCAACCAGTTCTTGCAACACAACCCGCGTGCGCCGCACCCGCCGAGAAAACAAACATCTCAACCACCACCCTCAAATCCCGCCCACATCATCATCATCCTCAGCAGACAGCGCCATAAGCACAAACTCGGCCTTCAAACTCTATCCCCTGGAAAAAGACCCATTACATACCCGCGTCGCGTCGACGGGGAGGACGCACACGGCGCGAATGCACATACCAGATGTAGCTACGATTACGCTGGCAGATCCGGCGTCACGATTGGCCAAGTCGGGGGCTGTGGTCAGGACGAGGGAAGTTGCTAGTGAGGTGCCGGGACGGGGGAGGGGGATGCAGAGTGTTATGACGCAAGTTTGAGAAAAAAAAGACGTTTGGTTTATTGTGACTTTCTTTTTGGAGGGGGGGCAGTTGGCAAAAGGGGTGGTGTGGGGGTCTTTGGACGAGTTGGGTGGGAGGGGGTTTTTTTTTCTTCTGAGGTATTAGCACTTGCATACTGGTGACTACTGGGGTAAAGGGATAGTTTGGGTTGCGGAGGTTAGGAAAGTCGAGTAACGATTCATGCCAACTCTTTTTATCTTTATTTTTATTTTTTCTCCTTTTCCTCATGTACCAAGGGTGAACGTGGTGAAGTGAGAATCTGTAACTCATGGTTTAACGTTTTTGTTTCTCTTTGGATAATATGCCAGGCCTAAGTGAAAAAAAGTCTGATATTATTTGTCCCCGAGACGCAGATTGGAAAGGTTGGATCTTGGGTCTCTTTCGCGGCGTAGAGAGAACAGTAAAAGCTTGCTATTTATACAAAGAGTATCTGATGAGTTGATGCTTCTTTTTCAACACTTAGTCAGGGGGATCCGACTGAGCTTTCTACAGTATTCATCGTGTTGTCTGCCAAAGTAACTTGCCAGGGAGGCTAGGGAAAACAGCGCCTGCATCAACTAGGAGCTTGGCCACCTGCTCATGGCGCTCTAATGTAGCTGCCCGCAACGCGTTGCCGTAGTATTTATCTGGCGCGTTAACGTTAGCGCCCGCGTCTAGTAGTATCTTCACTACCTGCTCGTAGCCGTATGATGAAGCTGCCGATAATACGTTATCATATTTGCCCGCGGCGTTGATGTCGGCGCCTTCATCTAGGAGCTTTTCCGTAATTGTGCACAAGCCCAGCAAAGCGGCATAGTAAAGCGGCATAGCTGTACTTTCTAGGCCTCTGTCTAAGCGTAGAAATGCCCATGGTTGATCTGGGTCGTACAGCCGGATCCATGTGAGATATGCGGGTTGCTCTTTCGACATCAGGCTCATCGCTACCTGGCTCACTCTGCCTGTCTCATCCTTCATTTTCCGAAAATGGCTACTCCAGAACTTTGCTGTGTAACTTGCGAGCGCAAAATCCTTAAGAATGTGCTTTAAGATTGGTTGCTGGAACTGCAGTAGATATTTTAAACAATCCTCTGCTATTGCACTGTGGTATTTTGCCGCTTGTATACTGTACTGATTTGAGTGTCCTTGTTTGATCCTCTCTGACATAAGATACTCCTGGATGGAATAATGCGCTAGAGTGACGATAAGCTAAGCACGATCTGTTTTTCTGTTTCTGTCTGACTTATCTATCGTGATAGTGACAAGACTAGAGTAGATGTTCAGTACCTTTAGCGGGTCTTCTAGCACTTTATCGCGATTAAATGCTAGCTTGCGCGCTACGTTAATAACGATAATCTTAGTAATCTCTTTAACTAATATTAGCTGCTTAGAGAACGTTAGCCACTAAAGGATACGTATCGTAAAGTCGCGATCTTGTTTGCTTATAGTAGTAAGAATGCGGTCGTATGTCTGATCTAGCGTTTTTAGTAAGGTAGTTAATGACTTCTAAAGTATTGCTCGATTACGACACTACGCTAACGTGTTAAGCTAATATGTAGCCTATTAGAACCTACGCTCTCGTTAGCTTTAGCTCCGTAGGTCGCTAGGTATCTAGCGTACATCCCACGAGCTCCTTACGTCAGCGCAGCCTTAATCTCTTCTCTAATAGTAGTATCTCTTTTCTATTTTGCGAGATTCCTATTATTAGATAATCTTTATTAAACGTATCGTCGTATATCGCTATCTATAACGTCTTTTTAAAGATAGACTGTGTCTTCTTCTTTTATATAGCTCTCTAAAGAGCTCTTAATATTCTACTCTTTCTAGCTAGTTATAAGTAGATATAGGTTATTGAGCTACTATCCAGCTACTATCTTAAATAGTATATCTATTAATTCTTGGCGTTGTGTGCATTTATTGAGCGCATCTAGAATAGTATAGACATGCGTAAATTGTTGTATTACCTGCGGTGCTAGCTCTAGAAGTGCGTGTAGAGGCGGCTCTCGATTTCTATTTCTACTTTGTGAGAATAATATATCGACGCTCTTAGGTATTATTACTAAGCGCTGTAGGAGCTGGTAAAGCAACGAGTGGAATATCAGCTCTAGACTTTGCTTCTGTGTATTGTTGAAATTAAAGTAAAAGTACGCAGTTACTATACTGGTATTATTATAATAGTGCTCTAGCACATGCTTGATGACTATAGAGCTTAGGATAGTCTTGCTACATTCTGGGATCCTATACAGCTATAGTCGCGACGCTAGGGTTGTTTTCTATTTGGTAAAGCTTGCGCTATCTAGTAGCTAGAATCTAGTCTCAGCCTACCGCTGCTTATGCGCTTTATGGTAGTTTGTGGATGGGTTAGGGGCTGAAAGCTAGCTGCGGATTTTACTAAGCTTTTCTTCTTGACCTTGGCTGTGAGTTTTAGAATTGTCTGTAGATGTATCTGTGGTACCTTCTGAAGCTTTATCTACCTTTTTCTGTAGCCGTCTTATAGTATGGGTTTTGCCTTCCCTATATATTGGTAATATATAGATACTAAAGATGCCTAGTAGGTAGTATGTACCGTCTTCTTCGCGTGTCGTCTGGCGCTTTGCTGCTTAAGAGAACCGCTTAGTAATATAGAACTTGGACAGGTCACTTTCTAATAAAGCTTTAATAGGTATTCTGGTAATCTTATGTATAATGTGGCTAAGGGACTCCTTGTTTTCTAGCCGCGATTTATTTTTAGAAAAGAACTTAATGGAATAAGGTGCTAGTAGTTCTTAAAGCGTCTATCTTTGGTTGAACTACCTACTCTTTCTAAATGCTGACTTGCTATTACCTTCTAGGTTGTCGTTTTTAATATCTGAAAGGAAGGCGTAGCACTTGTCTACATTTTAGTACTAGTAGAATATAGAGTTGATGGCTTCTGAAAGCTCTGTGTTATTCGTCTTATTAATATAGCAAGTGTCTACCTAGAAATATTCCAGACTATCCCGCTTGGCCTGTTGCGCGCAAAAGAGGAGCTTCTGATATCTCTTCTTACTTTGTGTTATAACGTATGCTAGATTTTTAAGGTCTTTTAGGTTAGTAAATGTTACTTCCTCCCCTTCTTTCTAGGTGTGCGATAGAATCGCGTAAGAGGGGATCTTGTCTCCGATTAAGTCGGCAGTCCATCTAAACCTCCCATCACTCGTAGTGTGTAGTAGCCGCATCAGGCTGAGAGATCAAATGGTGTCCAAGAGCTCACTTGCGTAAAATAGAAAGATCGTAGCTGTTGAATTTGTTGCGAAATTCAAGGAAGGCTTTGCTAAGTAAAAAAACATGCGGAAGGTTGATGTCAGGAGGCTACAGTGTCGCGAGCTGAGTATTGAGCCTGGCTAGATCTTCAACGCCCAGAACAGAAGGCGCAGCTCGCCTGCACAGTGACACGAGGCTAGGTAGGCAAGGCTGGAACCGCATAATCACGTGACAGTCACCGCACTACAAAGCAAGAAACAGTTCGATCTGCTCGTGCAGAAAATGCTATCATAAGCCGTTATTGACTGTAGATTTATATCAGGATGTCTCAAGGGCGTGTTGGCAGTACGTGCGCAGATGAACACGCTACGTAGTGTACGTCAACGTACATAGATATACTATCCTGCTACCGCTATTTCATTTTCAAATATCTCTCCTACTCCATACGACGAAACGATCAATAGCCAAGTTCAACATCATCGAAATCCTCATCGAACATGGCTCAACTCAAGAAATAAGTCGTACCTAGAGAGAATGTTGAAGTTTCGTCAATCCCCCTGTGAAGTTTGACCAAAGAAGCCTATCTCGCGACACAAGGATGTCTTTTCTTATCAAGTTAGGGACATGACCTTATAAAGTATATATTTCATTACTGTTATCCCCCTATCCTCGCCACCGGATGAAATTGGTCTATAATCATACACGAATCTTTTTCTACAATCATCATTTTTAACTTTGAGTTTGGGATTCATATTTTTTTTTGTCATGGATGCCCAGTGGATCACAAAAAAACGACTGACCCAACCGACGCATGCTGCGCGGAGAAGAGAGAGAGAGAGAAGAAGAAGGGGGAAAGAAAGGTGGGAGGCACGAAGAAACCATATTCAGCGACGACCAAGTTTCCATTTCGCGATTCGCGATTGGATATCGTCCCATGTCAAATCCTTACGCTTGAGTCCCTCCATTTCCCCCTCTTGCAGTACGACGGTCGGGGCACCAGAGCCCTTACCCGCATTGTGCACGTCACCACCAAATACTTGCTTAGCCACACGGCGGAGATCCTTGATGGTGACGGCCTCAATCTTGCTGCACATTTCCTTGACGCCTACTTTGCGGCCGTGGACCTGGACCTGACGACCCAAATCCTCCAGCTCGACCATGCGCGATTCGAGGTTCATGAGAAGGGAAGAGCGGAGCTGGTTCTTTGCGCGCTGCACCTCGCCGTCCTTGAGGGCTGCAAAGCCCGTTTCGTCGCTGAGAGACTTGAGCTCGCGGCACATGACTTCGAGCATGTGGGCAGTGTATGAGGGGGCGCACGAGGCGGCGATGCCAAAAAGACCGCTGTCGGTATAACTGTGGTTGAAGGCGACGCATGATTCGACCCAGCCGTGCTGGTTGAGAACATTTGTGTAGAGGCGCGAGTACATGCCCTTGCCGGGCCCACCAGCACTGAAAGAGCCACCACCACCAAGGAGCGTCTGAAGGGTTGCGAGAGCGTAAATATCCGGCGAAGAAATGGGGAGAGCTTCAAAGGCAAGGTGGATGTGGGATAGGCGTGGGAGCATGGGGTTCGCTGGTGGGGGGATGGGAGGGAGTGTGAGGAAACCGCCAGTGTACTGCGAAGGTATCGAGGTGTCTATTGGTGGAAAGTTGAGGTCGGGTGCTGTGGTTAGGTTGGCAGTAGACGAAGCCGATGTGGAAAGGTTCTTGAGGAAGGGAATCTTGGAGATGAGATTGGAGCTTCCTGGTAGTGCGCCTTTGGGCATGGGATGGTCTGCCGTGAAGTTTGCCTGTGATGCTGCCGCGCTGTCTGAGCCTACACTGGGGAGTGCCGGGCCTGTGCCTTTTTCCATGTCGCCAAAGTATTCTTCGGTCAGCCGAACGGCCTCGTTGTGGTTGACGCCAGCGAAAGCAACGACTATCCTCTCAGGTTTGAAGAACTCTTTCCGGTATGCTTCAACGACGGCGCGGTTGATCAAGGGCAGCCGCTCTTTGGGACAGAGCAGCGGGTTACCGAGGGTATTGTCCTTGTATGCTGCCATGTGGACAAGCTCCGGCAAGATCAGCTCAGGCTTGCTCCAGATCTCGCCGATTTCGTAGTCGGCCGTCTCGAGCTGTTGCTGGACCTCGTCCTCTGTGATCAAGGGATCGCGTATTGTCTCTGCGAGGACACCGACGGTGGTGGGCACGGCCGAGTTGAAGGTAGCGGATTGGTACATGAGCGACTCTCTGCTCGAGGCGCATTGGATGTTGCCGCCGAGGGTCTCAATCTTCTCCATCATCTGGTCGCCCGTGGTGGAGCGCGTGGACTTGAATGCCAGGCGGTCGATGATGTGGCTCACACCTCGCAGCGCATCGTTTTCGTAGCGCGAGCCGGCGTCGACGTAGACGCCAATGCCGGAGAAGTGGCCGGGCAGGGCCTCTGTGGCGACGCGGATGCCATTGGGCAGGGTGGTGATGTGGTCGAGTTCGGCGGGGTCCTAGAATGGTGGTTTAGAATGGCTTCAGATGCATCGACATGGGCGGATGGCGGATGCTGACCCTCTCTTGGGCGACGGCCGTGGCCAGAGCCCTCCTACCAGCACATGCGGGGGGCGCTCGGAGAGACGAACATGGCGTGGACAGCGCGCGGGATAGCGGTCGGCAGGTGCGCGGTCTTAACATGGCGGGCATGAATAGAAGCCGTGATGGCGCGCACGGGGAAAAAATCCCAAGCAGCGGGCGGGCGGGCATGACATGATGTCACGTGGGCAGGGCCAAGGCGCAAGGGACCCAGCATGGCGGACCAGACAGGCGGCCCCACACGGCAGCATTTGCGATCAGCGCCTTGAGCGTGGCGGGCGACATGCGAGACTGGGGAAATCTGCCACCATGTGACGCGACGAGACGAAACTTTGCTGGCCCTATGGCGAGGGCAGAGGAGAGTATCATGGCATGCGCGCCCCAGGGAGCGGCGGCGGGCAGTAAAACGCCGCCACCGGCAGGGCCTGTCTCAGGCGGCTGGGCGGCGCTGGGGCGGATGGAATGCCTCAGACGACAGTACGAGGTAGAGGGTACAGCAGCAATTACAGCACAGCGGCGGCGATGGTCTGCGACCGGGGCCGGGTGCACGACTAAACGCAGGCGTCGGGATATAGCGCTGTGCAGTATGGTTTCGTGACGGCATGGCGCCAGGGCGGCGAGCGGCGAGGGGCAGCCCGCGTGTTCATGCTGGTGCTGGTGCTGGTGCTGGTGCTGGTGCTGGTGCTGGCGGGCAGGCCTGAATGGGACCGAGGGCGGACGCTCCGTTTGCCGTCTGTGTGTGTGCGTGTGGGTGGGTGGGTGCATGGACATGTGTGCAGTGAGGGCGGCGGTGATGGAGGGGGGCACGTGAGCAGGCGTGCAGCAGTAGTGTCTGGTGCTGCCCACTGTCGGCTGCCCCCAGAGGCCGGAGCGCATCAAGCGCCCATGCTAGGCCATTGTGCAGCCCAGAATAGCCCGCCCGCGCTCTAGAATCGGCTCATTACCCATTCATTGCCTTGCACGCTCGCTGCCGTCGTCGCCCTGGCCGCCCTGGCCGCATAAACCAGCCCCGACCCTGTTGGCTCGCGCCGCTGGTTGCGTCCGCACTCGCATCTGCATTTGCATTTACTCCTCTGCCCTTTGCCTCAGACTCGCCCGCGCCTGCACCCATGCCCCGTTAACCTGGGCCACTTGTGTCGTCTGTCAAACGCCCTCGAAACTCGCGCAATCAGCCTGCCGTCTCCGCCCAGCCTCAGCCCTGAGCTTGTTCCTGTACCACGACTACTACTACCTCTGCTCCCGCGCCCAGGACCAGGGGAGGTCATGTTCACTACAACGGCGGCCCCAGCTCCCCCAACCGTTGTCTCAACCGGATTGTCGTCCGACTCGTCAGCTCAGCGACCGACGGGCGTCCATCGAGGCATCAGCTTCTTCAGAAATCTGCACCTGCACTCGGCCAGCCCACCAGACCACACACGTGAGGACTCCTCCCGCCAACGGGCCCGCCCACGCGCCTCAACACACACGCCGCCAGCCTCGCCTGCCCTGGCCTCTCCCTCTTCCCAACACCCTCCTCTGCCGCGTCTGCTCCCTCTGTCGCGACGCCAGACCACCGACGCCCAGCCCCAGAGCCCTCCAGCAGACTCACCGCCTGCCTCGCCCCACGAGACCATGACCCGCACTCGCTCGGAGACGGCCCAGCCCCAGCTGCAAGTCCGCAACAACACTGGGCCCACGCCAGCAACCTCCTCCGCCACCACTACCACTACCACCACTCAGCCATCAGACAGCTCCACCGATGGCGGAGGCGCTGTCAAACACCTCCCATCCATCCGCTTCATCCCACACCAAGATCCCCGAGCCGGCAGACCTTCTCTGATATTCCCCACCATTACGCGAACGCTGCCCGACGAGTCGGCCGTGCTTCGTGTCGGCCGCTATTCGGAGCGTGATAATGCGCCAGAAATCTCTTCAAACACCCCTTCCGCTGCGGCGATTGGATTCAAGTCCAAAGTGGTCAGCAGAAAGCACTGCGAACTGTGGTGCAAGGACGGAAGCTGGTACATCAAAGATGTAAAGAGCTCCTCGGGCACCTTTTTGAATCACATTCGCCTCAGCCAGCCCAACGTGGAATCAAAGCCTTTTCGCATAAAGGATGGCGATATCATTCAGCTGGGCATCGATTTCCGTGGGGGCGAAGAGATGATTTTCCGCTGTGTCAAAATCCGTGTTGAATGCAACCGCGGCTGGCAGCAGGGCCTGAATACATTCAAGTGCGTATGCATATCCCTGTCAAGAGTGCCTTTGCTAACTCGTCTAGTAAACAAACCCACCAAAGATTGCGGGCTCTTGCCAAGAACAAGAAGGAAGTCGCGGGCGATGCCGCCTCTACACACACCTCCGAGTGTGCCATTTGTTTAATGTCCATAGCAGTATGTTTCCATGCCTCGATACAACCGGGCCCTGCTAATCACATTGCAGCCTTGTCAATCGCTATTTGTGGCACCATGTTCACACGTCTGGCACTACAAGTGCATTCGTCCCATCCTCAATGGGCCCACATGGCCAAACTTTCTTTGTCCCAACTGCAGGGCCGTCGCTGACTTGGAAGAGGATGTGGAAGACATGGGCGAGTTTGAAGACTGGGAGGGAGACGAGGAAGTAGCCAACGGCGACACAACCACCCATGCAAACACAGAGCAAGCCGACCGCCACGTCACTCCTCGTGCTTCTGTTGCACCCATGAACTCGAGCAGCTCAAACTTTGACCTCAGCGACCTCCGGCAGCAAATCACAAACATGGATATCAACGGTACCGAGCCAGCTAACGGAAACACACATCAGCCCTCACCCGAGACTCCGGATCGCCAGATCACGCCACCTACCTCGTCCGCCACAGCGCCTGTCAGCATCAACGTGTCTGGAGCAAACCAGTATGCAGGTCTGACTCCACTACATCATACAGCAACCGATGGCCTAGCACCCGACCGCGTACACGAGGGCCCAATGACGCCTCGCAACGACATTGGCCCCTTTGTCCTAGACGGTAGCGCTGGCAGGGCTGCTGGAAACCGCTTGCACCAAGTTGAGTCGTCCTCGTCCGACTCTGACACAAATGGAAATGGACGACGTCCGAGCGAAGCACCAAGTCTCCCACCTGTGCGCTTTGACTAGTAAACAAAAGATACCAACTAGGGGTGGCTTTTTGGTTTTTTTGGATATCGTTTTTTTTGGTCTCATACACAGGATCCATCGACATTCTCCCTGTGGACTCATCGCCATAAGATCTTCTTTTTCTCGTCATATCATCATCACTCGGCACTCACTTGTTCAGCATGTCTCTAGGGCGTCGATGGTGTTCTTGTCCTCTCTTTTTGTTACATTTCGATATCTTAATGGCTCTCACTCACACTCACACTAAGCGAACATGTTGTTATGATTTATTTGATTGAATTGAAATTCCTCTTGAATCCGTTTCAGCCCTTTTTCTTCTTCTTGCTATTCTTTTCTGGCGCGAGAAGGTAAATGGAGTGATGGAGTAGTTGGCTTGTTGGGTCTTGGAGGGAACTTTGGCTACGATGCAAGTCCGACTACTGCTATCTAATGTAGATCCCAGGGAAGATGGGGGAAAAGACGTATACAGAAGAGGAGTAGTTATATATACGCATGATTGGGAGAGAGAGAGAAAAGGGGCATGTTAATGTATGTTATGGAATAAATGAGGATTTCGTTTCGTCGTAACTCGTAAACGTGATTATGAATGCAAGTTTTTTAATACTGTGAAATTGAGAAACGGTAAATAGCACTCCACGACACAACACTCGGAAAAACGATAAATGGTATTCAAAAACACAATACTAGGAAAAACACTTTGAGCCAATGCTTGACGCCAGGACTAGGAAGTTGAAAACGATAAACAGTATTCAATAACAAAAACCGAAAATCGTAAACAACACTTCCCATCACACAATACATGGAAACCATTTTAACGGATGCTTGGTACTAGAAAGTCGAAAACGATAAGTAGTATTTCACACCAAGTGCACCGCTCGCAAAAACCTTTCAGCGAATGTTTGATAATTAAAAGTCAGAAACGGTAAATGGTATTCCGATAACACAGCAATTAGAGAAAAAAAACCTATCTAAGCGAAAACTTAACACTGGGAAAGTTGAAAACAACAAGTCGAAAATGATAAGTGGTGTTCCACAACGCAATGCAACACAACACTGGCGGAGCATTCTAGGAAATATTTACCGAGAAACTGAAAACAATGAATGTATGTTTCATAAAGCAACACCTAGAAAATGTTGCGGCGAACGTTTGATATTAGGGGGTTTAAAAAGATAAATGGTATGTATTCCACCATGCTCTTCTCTGCAAAACATTCCAGCCGAGGTTTGATACTCAGAAAGTGGAAATGGTAAATGGTATGTATCTCACTTATACAACGGTTGGGAAACCAAGTTTATCAAAGGTGAAATACTAGGAAAGTTAAAGAGAAAAAAAAAAGGATAAATACTATTTCAGATACAAAACTCGGAAAAAGATTTAAGCAAGTGTTTAAACAATAGGGAAGGTGAAGATGGTAAATGAGAAATGAGAAACAGTGTTTCCGCACCACACACACACACACACACACACACAACACTACAAACATTTCAGCCAACACTTGATACCGAAAAGTGGAAAACGATAAATTGGTATTTGAAAAAAAAAAACTCGCCTCAACTATCTTGTTCATCACCCCTTCCTATTCGTCAAGCATTACCCAAAGAAAAAAAAATCATTACTCATCCCCTCTCCTCCCTCCCCGCACCCCCTCATCAACGACCCCCACACATACCCACCGTCAGCCCACAATCCCCGCAAATCTCACAACCCCCTCCTAGTAATACGCATCATTCTCAAACATGCCACCCATAGCCCTGCCCTCATGACTCGCCTTCCACTCATCCAACAGGACCATAATCTCCTGTCTGGTATCCTCAATAATGCCATCCATCTTGATATCATTCTTATCATAGCCAAAGGGGTCCTCGAGCTGGACGCCAATGCCCTCGATGCCATAGAGGGTAAAGGTGACGATAGCGACGACGAGGACGCTCCACCACTTGTAGTCGTCGACAATGGCAAAGGGTAGGACGCACGCGTAGAGGGCGAGGACTTGCTTTTGGTGGATGAGATGGGCGACGGGGATCGGGGTGGAGCGGATGGTTTCCATGCGGCCGTAGGCATCGACGAGCGAGTTGATCTGCACGCTCATTTGAGAGGACAGGGGCGCGTTGAACCAGCCGCGGTCGGCGCCGCGCCGGATGTAGCCTTCGATTAGGATGGTGAGTTGGAGGGGGAGACCCAGGCCCTGGTCTTCGTAGCCCATGAGGCCGTCGGGGAGCAGCGAGACGTATTCGTCCTTCTTGGTGTGTACGACGCCATCGCCGTTTTCGAGGCTGAGGGTGGATTGGCCGAGGAGCGGGGTGGTCGAGGAGCTTTGGATGGCGCTGGACGAGGCGGTGCGGTCGATGTAGCTGGGGCGCCGGGAGACGGGGCGCGAGCGCTGGGAGGAGTACGAGGTTGGGTGGGGAGGGAGGGCGGCGAGGCTTGCGGGGGGGATGTTGAATTCGGCGCGGAGGTTGTGTTTGATCGAGTACAAGACGGCGATGAGGACGCGGACGATGCGTTCGGTGTCTCGACGCTGCTCTTCGGTCGCGTAGCCGTCCTTGTCGCGCGAGTTGACGAGGGAGATTCGTGCGAGGTTGCGTACGGCCGTGTTGATGGTCGTCAGACAGTTTCGTCCCGTCCAGAAGCGGTCGTAGCTCGTGCTGTTGCGGAACACGAGCATCAGACCCACGACGATGGAGAGCGACGGGATGATGGTCGACGGAATGCTGATCGAGTCGACATAGCGGGTGTCGATGTACACGATGAGGACGGTAAAGAGCGAGTGCAGGATCACGGGCAAGAGAATGATATCGTGCACCGCGCCCTTGGAGAAGCGCAGCACAAGCGGGATACGGCGGGGCTTGCGACGAAAGGCATGGGCGAGGGGGTACGTCGGGCGACGCGTAGGGACCTCGGGCGTCGTCGACATTGATGGTGTTGTGTTTGGTTTGCACAACAACAAAACGAGCGAAGTGTGCCGCTGAGAAAAGAAAAAAAAAGCAGGAATGGGGATGTTTTCCAGCAAGCAGGATTAAAGGATTGTTCGTAACCCGTGCTCTTCCTTTTCTTTCCCCGCAATGAAGCAACCCAGCCCGCCTTGTAGACGTGGCGGTGTGAAGTGGGGAGTCGTGGGGAGATATGGCAAGATATCGATTCGACAAGGACGCCAAAATACAAGGCCCCAAAAAGCTTGTCAGATGCGTCTTGATGTCATGCGTCTTGCTGGCAGTAGCATGTCAAACGCTGTTACATGTTGTATTGGTATGTGTCCCCCCGCCTTCCATGCTTTAAAGTTGGCAGCCGAGACATGCGACAGAAGCGCCGAAGTTAAGGCATATGTAGATCGCCTGTGCGTTTGGGTGTGGTGTGCAGGGTCCAGGATCGATCACATGCAAAGTCTAATGCTAGGCTAGCTAGCCCTGCACGTCCCGACTAATGACGCGCGATAGCCCTACAAGTCTGAGTAGATAGGATAATCCGGAATGTCGCTTATATAGTAACCTTAAAACCGGCGCCATACTCGAAAACCCAAATTCCAGAAACCAATTCTGGAGTACGGGATTTTCGTAAGTGGTCAATCTGTCCGTGAGCGACATGACACGAATCTAGTCTGCTCCTGAGGAAATCAATTCTTCATGTTCATGTCTGATGCATTTTGGAACGCAATTTAAAGTGTAATCTTGTCGCGACATGTCAGATCCTTACTTGAATTGTTTCATTCATATATACAAAGTTCGTATCCTTTCGTTAAAATCTCCGTGATACTAACACTGGCACCCTGATAGTAGGATATAGCAATCCCTCGTTGCGTCTTAACCACTAACCACATCGAATGACAGCCAAAGTTTTGACCATCTCACACACTCTCTTTCCAAGTGCCACTGCGTTCAAACTCTCACACTCTGTGAGAAATGCAAATTACCAACCCGAGCAAGCAACAAAGTCGTTACCACTAGCACCAGTGTGCGTAATCTCTCCCGCGCGTTGACCCCGAGTGTTGAAAATGACACGATCGGCACCAGGCGAGCCTGCAAAATACACGTTAGCAAACAAGAAGAGCAGCCAAAAAAAGGTTCTAAATCCAAACTAAAAACAAAAATCACTTACCACCAGTGTACACTCCCGAAGTCTTAAGCGGAAACTCCTGGTACGGTCCGGAAACCAAAAACGTAAAGCCCTCGTAGTTGTTGTATGTATGGGGATAGGTCGAGCTACCAGCCTCGTCGCCGCTCTGGTAGTAGCTGTATCCCGCATTGCGGGCCGCGGTAACCTGCGCCGACGTGTAGCATGTCGACCCGCACTGCACGTAGCATGACTGTCTGGACTCGACGGCAGCGAGGACATCAGATGATTCTACCGAGTCGGTTGTGGGGAGAGCGATTGTAAGAGCGGGGAGGAGAGACAGGAGGAGAGTAGAGAACTGCATAGTGAATGGTTTTGTTTGCTTCGAAGCGAATGGGAAAGACAGTTGGACGACAACGAGGGTGGGTGATGCAGACAGAAACCAGTGATGTTTCTTGAACACTTGCAAATGTCAATGCGATGGGTTGGGGGAGGGATACCGACTACCCTTTATATATACTTCAAGATTAAAGCCATTTAAACCGCTTACCTTTTTGTGCGACCTAACGGATACACCTGCCAAACTGCCATGCTCGCAAAAAACAAACAAAAAGGCCACCTACTCCTTTCTTACTTGCTTTAGTTCTGATGACTTAGTTGAGTAAGTTGCAAAAAAACCGAAAATCATACCCAAACTGCGTAGTCGACCTCCGGGCTTAGACCTACTCTGGAAGGCCACAAAAGCCCCCCCCCTCCCTCCCGGAAACACACCAAGAGGGAACAATCAGGTCACGCAAGAAAGTAAAAGTCCCCCCGTATGACCCGACACGGACAACAAATCTAACGTATCTCGCCGACCCCGTAACCTCGTTTTGACTTTGATTCCTCGAGGCAAGATTAGAAAACTGGATTGGCCTGTTATGCTCCCCCCCCCCTCCCTTGTTCATCAACCCCAGTTTCAAAACAATAACCATAAAGTAAATTAACATTCAAATATGCTCTCATCTTGACTTCTTGCCTCTTTAATGCCTCCGTCTCCTTCTTCATTCGTCATTGCATACTCACCCTTTCATCTTACATAGTTACCTATCACTCCCCCCTGCCGCCCATCCTTAAGCGCCCTCCAAACATTCCCACAAGCACCCCCCCCAACTCCCATCATAATCCCAACCCACATGTTTCACCTTATCCATCTCATTCGACGCCCGCTCGCTCGCCCGCCCCGCGAGCTAAAGCAAGACGCACATGTGCGCGTTCGATAGGCTGGTTGGAGGTGCGGGATCGGCGGGCTTACTTTACCTATCGACCCGGGGACTAGTGCCAGATGCGGAAGGTGGGCTAGTTAGCTAGCGATTTGGGCAAAGGGGTTTCGGGAGTTTTTGTTGGTTGCATGGAGGATGGAAGGGGGGTGCAGCGGGATTGCCCGGTGTGGTGGTTGGATCTGAGATTGGGATGAAAGATGAGGGGGGGGGGGGACAGGATGGGGGATTTGCTTTGTTGGGTCAACGGGATATGCATATGCGTTGAGGATCAAGTCAAGATTTGCTTCTTCTTGTTCAATTGAGTTTATTGACCGAGTGTAGCAAAGGGTATATATCCGTGTATCTTTCTTCCTCCACCCCCTGGGCGAACTCTGCTGCCGTATCACCGGCCGCAATGGTGCATGCAGAAGCGGCTATTTTTAATAGCTTCTTGTCATCCTCACGTGGGACTTACGATAGGATGAGAGGTATCTGGAGCCGTCTATGCAGTCTTGCTCCATGCATCAACCAGCATAGATCCACCCGCAACCATGCCGCAAATGCCTATGCCCGCATTGCCGAGGAGCCCCTCCTCTAGCGACCAATGCAGTGTCATCGGGGCGTATGCAAGATTCGACACCAGATCTTTCCACCAAACCCAATTCTCTTCCTTTTCCGCTCTTAAACTCTCTGTCAATCTAATCTTATCCTCTTTTTCTCCATCTCCGTTGACCACAGCCGCCGAGGAAGACGGCGAGCGATTGTATCGCATGACACCGAGACGAGCAACTTCAATACCAACATACGCCGCCCAGAACCGCGCACTCCAGATCCACCATTCATTCTCCCGTGCCTTTCCCGCGTCGCCGGTCCACCTCGCCGATGTCAAGGCTCCCTTTGAGCTGAGATATGCACCAGCCTCGAGAACTTGACAGACTACGCACGACGTGATAGATGCCCATGTCAAGGCACGCAGTGTCTTTTCCTTTCCGCCAGCATTCTCAGGTAAGCGGTCCTGGTACGTCCTTCTCCCCCAAGTGTATATACCCACCAAACTCCATAAACGCACAAAGATTCGATAGTCGGATATGAGGTCAGCCACTACCTTTGCACTTCCTACTGTCTGGGCAATAAGTTTGGTGCTGGTGGGTGCTGGTAGGGTCGCTATGAGCGTTTCGCCAGGAAACAGCACTCCGTCTGCTTTCTCGGCGATTTCAGTCGCGATGCTGGCTAGGCGTTTCTCGAGGAGGCGGGATAAGAGTGCGTGGACTAGGGTAAGTGTGTAGCATGTTGTGCATAAAAGAGCATCAGTGCCTTCGGGAGTCGAAAGTAGTTTTGCGAGGCGGAAAATTGTGCGGTCTGTGCCAGTAGCGGCTTTGGTCATGTATTTCAGGATCAAAAAGCGCAACTTGCGTATCAAAGATGGACGCGTGGGTGGTTCTGGCGCCGCACCAGGCGGCGAAGGCACTCCGGCGGGTTCCGAGGAAATCGTGCCTGTCGCAGGATGCAGGTCTTCTGTCATGGCGATAGAATGCAGCTCCCGCAAAACACGATCAAAACTAGGTGAGACGAGTGTTATTGAGGCATGATGTTGTTGGGAATTAGGTCAAGCAGCAAGAGGTCATGCATTACCTGAGCATGCTGGCCGAGGTTTGCTCGGAACAGGCCATGTCGCGTCATCAGCGGGCACGTGCAGGGCCATGTGCTGATAGCCAACTAGCTTTTGTAAACTTTGCATGTCACCCATCCTGGACCCTGGATAACGCATACCTAAACTCTACCACTCTTATCTATGCATCTGTGCATTTATCTATACACTTACTACATAGGTGGTGCTCCCTACGAGCTGTTCACCCGAATCTCTCTTCCTTCTTTGCCCTGAGCGTTGCCCCTGACGGTCGCTCTGCGGCGCCTTTTTCATTCTTCTTTTCGCGCGGCACTGTTCCGCTCCTTGCCTTCACTTCTGCTATTGTGAGGAGATAACATAATGGCGCGGCGCTATTCCGCTATCCGCCTTTATCTCCGCTGTGATAAGTAGAGGATATTCCATAGCCCTGACACCCTCCGCACAAGTTTTATCTATAGTTACATAAGCTGTAGGGAGGGTGTTAGGACTAAACTTGCTCAGCTCGCTGCAGCTTCTATTTCTCTCTATGCGTTAGTCTTTCAGCTCTACTCTAGAGTGCACAATCTTTTAGCTCTGTTCAAGAGTGCATACACAAGGCAGACATCGCTGCGGCCTACCAGCGAAGATTAGCCATGAAACAGGCACTGGTGCAGACAACAGAGTGTAGTGTGGGCGAATGGTCAAGGCGTTCTCGATTTGGTGAATGAGTTGGCTGCGGCTATCTTCTTCGGCTCGTTCATCAGGACACACTGTTGGTTGCATTCGGCATAAACACTGATTGCCGATAAGTTAACATCATGCTAAGCTTTTCTGTATTCGTTTCTTTCTTTTTCTAGTTCGTTGGTTCTACTGTTACTCTGATGGGTGCTTGTAACGACAAAAGCTACGTGTTGGTACGTACTTACAGCAACGAGCACATCCGCATCGCCTAGATAAGCGAGTCCTTCCACTTGATAAGATGTGCTCTTGAAGATGGGAATCGGGCCAACATTTCTCTATACATGGTTGATTGAAATGGATTCTAAAACACTACTGGAAAGCATGCAGGCTAGACATGCACTAGAGGGGAATATCATTCATAGCAGTTCTGCAAACAATTCAAGCCGTCCCAGACACGCAAAGTCAGAGCCATAGTTCTGTAGTAGAACAAATTCTCGGAAAACATAGGTTGACTAAAGAATATTCCATCACTGTTCCTTGACACATTCCTGCTTCCTACTTTCGATTACAGACTGAGACCAAACTTCGGTTGCTAACGCAATGGCTAGAAGTTCAGTACTAGTACTTCCCACCTGGTGGCGGCTGGCCGTACTGCTGCTGACCTGGGTATCCACCAGGACCACCCTGAGGTGGTCGCTGACCATATTGACCTGGTGGAGGAGCTCCGTATTGGCCTGGAGGGGGAGCTCCATATTGGCCTGGAGGAGGGGCGCCATATTGGCCTTGTGGGGGTGGTGCGCCATACTGGCCCTGTCCTGGTGGGGGGCCTCCATACTGACCCGGTGGTGGGCCACCATATTGGCTTGGCGGAGCACCATACTGGCCTGGAGGTGCGCCATATCCACCAGGTTGGGGGTTGGTCTTTTCGTCCTTGGAATCGTAGCTACGGTCAATGGCGCCAAGAAGAAGTTTGATGATCCATAGGTCGGGTGTGAGATCCACAGGAGGATTGGCGCGCATCATCTCTTCTTGCTCGTTCTCGAAGTCTGAAACAATGTTAGCAATATCTTACATACGGATTCATCAAACTTACTAGAGGTACAGTCAACCTCTGGTCCGATTACGGGGTGCTCATCAAGTTTACTGAGGAACTTCCTAGCAGCTTCATCGTTTCCGACCTGAGCGAACTCGAACGCAACGGCGCCGCGGCCATACTGTGGGAAACCCTTGAGAGTATCAAAAGCATACTGAATGGTATCGAAAATGGCGTTCTGAGGCTCTCCAGCTGGCTGACCATCGGTGATGGCAATGACCAGTACCGGCTTGGTCAGCTGACCGTTCCTTGCCTTTTGGAGAACGATGCCATCAATGACCTTTTGCCTCATAGCAGTTCCCATGGGTGTAAGACCCTTGAACTGCACGCCACGCATGATTTGCTCAATCTGAGCCTCGGACGCCACACCATCCTGGAGAGGACGGCCCTGCTGGTCGCGTGCGTTGGAAAGATCGGTGTTCATGAAGCGAATAGAAATACCATCATGGTCAAAGAGCGTGGCGGCAAACGAGACTCGCTCCAGAATAAGGCGCAAGTCCTTGATGCGGCTTCCCTCCTCTTCGAACTGCATGGAACCACTGTCGTCTTCTACATGTCAGCTGCGCTCTATAAGCCGAATCCCATAACCTACCGATATAGAGTACAATGTCGTACAGGGCAAGCTTGACAATATCATTTGCGATTTCCTTTGCGACACGCCAGCGCTGAATGACCTGGTTGATCTTGGGACCTGCTTGTTGAGCGATCTGGGTAATCCTTGGGTCATTTGGTGGGTAGAAGCATTGGAGGTTCTTCTCCTGAATACAAGCATTGAGAAGTTGCTTGTAGCCTTCTACCTCAGCAGGGCTGCTCTGAGATAGTTGCTGGGGAGGTGGGCCTCCAGGGTATCCTCCCTGGGGCGGAGGAGCGCCGTATTGACCCTGTCCTGGTGGGCCACCCTAATTCATGCGTTAGTCGTTGTTCAGACAGCTTTCTTGTTTGAATAAAATGAGGCATCAAAAATGTGAAGTAGATTGCGGGAAAAAAACGTATAGGGTTCAAATGACGAGGATTTGCACAATGGAGATCCAGGGTGAAATCCGTCAAGGATAAACAGGCGAGAGAGCTGATTAATACGAACATTTGGCGGGTAAGACGGTGAAAGAGGTTGGTTATACTGCTGGGGTGGTTGTCCATAGGCTGGCTGCTGTGGTTGCCCCCACTGACCCTGCTGAGGTGGCTGTCCATAGGGTTGCTGTCCGTAGGGCTGCTGTCCGTAAGGCTGCTGTCCATATGATTGCGGGGTTGGTGGTGGACTCCATGGAGCTGGCTGCGCCTGGCCAGGATAGGGAGATTGGGGATACTGAGACTGAGGCTGTTGGCCTGGAGGGGGCGGGGGAGGCCTGTTGTAGCCAGACTGTCCTTGAGGATAGGGTGATGATGTGCCATAAGAACTTGGGGCGGGTGGTTGTGAATAGGGAGACTGCGGTGGTGCATTTGAGCCTGGGCGCGGGGGCATGGGAGGGCCAGGTTGTTGTTGTTGTGCATATGGGTTTGGTGCTTGTGCCGGGGGCGGGGGCGGCTGGTAGGCGCTGTAGCTGGAAGCCATTTTGCTTGAGAGAGGCATGTGTGGCTAGGGCCCGAGAGCAGCTTGTGGCGGGTAGAGTCCAGAGGGCGGGCGATCCAAGAGGGCGGGGGGGTTTATTGGGAGTCAAAAGTGGAGTGGGGACTCGTCACGGCTTGCAAATGACTAGCCTTGGGGGTGGCGGGTACAGCAGGGCAGAGGGCGATGACGATGCAGGCAGAGCGGGAGCTAACAGCAAAAGAAAGAGCTTTGACTTACCCCGGGAGCGCCGGCAGCTGGGGCACCTGGATACGCTTGGTACTGCTGCTGTCCAGGCTGCGTATATGCGTTAGTGAGCGCTTTGAATGCAACCCGAGCACTGCACTTACATAGCCAGGCTGGCCGCCTGGAGGCATGCCTGCCGCTGCATTTGCTGCAGCCATCTTGCTTGCGAGCTACATCAGGTCAGCCCAATCTGCCTGCGTATATACACCTCTCGATGACGCAGGCGGGGTCGTGGGGGATGGAGGGGCAGCCAAGGAACCACAGGATAGTAACATACACCCATTGTCGTGTGTGTGCGTGTGTGCGTGTGTTGCTCTGGAGCTTCTCCCGCTGTCCGAGGAGTTGAGAAAAAGCTTGACAAGGCTGATTTTGCAGGTGGAGCTCTCAAGGTTATGAAGGAAGAAATGGCGGGTGAAAGAGCGTGGGAGCCTTGCACGCTGTTTGTGGGAAGGATGGCGCTGAGGGCCAGGTCAGCGCAACATGCTGGTCAGCTCCGCCCCAGCAGGCGCCCATTGCACTGCCTGGCGGCTGTCGCCATTGGCCAGTCGCCGACCGCGTTGGGCTTTGGGCGTGTATACGTGATGAAATGTGGGACATTTCGAGGCTGAGCTGTCACCAACCCACCGAGGCCGCCATGTTTGTACAAGGCGCGCTTACGAACGAGCGGGGCATTCTCAGGCGAGCAGATGGTCCTGCTCCACCGGCCACTTGGACAGATTGTGCATGCATACTCCATCTATCGATCAATCGTTTCACAAAGAATGCATTTGCAGCTGCTAAGTAGACCCTTTCACCCACTCCAATGGCGGGCCAAGCTCCGTTTCACTGCCACTGCACAGCCACCGCTGTGGCCGAAGCTGTGCCACCCAACATGATCACGCATACTACGTCATTCCACCACCTGATATCTGACAGCCCGTTGTCTTACTACATTACCACGGTCATCCTAGTAATTGAATTGAAGCCTGCAGTTCAAAGCACGTGTCTCTGCGGGGATTCTAATCAATGCAGAGTGAAGGCAACATTCACAGGATCGACTCGATGTACCAAACATCGAGATATCAATGCGTGTTAGAGATGCTTTTGCCAATGGAATTCTTCCAAGAATAGAATAACTCAAGAAGCTATACCGAGCTTCACAAGCATGGAATTACTACCATAACTGGTAACCTGTGAAGGAGACTCTGCAAATGCTGCCAAGCAATTGTTCCAAGACTGCATTCAAAGGCACGCCATCGGCCAAGATGTGAAATATCAACATGTTCGAATCTGCCATCAACCTTACATTGTTACCTCTAGTCTGCATGTAAAAGCCACCCATCCACAATTTCCATGCACTTGAACTATATCCGACTTCAGCACATCACTAGCATCAAAGCAAACAATGAACCCTTATAATAAATATACCTCGAGGATGATCGCTCCCGTATCTTCCAAAGCTCCACTCAGCCCTAGTAACCAGGCGCCCATTTAGAACACGGAGATGCCCCGCAACCCCGCCATCACCACATCATGTACACAAGCCAGTTGAGCAACCTACCTCTTCGTACACAGACACAACAATCAACTCTTTTCCCTCAAAACAACATACACCATGTCCAATCAAGAACTCAACAACGCGCGCTTCAGCGCCGAAGCCCTAGAATGGGATTCCAACACGAAGCACGTCGAATCCACCTCCAACGCCTTCGAAGCAATAAAACGCTACGTGCCCGCATTCAAAGAGGGTAGAAACAAAGGTAAAACAATATGAATTCCTTATTTCGCACCTGTTTTACAATATTCAAAATAAAATACATTGGCCATCAAAAATACGCTCAAACAAAAAAAAAATCAAAAATGAAAATTGAACAATGAACTTTGAAGTAAGTTTTTTTTGTTTTGGCTAATTCCAAATTCCAACAAAACCTCTCCACAGATCTCGACGTGCTAGAAATCGGCTGCGGCACCGGCCTCCTCTCCTTCATGCTCGCCCCCCACGTCCGCAGCCTAATTGGCGTCGACACCGCCGACGGCATGATCTCCGCCTTCAACATCAAACTCGCCAATCTACCCACTGAGCACCCAAACCTCTGCTCTGTGAACCACTTCCTGACCAACCCGGACGCGCACGAGCTGCAAAGTGCCGCAGCGCTCTTAGCGACGCACAGGGGAGAGGAACCGAAGCCGCCGTACGAGTACCGGTTTGATCTCGTCGTGTCGCATTTGACGCTGCATCACATACCCTCGATGCCGGCCATCCTGCAGACGATGCATCAGTGCTTGCGGCATGGGGGCGTGGTGGCGCTGACCGACTATGAGGATTTTGGGCCAGAGGCTGTGCCGTTTCATCCTGTGAGTAAGAGACCTGGGGTGGAGCGGCACGGGATTAAGAAGAAGGAGATTGAGGAAATGTTGCTGGGGACGGGTTTCAACGAGGTGAGGGTTGAAGAGGCGTTTGTGTTGAGAAAGGAGGTAGAAGCTGAGCATGGGAAGCCGGCGAGGGACATGGATTTTCCGTTTTTGATTTGCTTTGGTGTTAAGAGTTGAAAGGAATGCAATGCAGATAGAGATCAAAGGAAAAGTGTCAAAAAGGGTTCAGAAATCTTTCATCAGGTCGTTGACGGCTTTGGCGGCGAAGCGTTTCCGCTCGCCTTCTTCCATGCCCTCGCCCATTTCTTTGATAGCAACCACTTTCCGCATCATGACTTCAAGATCTTCAACGTCTTTGTCGTCTGTCTCTCCCTCTTCGTCGCCATCATACCCTGCAAGCGCACTCTTCATGCCAAACAGCTCCATGTTCATTTCTGCCTCTTCTGCCTCAAAGCTATTCTCAAACCCTTCTTCATCTTCGCCAAAATCCAAGGCTGCACTGCTCTCCCACTCCGCTGCCTCGAGCGCTTCCCGCACCCGCTGCACTCCCGTGGCTTCGCCAAACTCGTTTTTGCCCTTTTTTTCCGAGTCAATGTATTCGAACCCATAGTCCATGGCCAACTCTTCCCACTCCTCATGACTTTTGTCCAGGTACGGCGTAACAGATTGCGGCATCGCCACCGCTAGACATGCAATGTCGCCGCCATAGCCACACGCGCGTTCAATTACATCCGAGATGGCCTGCATCGTTTCTTTGACTTTGTCTACGTCTTTTTCTTCGACTGGTCTCTTGAAACAATATACCCATGCACCGAGCGCTGTGACGACTTCGCGGGCTTCTGGTTTGATGAATTCGGTGCGCCATTCAGCAACGTTGGGTAATTCGTCAATCCAGATGGGCACAGTGGCGGTGTAGTACTTGGTTTCAATGCGCAGCTCGTGCGCAAGGCCGGCGGTGGTATTGGATGTGGGTTCTGGAGCGGAGCCTGTGAGCTCTGCAGGACAATTAGCGAATGGCGTACGACCAACCACGTTGAAACATGCCTTTGAGAAGTGGTAGTACACCAGCATCTGGTGCCCCAACAATTAAAAGGCGTCGTGGATTCTTGATATCCATGCTATCCGTGCCCTCCATGCTGTCCATATTGTGGCGTTGTGCTGGAAAAAGGGGTGGGTTGCGGAGTTCTCGGGGGTGAGCTCTTGGTCTTTCATTGTGGGGCAACAGGCTGCGATGATCAAAAGCAATAGCGACTGCGCCTAGACTACACGCTAAATGTAGCAGAGACATATATGTCTTCGGACCATCACGTGTCACGCAATAGTTTTGCATTCTTTTGAAAATGAACATTCATTCGTGTTCCAAGGTATCATCAAACTTGCTATCCCGTTTTCAGCGTATGCCCCAGCAAAAGTGACCTGGTATCATACCTGTCGGTGTATCCCCCTTGCCATTTATCAATCGCATCAAGCGCGTCCTCATAGCTGCTGCGCCTAGGATTGCTTGCTTGCTACTGCCGTTCAAGTTGTGTCTTTGCCGGAATTCCTCACATTGTTCAACGTCCACCGCCTCGAGTGCTAGCCCTTGCCCTGTTGACTGTGGCCCTGCCACGCGCAAGGCCAACACCGCGACCCCTCGTACCTCTCGATCGGAACATGGGCGCGTTTCTATCCGTAGTTAGCACTTTGCTCAGTCAAAGTTCCCTTGACGAACCTACCTCAACATGTCCGGTACAATGAAATATCGTACATGGCTCCCCCGGATATAGACTTGCTCAAGATGTGAGACACGACCGTCACGGGCGGTCACAGTAATGTCCTTTAGCTGCACGTTCATGTTGTCCTCAGCTGCGAACCCGTTAGCAGGGTTTAAGTGTTGTAGATAGGATAGTAACCGGACCTTCAATAAGCTTGCCGCGGTAGACTTCGCCAGATGTGATTTCGAGCGTGACAATGTGGCCCTGTTGAAAGTCAGTACTGACATGGGAGAATTCGAGAACCGTGTTGCGCATACCGCAGCCTCATTGAGGAGCTTGATTGGAATACCAATAGTGCTCGTCATCTTTGAAAATTGGGGTTGGGGCTGGGATTGTAGGCTTGTAGCTAGTTATGCGCGTGCTTGAGGTTGCGAAGAAGACGCTCGGTGAAGATCCGTGAAAGGTGCTGAATCGGATAATCGAGATGAATGCGCTCGTTGTGTCGCCAAGATATTCGCCAAGTGACGCCCTCGTCAGTTTCAGTGGTACTTTCAGAGGTACCGCAGTGGGAGGCTGTGGATAGTTTTGGTGCAGGCCTGCTGCGCGTACCAATATCGCTGTCTACAGAAAGTTGAAGGTTGAGCTTGGACCATTCACTTAGTCATCACGTGCAGGCGGATTTGGCCCTCGGAACTCATTCTTCCTTTCTCTGCTATCCGCATCAATGAGCGAAAGCTTAGAGCTCGTCTCAACGACTTGCTTCGGTCTTTGAAGTAAGACATCACCGATAATTCAAGCACAAAGCACGTTGCAAACTGATCTCGAATTCAACTTTCCTTCCTCAACGTGATCATAATCCCACATACGGCTTGACTTGTTTCTATCTGTTTGCTGTATACCGTATCAGACTAATTATTTAAGAAAAGAATGGCGGGCCACACCCCAACCTGCTGAAATCGGGTATTAAAGAAAAAGTACCTCTGCAGTCAAAGGGAAAGGATTTAAATAACACGCTGTACAAAAACCTTGGAGCTTTGGTTGAGAGATTTACATCAGTGAGACCCTGCTTTCGAACCCTGAAAATTGATACGTAATACTACCAACGATATATACACCTCTCAACAGTTATATGCAAATTGGATACACCTCTATTGGGTACAAAAAAATCAAGTATGGTTGCAACGAAGACAGCAGAACAGCGAACTACGGTCGCGATGAGACAGCAGCACAACGATCTACGTATGGTGACAGGCTATAACATAACCAGCGCTGCTCTAAAATGAAACCAGAACAGCACCTCGATCACAACAAACGAATTTCTAAGTCTTCAATCTTTTTCATCTATAAATCGATCAAAATGCATTTTGTTACAGCTCTCGCCGTCCTTGCGACCATCGTCACAATGGCATCCGCCATCAAAGTCGCATTATACGAGGATGGTTACTGTTTTATACCCAAGGTCGTATATAATCGACGAGGCAATGGACGCTGCTACAACACCGATTACGAGCTCAACAAAAGCGCCAGCATAACTACTTGCGAGGACAATCGAGGATGCGGTTGCTACGTGTACGAATTTGAAAACTGCAGGGGAAGAAAGGCGGAAATAAATATCCAGGGCGAAAACTGTGCCTGGATCATGAAAGCAAAAGGCTTTGGGTCCTTCAGGTGCTTCAACTACTGAACATAAATTTCGCCATCTGAGATACCTACGGATCGATCATTCATCGCCAGTCATGTTGGATCCGTTTCCGACCTGATATCGATATTTATGACGACACTACTTGAACGTGTTTTCGACTTTGGAGATTTGAGTGAGGAACTGAGGCAGGAATTTTGGCAATGGGGTGACAATCGGAGAGATGATTGGCTGTTTTTATGAAAGGCTAGGAGTTCTGTTGTATCTTTTTGTGGGTAGCATCAAATTTAATTCAACTCTACTATTGATGAATCAGGCGCGAAGCTAAAACCTAGTGACCTGCATGTATCAATATTGAATTCAATCAGGTAGCTATCGTCGACACATTCCAAGTGAAATGTACTGTTGAGCAAGCCTACATTCGTCTCAACCCTCTTCCCCTTTGAATCCCCAAGAGAATAGGCAAATTTCTTGCTGCTCGGAACTAGTAGTATTCGGAACACTCGGAACGCGCATCTCTCGCTGCTCACGAACTCGTGTCTTACCCAAAATACGTCACATCACCGCATCCCATACACGCCCCAAAAAAACACCATGAATATCTCCGGCACATTAAACATCTTCCGTCTCTTGCGCGACCCCACTCTCTGCCTCCCCCAACACACAATCCCAACATTCAACCAGCTCCCCATCCCCCTCAGCAAAGCCTTTCCACGCAAACAAGGCGAAAAAGAAGTCGACATCCGCGCCGTAATCCTAGACAAAGACAATTGCTTCGCCGCTCCTCACACAGACGAGATATACGAACCCTACCAAGTAAGCTGAATCCCGCCACTTCCCTTACACCCACTCCCCACATATTGTTTTACTCTTGTGAATATAATAAACTCACATGACCGCCTTTCTCACCTCCCCCCCTAAAGGATCACTTCACACGCCTCCGCGCCGCCTATCCCGGCCGAAAACTCCTCATCGTCTCAAACACAGCAGGCACATCCTCGGACCCCACCGGCGCCCAGGCAACGCTGCTGGAACGCAACACGGGTGTCGTCGTACTCCGCCACTCGACCAAGAAGCCGGGTTGCAAAGACGACGTCATGGCCTATTTTGCGGCGCATCCCGAGACGGGAGTTACGCGGCCCGAGCACGTTGCGGTGGTGGGGGATCGGTTGAGTACGGATGTTATGATGGCGAATTTGATGGGGGGGTATGGGGTTTGGGTTAGGGATGGGGTGCAGGGGAGGGGGTTTGTAAGTCTTATTTCCTTCTCTCTATTTCTTTTACTGGGATATGTTTAGGGAGTTTGGAGAGTTTCGAATGGAAGCTGACGTTGAGACTAGCTTGCGAGGATGGAGGATAGGTTGCAGAGCTTTTTGTTTGGAAGAGGGTATTGTGCGCCTGATCCAAGTAAAAATCAATTTGAGTAGTTGGATATGTGGTAGGGTAGACACAGGGTGGTTTTTTTAGGGATTCCCTTTTGAGACAGACTTTTCGAAAGTGTTGTGGGGGTTTCAACATGTGCATTTTTGGGATTACTGTTACTCAATGATTTGAGGCGAGTAACTAGACATGACGAAAGTGTAAAAAAGCGCATGGCTGGGGTTATGAATTCAAGTGTGACGAAGATGTAAGTAATAAAGAGAAGGTTTGAGATTTCAGGGGTGGATGCACTGTAAGAGTGATGGCGAAAAACAAACAGTCGATTCATAATCGACGATGCACAGCAGAAGTGTTATTCTGTGATTCCAACAAAGTTGATTTGCAAGTCATATATACAATGCGACCTATCTACTACAAACTAGACAAGATCGCGTTGCAATAGAATTCATTTACATTGGGAACATGTCCAACTTGACCATGAACCCCTCAAGAAAAGAGTGAAGCATATACAGAGTAGAAGAGCAGCCTATTCCAACAAGCGAGCACCTTGGCTGCCTCGATGACTCGCCTTGTCTCATCTCAAACCCACACTGACCCATTTAGTTGGCAGCAGTCCACAGAGCAGGGCCAGGGAAGGGGTAAGAAGTAGGGTTAGTGTAGAGGTTGAACAAGATACCAGGGGCGGTGGGGGTGTACAGGCTGGTACCGGGGACACCGTTGGTGGGCCTAACAGTGCCACTGCCTCCAACCTTGATGTTGATGCCTGAAAACCTCACGTTAGTATCTGCACTAGAATTCAAACCAAAAGGATAGAAAGGAGGGAATGAACTTACACTGAGGGTACAGCTGAGCACCGTTGGGGCTCGATCCGCCGTGCAGGGCGATAATCTCGTGGCGGACAACATAGTTGCCAGCAGCAAGCTTGGACGGTAGCTTAACAGAAGTCTTGAAGCCGTTCTTGATAAGGTTGTCAGTGACCCAGACGTTGGGGCTGACGATAGCCTCCTGGGCGAATTTGGACCAGCGGAGGTCGCTGGGGGACATGCTTGAGCATTCGCCTATTGGTCCGGAAAAATTAGCTACCACAATCCTTCTTCCAAATTGAGATGAGATAACAACGGAAGGTGTGAATGCGTACCGTTGCAAGGTGCAATGTAGTGGATGATGGGACCCCTGTGGCTGTCTGGCCAAGTGTTCCACTCAAATTCGATGGTGTCGCCGGGGTTAGCATTGGCGTACAGCTTGCCTGGTGTGGCGCTCTTGTGGCAGTTTACGTCTGCGGATGAGGCTCTGTTGGGCTCGACGAAGCCGAGATCTTGGTTCAGAGAGTCCCAGCCAGCGGTCGCGACGCGGTTGTTTCCTTGGTAGAACCAGACAGGGTCGGAGCCCTTTGTTGAGACGCCATTGATGTTGACGGCCTTGACGAAGCCGTGGGCAGATACATTCTCAACGAGGAGGGCGGCAGCGCCGAGTAGGACAGTGGATGCGTGCATGTTTGCGTTTAGTGTCAAGCTGCTGTTACTGTGCTCGGAAGTGATTGTCGTAGGCTGTGGATTTTGTTTCACGGCACTTCCACTGCTTCTTATAGACGTTGTCTTTTATTACGCAAAGTCCTGAATAGGATGTTTCAATGGTCGAAGTTGCCCCAGGAAGGGCGCGGAGTGTCGTCCCGGGCTGTTCTTGGTAAGTCAAGAAGTGCATAGTGCTCTTAGATGACTATAAGCCCGTAGGGACCGACTAGTAGCAGTAGTTTGACATGGCCTACACAGGGCTACACAAAGCTTGTAGCACTCTAGTCTGGCGTTTCGACAGTTTACTCGCCTTCCAAGGATTTTGGCACTAGGCAATGTGACTTTGGGTGGAGAAGTTGATATTACAATGATATTATATCCCCCCCTACACTGTGGCTGGAGCCTGTAGTTGCAGTGTATGAACCTGGGTTTTCCAGTGGGGCAATCTATTTACCCCGGAAACCTCATATAAAATACCGGTAGCGAGTAATATAAACACCACGCGAGTAGCGAATGATGATGAAACAACACTCGCAGCGATTTGGCGTCACCAATTCAGGAAGTTTCCAAGGTTGGCGCATTTTGCATTATTCCGATTGCATCGGAGTTTGCTGATGCTGATAGGGTTTCTGTGGCCATGTATGATTCGCATCGGTCTTGGCTTCAATTTGTACTGCTGTAAGACATATCGGGGGTTGCTGGGTATAGGACGACTGCGCCGTGGCGTCATGCCAATTTTACAAAGTCCCACCTATAGCCACTGACTCCGACATGCAGCTGTATTCCCCCATCACCCGTTATCGCTGGCGCAAAGCCCATGATTCACAAGCGCTCGGGTATATGGCACATGGGCACGGTGCCAAGGCGGTGATACCACGATGGTGAAGCTCGGTAAGAATGCTCAGTAGGCTTGGCCGCGCGAAGCGGGAAGTATTGTAGTGCACGTGGTCGGGCCCTGCCGTCTAGCCTCTCCTTACCACCGAGTAGTAGCCCGAATAACGCCATGTTACATTAGCCTACCCCAGACCCAGTGAAAGAGCAAAGCACGTGCACAGAATACTTGCCGAAGTAAGACCGTTAGCGACTGTTTTACTGTTGGGAGTAGCGCGTCGCAAGATAGGCATTCTGGTGGCCTGATTGCCTTGTGCTGGATCGGATGTTTGATGAAGATATCCAGAGGCGGCAGGCTTTGTAGGGCGGCCATGTCCGTAACCGCTGGTCAGCTACCCCCAATCACGTTTTGCCTTTCTCTTCGGGCCATCGCCGACAGTCCGACCCAAACTGTCTGTGCATGCTGAGCAATACCTCAAACCAGAACACAATCAGTACTTGGTTACTAAATTGTGTCCAGGAGGAAGAAAAAAATTTCCTGGATTGGAAACGACTACGTAAAAGACTTGATGAGTCAATGTTCTAGTCGAGGAATTCGAACGTACATATAGTCGGTTTGGTATGTTCACTGGACGAAACTCATAAGTTTTGGACTACCTTTTCCTATTTCCATATTTCGTATTTCTAGACGCACTAAGACAATAATGTCGACACCTTGCCAACTGAATATTGGGGCCTGTGAAGAAGACAGAGCAAGAAATGATACGCAACTTGGCTGTGACAGTGGCACAGCTGTGTGTGAAAATAAGCAAGGACTACCAAGATGGCTCATACCCTCAGACCAACGTGGCTGGCGGCGGATAGTACAAAACTTCACGCCTTCATGGGTGCGCGAATCAACACCAAAGAAGAAATGAAAGGAAAAGCTAACATGATGAAAAGTTTGCAGTCACCATGGGCACAGGCATTGTGGCTGTTCTGCTTCACACGTTGTCAAACCTCTATCAAAGTTACCATGACTCACTGAGAATACTCAGCATCGTTTTCTTCGTCCTAAACGTCGGCATTTTCTCAGTAATGCTTGTCATATCGCTATTGCGGTACACCTTGTTTCCAGCAACATGGACATTGATGTTACGGCATCCTGTACAGTCGCTCTTCCTTGGCACCATGCCCATGGGTTTCGCCACCATTATTAACATGTTTGCCGCAATCTGCGTACCGGCGTGGGGTGGCTCAACACCATATGTGGCCTGGGGCATGTGGTGGCTGGATGTCGTCATCAGCGTTGCTTGTTGTCTATGGCTCCCATTTCAGATGTAGATGTCCTTTTCACCCAACTTTGTAATTCGCGACTGACATGTGTATAGGATGACACAGCACAGGAACCAGCATGAGAAAATGACAGCAGCTTGGCTTCTACCAATTGTCGCGTGCATAGTCGCAGCCGCATCTGGTGGTCTAGTGGCTTCCGTTCTGCCCAACGATAACCACGCCCTCATCACCATAATTACCAGTTATGTGCTCTGGAGCATGGGCCTCCCTCTTGCGCTGGTGATTCTAACAATGTATTTCCATCGACTCGCGATTCACCACCTTCCACCAAAGGAAGTCATTGTCAGCGTCTTCTTGCCTTTGGGACCCATGGGACAGGGCGGTTACGCCGCAATGCAACTCGGCATTCAAGCATCCAAAATCCTTCCAAAAACGCAAACACTGCACCCGATGGCTGGTGATATTCTGTATGTGCTCGGGTGGATTGCTGCATTGGTGCTTTGGGGGTTTGGGCTCGTATGGCTTTTCTTTGCTGTGGCGTCCATCAGTCGCAGCAAGTTTCCATGCAATCTTGGATGGTGGGGCTTTACATTCCCAATTGGCGTATTTACCATGTCTACAATCACCTTGGGACAGGAGATGCCATCAGCTTTCTTCAGAATTTTTGGGACGGCACTTGCTGTGGGTGTGATGCTGCTTTGGCTCTTGGTTGCGGCAAGTACGGTTAAGAATGTGCTGTACGGCGATATATTTGTGGCACCCTGCTTGAAGGAGATGGAGAAGACAGCTGCTGCGGAAGCAGAGATGAGGTTGTACAGGGATGTTTGATCTAGATTTTGCGTGTATTTAGCCTCACGAGCATCTAAGAAGATGATAATCTGTGTCTCGTCTTCCTGTGAGACATCATAAACAGTGTATATGTCAGAGTGTCACCGTGGTTTGTGCAGGAGAGCCTGATACCCTAGGTATCTAATCGCACAACCGAAGTTGCAGCCAAGGCTATATGAGCTCAACTGGGACGCGCGTAGGCCCTCACGTGAGGGAACCCTACTGCTTGAGAACAGGACGCCCGTCTCTTATTCATTATCCAGAGCATGTTGTACTAAATCTTGCCCCTCATTCTATTATGCCGCCTCGTGTTCATCTCAAGAACCACTCAGAATAATTGAAACCCGTTCCAATAAACGTACCCGAAGACAGCGAGCGCACTCGTAGCCGCAAAAGGCAAGCTCATCTCCACCACGCTCCAAATCCAGAGAGTGCCCACTGGAGGAGCCGACTTCATGACGTAAAAGTATCCGTGTTGGTTCCCTGAGTACACCAAGTAGAAGCCTGCAGCAATGGAGCCAGCGAAGAAGACCACGTCTCGAACCTTGGGAAAGCGGAAGGAAATGTCGACGTGGGTAAGGTAGACCAGAACAGCGAATATGGGCCAGGCCGTAGCCGCTCTCCAGATAATCTCAGGCCATATGATGTCTTCCCTGTACTGGTTGTATACGAGGACGTCGAGGGTGAGGTGCAGTGCTGCCATAGAGACGGAGTAGAGGACCGAGTCGCCCAAAGGTCCGACGGGGGGCCCTTGATCGTCGCCGACGGGTCTTGATGCCATAGCGGCTGCCCTAGCGGCCTTCCTGGCAGGGTTTAATTCGTCTAGTTCTCGCTGTCTCTCTTCGGCCAAGTCGAAAAGGGTCTTGCCCTTGGGTTTGGAGAAGTCCGGATGCCGAAGAATCATCTCGACTCCATCTTGGTCAATCTCCGTCGAAGGCTGCAGTCCGCCTCCAGTGGCTTTTGCGTTGAATGAGGTACCCTTAGCGCGTCGCTCTTTCCTGTTGGACATGGTGGGTAGGGTAGAACAATAGGCTGATGAAATGAATTGGGGATGCAAGGGGAATGTCGCGTGTGCGGCTCCTCGCAATGTCGAAGATGACGTGGGTCAAAGCGCGTGCCAGAACCGCCAGTGGCCTCTTACAGTCAACCTTGCCCCAACCATGAACTCGGCAGCATTCTCAAATCATTCGATACTCTATCTAGCACACTGTTGAAAGTTTGGTTGGCTATGAATTGGACCGTCTGGGCATCGGTGCCCCTCCTCATCTTCGCCTTCTGGATGTACACCAGCACGCTCAGTACATCCTTCCCCACCCTGCATAACAAACGCATTTTGCTCCTCATAGCGCATCCAGATGACGAGGCCATGTTCTTTGCCCCGGCTCTGCTTGCATTGACGCGTCCAGAACATGGAAATCACGTCAAGATTCTGTGTTTGAGCAGTGGTATGGTTGACGCCTCTCCCCACATCTTCTCAAAGGGCCGCCACTAATGCCAGCCATATAACAGGCGACGCCGACGGGTTGGGCCACGTGCGCAAGAAAGAGCTAGTCAAGAGCGGGCTGCAATTGGGCATTGGAAGCGAAGATGATATTCTTGTCGTCGAGGACAAGTATGCGCTGCAAGGGCTAACATCGTACACCTGACTGATTGTCATGCAGGAACTTCCCCGACTCCATGACCGTAACATGGCACCCTCGTCTAATCTCCAACCTGCTTACCACGGCCTTTGCCCCAGACATGTCTTCGGTTTCTTCCAGGGAAGCACCGCAGGCCACCATCGACGCCATCGTCACATTTGACGCACACGGCATCTCCGGCCACCCCAATCACAAATCGCTCCATGCCGGAGCCCACAGCTTCCTCAAGGCGCTCATGCACCGTCACAGTGGCTGGGAGTGTCCCGTCAAGCTGTACACGCTTACGACCATTCCAATCTTTCGCAAATACCTCGGCTTGTTCGACGCCCCTGCTACCATAATTGGCGCAATGCTGCAAAAGAAGCAGCTGGGGGGGTTCCCAACTCCGCTCCTGTTTGCCAGCTCACCGATCGGTTACAGGACGGCTCAGAAGGCCATGACTACTGCGCATGAGAGCCAGATGCGCTGGTTCCGTTGGGGCTGGATTACCCTATCACGCTACATGGTGTTGAACGACCTGAAACTCGAAAAGACTCTCTAATGCTGGTCTTGGCCATGTCCGCCAGCCACAAGAAATCGAACAAAGACTTGAATCAGTATAATACCAGTCGTGGTCCGACATAATCGGCCCATTGACCGACCAGGGTGTGCATGGAGCGCTGATTTTCGGCCACTGATCCTATACGTTGGTTACGCGACAGTGCATGCAATGTTTTGCCGACAAACAAGGAGCGAACGCCCAGGCAGAATATCAGAGGCCCTGAATTTGTGTCACTACCAAGACAGGCAAGTCGGAACACGGAACTTAAGCCGCGGGTGAAGGCTCCACCCTTGGTGCGCTCCGGCGCGCTCGCGGGTGCGCGGCTTCATGGTTCCGTGTTGCTGGGACAGTCCTCCGCTACACAAGAAGTGCAAATTCAAATATGCTCTCAGCTTCCCTAATCCTATACCATATCTCGGACTATCCATCTTTTTCGCGCACCAACTGAAACCGTACAGTCCATTACATAGAAAGGAGGTACAGTGCCCTGCCTCGGAATTGCTCCTGTTCACGTGGATCGGACATCGGGTATCAAGGGACGCCGACTCAAGCGTTGACAACACCGCCACAGTCTGCAAACTCCAGCAGTAAGCTACTAGATGAATGGGTGGCTTGACACTCTCGACTGACGCATCGGGCTTCAGAAAGCACACTCCTACGACCGTAGCCTAACCCGAAGGGTTCCGGGTGCTGGTGTACATACTATGCTCACAGCACCCATCCTTCGCCTGCCAGTGGAGCTTCATTCAGAAATCATCAAGCTCCTTGACATCCGCGAAAGAGTCAACCTGGCTTCCACATCCCGCTACTTCAGATTCCTCATTCCTGCGCCAACGCACAACGAGCTTCTGGTCGCTGAAGACAGCGCATGGGCAAAGTCGAGTCAGCTATATGCTTGTAAGGGTTGCCTGAATTTCTGGAGCTGGGCTAGCTTTGAGGACAGTATGAGGAAGGGGAAATGGTGTCGCAGTGGGACGTTGGCGAGTTCAAGACTATGCCTGAAATGCGGGGTAAACAGTGCGCTGTATACTCCAGGTGTGCATCTCAGAGTCTGTAATAGGGTGCACGTACTCTGTGCTCAATGTCGGCGATTAACTGATCAGATCGGTCGCCATGGCATGTGTACTGCATGCTCTCCTAACATGCCGCGAAACCACCAGCCTCAGTACTTCGACGATGAGGACGACTGGACCTACATGAAGGACCGTATGTCCGACTGCAATCACATGCAAGAATTCAGTGACTGGCATGAAGAAGAGCATTTATCTAGGTACTGAATCGTCCAAAGCCACTTGTATTGTTCGATTTGCACTGTCACAGAGGTGGTTGGGAACAACTATACTCTATGCAGCAACTCAGGATGATGCCCATTTCTCGTCATCTTCGAACAAAAAACCGCGGCACAATACCGCCGTTTGAGCATCGAAGCTGTTGTACTACTAGCGCTTCTTTTCATTCGTACTTGTCACGACCGTTCTTCACACATCGTTCGTCAATCGCTTCGTCACTTTACACGTCATGCGTGTCATCAAAATTCACAATCGGCCGATGGTTGTTAGCAAGATGCGTATAGTGCTCAATTCCATACATTTACATATATTTCACGGACATTTGGCGAGAAAGTTTCGGAAATCAGGCACATTTCAAAACAAGTGTTGTAACTACACTTGATATTATCCTTGTTCACAAATTCTCGGCGTTGACTTGTCTGACTTACGAGAAGATTGGATATGGTAAATCCTAAGCCTACCAGTCGGCCTATCTCGCCTAAATTACAGCATCCGGTCCCTCAACGACCTGCTACTTTGAGAAGACGCCTTTCTTCAGGCTTGGATACTTTCATGTCAGTCTTACAGTTGCGGGATACAACTCTAAAGCAAGATCAAGCTCCACAACCGATAACCGCCCTTGCACCAATTCAACCACTTGCACGCCCGGGTACCAATGTTGCTCAAGCTACAGAAAAACGAAGCCTGACTCCAAAGCTACACCAGCCTTCCCGAGGTGAACCTGAGCAGCCATGTCCGTATCACAGGACCAAGTACCACTCGTTTTCAAGCATTGAGCGTTCTCGATGCACCTTTTGCGGTATGCGATCATCCAGACCCAGCTCCAGCGAGCCCTGTAAGGACTGTCGGTCGAAGAGCCCTTTTTCGCATATCAAAATGGGTTTTCGACAGAAATCGACACCTGAAGATTTCACAGAAATAGGGTCTTCCAAACCAGAGTTCTTCCATAGACCTAGTACCTCGTCTGATGAAGGGCCACGTATCGTGCCTCCTGAGGTTGCAGCAGAGAGGATCGGTAACCCACCCAGGAGAGCAGCGCTTCCCGTACCGCGCCCAGGCGCTGTAAACAATATCCTCAACCCGCCCTCTGCCCGCCCAGCATTCCAACCACCAGGACACGTCTCAGTCTCCTCTAGCGGAAGTGCCTCCAACGACGTGAGAACCAGTCCCAAATTGCATTATCTACATGGCTTACCCGATTCAAAGGCATATCCATATGTTCACAAGAAAGAAGTGAAGGACCACCTTGCCGCTATAGACGCTGGGATATCAAGCCCCCTTGCAGAATTTGCATTCACTGTGAAACAGCAAGAGGAGCGAAATCGATATACAGATTTCTCTGAGACGGTTTTCTACGGAAACAGTCCTAGTCCGGCACTAGTAAGCGATGTTCATAAGCTGTTCCCAGAGCAGAGTAGGCATGGCAATGTTGTCGTAGAGCATACACTGGTCGTAGGTGGGCACGTCGTTCCCAAACGGTCGAGAGCGCAGCAACAAACAAGTATTGAAGAGCAGTTGTATGAAAGCAACATGCATGCGCGAAAATCTCCAGCACTACAAGCACCTCGATCACGCATCTCAAGGCCATGTAGTCGGAATGAAATCTACGGCACTATGCCTATAAGTTTGAATGATGAAACTTCTCGCAAAAATGAACGAATTACGCACGAGCTCGCTTCTAACGACGAAAACATTACCATGCTCAGAGGCGGTGCCGGAACTAGCCAAGCACCTATTGGATATGGCTTATTATTCAAACAGCTACTACTCACATGTCACCGACCCGACTCCAAATCTACCAGTGACAGTGAAGACTCACCAGTCCGAATCCCAGACCCAACCCACATAGCCCGAACAATGTGCAGGGCACAAGGTACTGCGCGCCTCCCCAAGAACCTTTCTCGCACAACTGCTACATCACAAACGACAAGAAGCTCCTCCAGCAACGGCAATGGAGCACCTCCATCCCAGACAGCCACTTACGCAGCTACACATACACAGCCACGACCTCTCTGTAACATGTCTTGTATGCCCTGCGTCTCCCCTCTTTCTTCCTCGACTCAATCTCGCACTCAGGACTCTCCTGTCAACTCTACCTACTCTCTATCTATACCTCCAACTATCGTACCGTGTCTAAGAGGCGGTGGGAGCTCCCTATATGCACTCCGCGACCAAGATAATCTACCGCCAACGCTGGTGTGGCTAGCAGGTGAGAAAAGGAAGAGTACTACGGTTGCGAGATGGAAGGAGAGCAAACCAAAGGTTAGGATGGGAGGGATGCTGGGGTGGGCAGTGTACGGGGCGAGGGCTGGGGAGGCGCGGGGACAAGGAGCAGGAGAGGGGAAGGGCGAGGGTGTGAAGTCTGCGGGTGGTAATGGTGGCGTGGCAAAGGTGCAAGAAAGTGTGCCAAAAGAGACACAGAAAGGTGCAGCAGAAGAGAAGAAAGAGAGTGCAGCACAAGATACTGTGCAAGAAGCAGCTGTAGGAGATGTGGTACCATCGGTTAATCAAGGTGGTGCTGAGAAATGAAAGTAAGGAAGTGTAGATCTCTTGGCAAAAGTACTGTTTTCCAATTTTCCAATTCGAAGTATCTTACATTATGAGGCCAAGTCAGGTAATCAAAGACCTGAAGGGAAATAAGTGTTTCATTTTGAAATCTTGTCCTGCTCATGCACATGCTTGATCTGATGTTGCGCCTCCTTTTCAACCGCCTGTTTCCTCAGTGCGGCAATCTTATCATCGATCATAGCAATATCCGCTTCAACCCTCAACAACTTCTCCTGCATCATCTTCTCGTAATCCTCATCGGTCAAGACTTGCATTGGACTCCACCTGCTCTTTGCAATCTTGTGCATTAGCGACTCTTTTGGCCTTTCCTCACCCTTAGCTCTTAATTCGGCCAGCTCCTGAAGTTGACCAGAGTTTCTCGCATCCAGGTAGTTGTACCCGCACTGTCCGAGCCAGCCTACTAGACTGAACACTAGAGTTCCTGGGATAACGTTACGGGGACCTCGAAACAAGAAACCAAGAGTGAAGCCGGTTGATCCTCCGGCAATGGTAGAGGCCCGGACTTTGTCCGAGGGAGATGGATTTAGGTCATCACGAGGATAGATGGGGGCACCTCGAGTAAGGTTCCACCAGTTTAGGAGGCCATTCTGGTTGAGGAGTGAGGTGCGGAAGCCCCAGAATGTGGATCCAAGAGCAAACCATTGAGCTCCTGAGGCGATGGAAAACAAGACGGGTGTCTGAGTGCGGACTGTGCCGTATAAAGCACCGATTACCGTACCGGGGATTGCTGTACTAGATTAGCTGTTGCGCATTTCCCTAAATAGAGTTGGGCTAGAACTAGGTTGAATGGTAGAGAAGAAAAGCAAAACATGATATTTGTGTCATTTTCCCGATCTGTGGATAATGTGTATGCATAAAGCAAGGGAAATGGCAATGCGAAAATCCCAAGGGATAGTTCGTGTCTCAATGTCTGACAGGACAGCCACAATGGCAAAATCGCAAGCGTACAACAGGCGACGATTACGTCAAGATATGAGTCGACCAAATACGTACCTGAGGCTCCACCGACCAAGGCGGCCTGTCTGGCAACCTCGAGAGGCTGTGTGACCTGGGCTGGGTCATATTTGCTGGTCATCACTCTTGCATGAATGCGACACACAAGGAGGCGATGCAGGGCAAGGCGAGACAGTAGGGATCTAGAAGCGGCATGCGCAGTTGCATGGATGTGAAATGGATTTTGGGATGACATAAGCGAGGCCCAACGGACGCACAGCTTAAGATTTCCGTTCGGGAAAGAAGAACTCACCCCACACACGAAACTACGGACACACCCCCGCAGCCAGAAGAACAACCCCGACCCAGAGTAGAAGACGCTCTTAGCACTCGAACCAGACAGCGCGCGGAAAAAATCCTTACGCGCGTAGTCTGCTAACCCGCAATCATGGGTGAGTCGCCTTGGGCTGCGCAAAGTGCGGCCGTCGCTCGCGAGCCGGCTTTTTTTGCCCCGCTTTGTACTGCGACGACAGAAGAGACGCAAATGGCTAACGGTGGTTTTTTGCAGCGCCCAAGAAGAAGGAACAGCAGAAGATGTCCCTGGGAGACTTCCTGGGAGATCAGAGTACGCCCCCTCCTTCACCGACCGGCCCCAGGCGCCACAGAGGACTGACTGAACACAGCGCTGGGATCATGGGCTGACGAGATGGAGGATGCGCCAATGCCAGGTGAGTTTCGCCATATCGCACTTTGCAGCAACCTCGAGTACTAACTTTTCCAGGCACTGGTAAAATATACCCCGCCGACACTCGCGGCGCAAATATGCCTCATTCCGCACGCTAACGTTGTCGTAGGTGCTGGCGGCCGCTCCGGATATGGAGGCGACAGGCCCACATTCGGATCTGGAGGTGGCTTCAGTGGTGACCGCGGTGGTAGCTTTGGTGTGTAAACGTCTGCAAGACTTTGTCCTGCATGCGCTAATAACTCTTGTAGCTGACCGCGGATTCGCAACTCGCGAGGCTCTTCCTCTCCCCTCCAAGCCCCCGTACACCGCTCACTTGGGCAACCTCTCCTTCGACGCCACCGAGGGTGACGTAACCGACTTCTTCGCCGGCTGCGAAGTCACCAATGTACGCATTGTCGAGGACAAGCTGGACCGAAAGCCAAAGGGCTTTGGATATGTTGAGTTTGGCAGTGTAGATGGACTGAAGAAGGCTCTTGATCTCTCTGGCACATCATTCCAGGGCAGAAATATCCGCGTCAGCGTTGCTGAGCCTCGTACGCTGCACACCCACTCCACCATCTGGAAAACTTACTAACATCATAATAGCCAAGGACCGCCCAGAGGCCCGCGACATCTCGGACTGGACTCGCAAGGGACCACTCCCCGACCTTCCAGGCCAGCGCAGCAACTCCGGACGTGGTGGTTTCGGCGCCGGTCGCGACCGTGGCTTCGACGCAGGATCAGATGCTGGCGGCGAACGCAGCGAACGTCGCCGCCCACCTCCATTCGAGAGTGACGGTAAGTCTCGTGATTTCGGTAACTGGGAGCGCCGCGGCCCTCTCTCGCCAGCTGCTGCGCCTTCTCCCAGTGAGAGCGGCCGCACGCGAGGCTTCGAAGGAACACCCCGTGAGGGACGCAGACAGTCCCCAGCTTGGGGTGAAGGTCAAGGCACTGAAGGCTCACGCGGATCCCGTCGTGAGTTCCAGGAGAGGCCGCATGTTGAAAGGCAGCCTACTGCTGCAGAGGCCGACAATCAGTGGCGGTCCCGTATGCGCCCCGATGCACCAGTCAAATCACCTACATCGACACCCGATGTCAGCACACCATCTTCGCCAGCACCTGCGCCTGCTGCGCCTGCAGGCCGACCCCGCCTGAACCTGGCCAAGCGAACAGTCTCCGAGGCCCAGCCAGGTCCCGAATCCTCCACTCCTTCAGACAAGCCCAACCCCTTCGGTGCTGCCCGTCCCATTGACACTGCTGCGCGCGAAAGGGAGGTTGAAGAGAAGAGGCAGTTGGCTCTCCGCCAGAAGAAGGAGGCCGATGAGAAGGCTAAGGAAGAGCGCAAGGCAAAGGAAGCTGCCGAGAAGGCCGCACCCAAAGATTCAGCACAGCCTACCCCTACCAGGAAGGACGAGAACAGCACAGAGGAAAAGCCCAAGGCCAACTTTGAGATTCTCCAGCGTGTTGATGAGGGCAACTCGGCTGGTCAAGACGAGGACGCTCAGGGTGAGATTGTTCAAGACAAGGCTGTCAAGCCGCAAGAGGTTGTCCGTGACCCACCAAAGTCTGAGGCAGGTTCATGGAGGAGACAATCCAACACACCTGCTACGCCAGCTACCACCACCGAGACCATGGATGAGGATGGCTGGAGCACCGTCACCAAGCCGACTAAGAACGTCAAGAACAACCGCCGCGGTGGAGGCGCGCCAGCTCGCGCAATTGCGTCTTAGGTAGGCGTATCCACTGTCTAAGGCTGGCCCGTCATTCCGTCTGGCCCTGATATTATATCCGGATGATCGCAGCGCATTTAAAACGGCGTGGTGGAGTCCTTTGCTTTCTCGGCCTGTGCTGTCTACCGCAGCTATGATTTGTTGGGCGGTCCTTCGGTATTTGTTGCATCCGTGCACTACATGGTCTTTTGCCTTATGCTTCGACGGCCTTGTTCATTCAAGCGCGATTTACAAGGCGCCCCGTGGCTGCTCAACCGCTGGGACGTATTATGAGCTTTCTTTCCTTTACGCCCGATAACGACGTTATCCCCTTGACGCTTCTCGTCTACAAAAGTATTGGTCTTTCCTCTTGGACCCTGCGGATCCGGTAGAACACAGGGCATGCCATATTTTCCCCAATATTCCCCTTGCATGCAGTTCGACTGTTGGTATGGATGAGCTATGCTCACTAGTCGGTTTCCTATGATGGATCTTTTTGTTCGGTATGACATGAGAAGAGTGTGCAAACATGTATTTAGCTGCGACTAGATTATGAAAGGGTCATCCACTCCACTCGGACGCATCATTTCGAGCTTGTTTGTGTTTAGGTTTGGAAACATTGCGTGCATGCTGCCTTAGGTCTGCAGACGATCGAGATGGCCATGTTAAGCAATTGGACACAGATAAACCCCCTACCAAAGAATGGTACGACCCCACTAAACTCTACAGATGTAATTGTAATGGTTTAGGTGAGGTGGTTTGCAGGTAACGTTGAGTCGTAGCACTAAGGCACGATGATCGCCGCTATCCGACAGGGTTCAATCATGCATGATCCTGGTCTGTCCGCCACCATACGTCAGATGTGCTGAGTCTGTGTTCCAACTCTGACATCCTGCTTTAATAGCAACCGAATCACCAACTCCATTGCCTAACATTCCCCACAACTGCAATTCATCACGCAGCCCCTTTGTACCAGAACCATGTATATTTGAGTGGTGTTTTCAATTCAACGACATCAAGGACCCCCTGCTTGTCTTGTGTTTGAACCCTGAATTGAAAGTCTATTTGTGTTGATGTACACTAGTACTGCGTCAGAGGGATAGAGACGACAAGCAGCATCATGGGTTCCAAGTCCGCATCACCAGGGCCAAGTGCAAAGCCAGCAGCGCCCGCAAAGCAGACGAGGTCCCGGAAAGGCACTCCGCCCAGCCAGGCTGAGCAAGGAAGGGCTGGCTCCGCGGGAGGTGTCGTTTTGCCAAAAGGGAAAGTAGCGAGAGCATCGACTTCACCTTCAAAGAAAACTACAGCGGCAGTAGTTCGACCTTCAGTTGATACAGCTGCAGCTGAAGCAAAGACTCCAAGAAGAAAGCCCAGAAAACTCAACAAAAGTCCGACCTCAACCCCTATTAACGCCCCCGCGTCCCCTACTCGTACCAGCATATCGAAAGGGAGCCCTCCTTCCTCCGAGCTTGAAGCCCTAAAGGCACGAGTCAGGGAGTTAGAAGCAAAGGTTGAGGAATTGTACAAGACAGGTGCAACTTCAGACGCTCGTGGAGGCCGTTCACCCCGCCGACGAGGCAAAGGACGAAAGGCTTCATCCACTGTCCAACTCACTCGCACCAACACCAACACAAGCGACGCAAGCGTCAACAATGCAAGAGGCCAAGAAGTTGCCGACAACGACGAAGAAGACGCAGACGAAGAACTCGTCCGTCTAGAAGGCGAACTCGAAGTCGCCCGTCAAGACCTCGAGCACTACCGCCCCAAGACCCGACGGGCCCGGTCCGACGAGACCGAGTACGTCGAGGAAATCCCACGACGCGCAAGCAACGGAGGAGGCACCGAGCGACAAGTAACTCTCAGTGGCAGCTACCGCATCCCGATCCCCGCCTCAGTCAACCTCGAAGACGTCCAAACAATCAAATCGGGCGTCTCAGCCGCCCAAAACGTCGCTCGCTCCTTTCTCGAACAGCGCCGTGCTGCTGCTGCTGCTGCTCGCACAACGCAAGATACACGACCATCGGCATCAACGACGCGGCCCCAGCGCAGTATGAGTTCGAATCTCGAAGTCGCGGTGGATAATCGTGGGGGGAAGCAGAGCTGGAGCGATTGGATTGGCGGGTATAGTATGGCGATTACGAGGGCGGTGAGTAAGATTGAGCATGAGGCTGCGGTTGAGGCGCAGATGGCGAGGGGGAATGGCGGTGGTGGTGGTGGTGGTGGTGGGAGGAGGACGAGTGTGCCCACGTCGAAGAAGATGGCGGGGAAGCGGCCGGCTGCGAGGGCGACGTTGAGTGGGGAGCAGGTGCATGGGCTTATGAGTTGAGGTTGGGAGTGTGTGTGATGCTGATGGTTAGTACTGTGGAGTTTTCAAACAAAAAACGTTGTTAGAATTATACATAAGTGATAAACGGCTTCTTGGAAAATGTAATTGGTTAGTAGCAATCTCAAATAAGGATTTGGACATATTGATTTGATGACAGACCATCTACACAAAGTTTTACTCTGAACACTTCCATCACCGCAAGAATCGAGTTGCCTTCCCCCCCCCCCCTTACTGCTGCTTAACATCAATCGGTGTCCCAGCCTGCTCCCCACTCTTCAAGCAACTCTCTAAAATCTCCAGATCCTTCAATGCCTCCTCCGGACTCTGCATCTCATTCCGCTTCCCGTCCTCCAGACTCTTCGCCCAAGCCTTAATCTCCTGCTTGACGCCATTGCCCTCATCCGGGAACTCTTTCGCCTCGTCATCCTTTCCTTGCCTCTTAATCACCACCTTACCCCGCGAAACCGTCACCACGCCCTTCTCACACGCAACCACATACTCAGCCCCCTGATCCGTACTCCCCACCGAAATAGACAGCGTACCGGAACTCCCATTTTCGAGCTGCAAAACCGCATTCAGCGTATCCACAGGCGGAAGATGTTCCTGCAACTGCGCGGTAAACGCACTCACCCTCTTAACCTTTTGCCCGGCACCTTGCAGCAGCAAGCGTGTTGCAGCTACAAAGTGCACGCCGCCGTCGAGGACGAAGCCGCCTTGGTGCTCGGGCTTCTTGCGCCACGCCGTCTCGTAGTACTTGCTGCCCACGGGGACGGGGAACATGACGCGAACGCGGAAACTGAGCACACGGCCGAGAGAGGCGAGCTGCTGCGAGGCCCAGATGTAGGAGTCGATGAAGCGGAAGTTTTCGGCAACGGTATAGGTGGCGGATGTGTTTGCGGGGTTGGAAGTCCAGGCGAGGAGGGAGGAGGCGGTGCTGAGGTCCTTGGCTATGGGTTTCTCTGCGAAGACGTGTTTCCCGGCTGCTAGGGCTTTTTTGATGTAGTCTGGTTGTGCCGGGATAGGGAGTCTTTTTTGAGGGGAGTGGGTTGTTTGTTAGTATATTATGAATCGGGTAGATTGAAAGGGTTCACAATTGGGGTGTTATTGTACTTACGCGATTACCACGCCTTTGATATCGTCTCGTTTTAGCAAGTCGTCGAATTTTTTGCCGTCTTGGTCGTCGCTGTATAAATCTACGCCTGAGAGCTTTTCGGAGAGGGATTGGGCTGATTTGAGGGAGCGCGAGTAGACTGCTTTTAGACTCAAGATGGGGGCATCTTGGATGGCTGGCAGATGCTCTTCTTTGGCGAAGATGCCGCTGCCGATGATTGCGACTCCAATTACCATGTTCGATTGTGTGTATTAAGTGTGGTGAGGAGGATTATGGAAAAAGCAGTTTGAGATGAACTGAAAGCCTGAATTCAGTCTATAAGGTCGTCCTTGTACGGCTGTACTGCGGCTAAATGGTAATTTGTGGTCGATGATGGCATTCTTTGCTTCCAATTGAAAACGCGATGCGACTTGTAGCGGGGTAGAGTATGTTCTCGCTCCACCACAATGGCCATGACGTCGGGAGCCATTCCACATTTGGCAGAGGTGACAGTCGTGCGTCCGCGGACTCTCAACGTACATAGTCTTGGTGCACTTTCGATTGCACTTGCATTCTCCTTAATTCGTGTCTCAATGCAGTTTGAGACAACTGGCGAGCATTCATACCACAGTGGCGCAGTTGCCAGCAATGCCTCTGCGCACAGACTTGCTACTCCCGCTGACACAAATAGTCTCCATGATCATCTTTGGGCGTTTTTATCTCCCCGGATTCTGTATCTTGGCAGTTATTCAAGATGTAGAAATCGTTTGTAATGATTACGAAAGCCTTCTTATTCATAACTCCCCGGTTTGGGCTATGGCCTTCTGGAACACCTTACTCTAGGAGATCTGTCATGTGTTTCGCGTCAAGAAGTTGCTCCACTAACACGCCACCCATCATCAACCTTCGGCGCTAATGCAATCCTACAGTACTTACCCTAGAGATTTGCAGTATGTGCAGGATCGAAATCCATAGTGGTAACGTTGGAGCCAAGTTTTCTTTGCCGCTGCCCAGAATGCGGCTTAAAGCAGGGGGGTGGAATGTAGTAGCACCGACAAACGCTCGCATTCGACCACTCGAACGCTTTTGGCTCCCAAAGCCCACAAAACATTGGTTCTCTCCCCCGTTACAAGCAACTGCCGAAGCTATGTTTTGCAGGTAGAGTCTACGTGTGCATGACTTAAACCAGTGCCACCGAGGGTTGTGCTTACAGAATGTTCCGACGTACTGAAACACAAAGTGCGTTGGAGACGCCTAATCCCTGGGGTCTCCCCAACCAACCCCATGCCACCGGCAGTTGATTTTCTAGCAACTATCGCTAAAGGACGATCATGATTGACGAGAGATCGTCTCCTTGGGTGCTTCAGCCTCGTTTCGTTGCCTCTGGGTTCTGCCCTGACCACTTTGATACTGTGTGCATGTGCTTGGTATGGCCTGAGGTGATAAGGCGGGAGGGCCCGGATGGAATATCGGAGCTGGTCTCATTATCCATGGTGTTCATATCATTCTTTGTGAATCTTTAGTTTCCATTCTCTTAGACGCAGGTCGTTTTTTTTTCTGAGTAGCTGCTGGCAGCTTTTGTACTTGTTCTTTTCCTTCTTCTTCTTCTATTTCGCTAAAAGGTAACTACTATTGTTCGCAGATAGTCAAGATGGGCCTCGGTATTCTTGATGACCCTCATATGGCGGCTCCCCCAGGGACGTCGACCATCAATGACTCTGGTCCAGCTGGTAAACTCTACAAGTTGCGTGTCTGAGGTGGACAATGTTGACTGGGTTGTAGTTGATTCGAAAGTTGACTCGAGCTACTTGAAGCGCGATGGAGACGTTATCTTGCAACCGCAACCATCGGACAGTCCAAATGATCCTTTAAACTGGTGAGTTTATTGTGTGCTTGGATCTCGACTTGCATTGACGAGTCTAGGTCACCGATGAGAAAGGAGTGCATCATGGTCCTTCTTGCTTTCAGCTCTGGTGCGACAACAGCGTAAGTACCTTCAATCACGGGGCAATCTTCACATACTGATGCCAGTGTAGTCTTGGTCCAATGGTGACACCCGGTTTACCTCTTCTCGCGAAAAAGTACAACGTCAGTATTGACATGGTTTCGAGTCTCATCATCGGATTTCTCGCTTTCTGGATTGGCTTCACCACGTTCTTCACAGCTGCTGGAGCAAACATCTGGGGCAAGCGCCCATTCTTCGTTATTTCGACAGTAGTTCTCCTGGCTACTAACGTTTGGGGATTCTTTACCCGGGTATGTTGGAATGTAGAATATCAGTCGATCATTGACTAACTTTTGTCTAGTCATTTGTCTCCCTCGCTGTCATGCGTGTCATACAGGGTATGGCGTCAGCTCCTCTCGAGACGCTCGTCACGTCAACGGTATCGGACATGTACTTTGTCCATCAGCGAGGCACACGTATTGCAGTCTGGGGCTGCATGTTGTCTTCTGGAGTGCTTCTTGGGTACGTCTCTCTTCCAGTGTTAGAACCTACCCAGCTAATGATCATCTAGTCAAGTTATCGCAGGCGCAATCATTCAAAACGTCTCGTTCGAAGCCACATTTGGTATCTCGGCGCTGATTTTCATACCCATTGTCCTCGGCGTATACTTTTTGATTGTTGAAACTACATACTACGGTCCACGTCCCACGGGTGGGAAACCTGGGTTTGATGGAAAAGACGACGATTCCATCGCTGAATCCATGGCTGAACGCGATGAGCCTAGGCATACATTCAAAAGTCAGCTCGCCATCTTCCGCGGTCGCATGTCACCTGAATCATTCTGGAAGAATGCATGGAAGCCCGTACCCTTGATCGCTTACCCCGCCGTACTGTTCAGTACTATCGTGTACGGATCGTACTTTACCTGGCTCCTGACCATCTCCTTGCTCTCGGTCAGCGTCTTCACCGCACCCCCTTACTTGTTGACCCCCTCCCAAGTCGGCCTAACCAATCTTCCTCTCCTCGCCGTTTCCCTCATCGGCTCGCCACTCTCCGGCTGGACGGCCGATGCAATCGCAAAGTTCATGGCGCGCCGCAACAAAGGCATCTTCGAGCCCGAGTTTCGGCTCACACTCATGATTCCCGCCACCATCTTTGCAACGGTTGGTTTCCTAGGTTTTGGAATCAGTGTGTCGCGAGGCTTGCCTATGGTGTGGCCTATCGTCTTCATGTCGATCCACTCATTGTCTGTGCCGTTTGCCTCGACGGCGAGTCTGACTTACGTCATTGATTGCCACCCCCGTGATGCAAACCAGGCGTTTGTCACTATTAACTTTACTAAGGCCGTATTTACGTTCATCGCGACGACGTATGCAAACGGCATCATGGCCAAGGTGGGGCCGAGGGCAGTGTTTGATGGTATAGCGCTTATCAATTTGGGAATTTGTATGCTTACGATTCCGGCGTACGTGTATGGAAAGAGGTTCAGGAGTCTGGTGAGTTTTTACTTTTGTTCTTTTGTTTTTGTGTGTTTGTGGGCATGTGACTTTTGCTAACAGTGTGGAATAGATTGCTAGAAGCTCTTTCGGAAAGAAAATCTCCGGTTAGAGGCGAGATGACGTGGACGCGAGATAGAAGTGCGGTGCGGGAGCTTATACACAAGACAAGGATGGGATGTGGTACATTCACGCGCTTACGTACATATGGTCCATATACGCACGGTGTCTTTTCGCACAATCGATGGTTTTGCATTACGTTCTGGTGTTTTTTCATGTCGTGAGGAAGTTCTCATGGGAAGCCAGTACTGCAAAATAGAAGAAGCAACAGTAGTCTACATGGTGTAACTCGTTCAATTAACCTCATGTAGGCTAATGGCATCTCCAAGAATACCCAAGAAGTAGTAGTACTTTTAAACTAAGAAGTAGCACATGGCCTTGTTACTCATCTAAATAGTGGTCCATGAGCCCAGCTTCGAGAAGCCTAGCCGCCGCACACAGAACAACTCAAAGAGGACAAACGACACGAGGAGACCCTTGGCTAGGTCACATTCACATTACACGTTTTCCATGTTTTAGAAAGTTTTACATTTCTTAATTTGTATACCCCTGAGGGTAGTACTCTAAAGTCGTATCGGTCATCTCCAGATTTGCCTTCTCAGGGAAGCGGGCGCGGAGGGGGTCGTCCATCCAGACCCAGATCATTCCAGATCATGTCATTCCCTTCCCAAGGAGAGAACCCGTAGGTCTCGCCCATTTTCGAACATCGCAGTGTAGAGAAAAGCAAGATGATAACCGAAAAGAAAACCGAAATACTCCTAGCGCCTTTTTTGCACCACCCCAAGTGGTCTGTCTTCCCCTTCCTTTTTTGGGGAAATTCCTTTTTTGTTGTCACCAAACGTCAAGTTTAATTCGTGCTGATAAAATGACGTTTGCAACCGCACAAACACACACACACACAAAACGACCAGCGTCCGCGCCGCGAGAAAGAATGGGGGTGGATATGTCATGAAATGGTTTCTCGCTTCAAGTACAAGAGAAAAATCAAAGCAGATAGAGAAGAAAAGGATTTCTTCAGTTTGTGACTCTCCGGATGGCGTCGCCCGGTCTCGGCATGACTTGTCTTTGAGAGGAGAACATTTGCGACATGGATTGTTGTTGGGGCGACATGGAGATGGCGTAGCGCGGGCTGATGGGCGAAGTCAGAGACGACTTGCGGGCGGCTGTGTTGACGCTGGTTGTGATTGAGATGGGAGAGGGTGTGGGTGCGGATGAGGTTGCGGTCTTGAGGAAGACGCGGGCGGGTGGAAACTGGCTGATCGGAGGCATAGTGTGTGGTTGAGAGAGTGGCGGTCTAGGCCTTGTGGAGGATATAGAAGATCGAGGTTGGTGTCGTTGTAGTAGATGAATGCGCGTTTAATGTGCAAGTGTGCTTGAGTGTGGTATAGGTATGTTGGAGAAAAGGGTGACGCTGGTGGCTGGTGGTTGATGGAGGGTGGTGATTCCGCTATTCGGGCCTTTGGCACTCGATGATGTTATGGCAGTGTGAGTCGTAGGTGGTAGTGGTTTGCAGGGAGAGGATAAAAAGCAAGCTAGATGGGGTGCAGCAGACGAGGGCTGATCTTATATATTGGTGAGTCGATCCAATCTTGACTCACCCTCCAGCTCGTCCGTCCATCCACCCGCCCAAGCCCATTACCCTTGACCCACCGCCGACACACACGATCTGTTTCCGTATCCTCGGCGTAAAGCCCGCGTCAGAGTCACGAGCCGGCGCCCCGGTTCGAGTGCACCCATGCACAAGCGAGGTTAACTGCGCCGGCTATGACATGTGATGTGAAGGCCACACCGTTTGGAGCTACCACACTTATGGCGGCCAAAAGGTTATAGGTCACCCCACATGCAACCCACCTACCGATCACTTCCCCCGGACATGCTAAGTCTGTACATCCATACTCCACACACTACCTATACACCCAATGCCTGCCTGCACACGGTGTCGCGCAGAACCCGCGCTTTCCCAACCACGGAGGCCCAATCGGCCCATCATCCTCGTCCACCCTCCTGTATTGGTTCCGGTGTGTGCGTGCAGATGGACATATCCGGTGTATGCAGCCTCTTCCCCTCATCTCTCTCTTCCCCTTATCCGGTGACTTAGCTTCGATCCCCCAGCGTATCCGGCCGCGTGAGCAGGGCTCCATTTCCGGATCGCGTGAGCAAGGCGAGAAAGAGAGCAAAAGCCGGCGCGACCTTTTCCGTCCACCTGCGATATTTTTCCCAACTAGTTTCCCAATCTTGCTTTCCCTCTTTCCCCATCGTACTGCTGCATGTCTCATACTGCAAAACACTCTAGCTCCCGCTGTACGCCCCCCGGCTCCTTGGCTCACTCAATCTCAAAGGCGCGATGCGTCGATGCGTAGCCTGTGCCTTTACACCATTACAACCACCACCACCACTACTACTTCACCACCAGTCTAAAATCCACGCCCGCATTGCATGGGATCCCGTCTCTCCTATAGGATACCCCTCCCAACCTGACACAGAAACAGCACATGCATCCCTCACCGCCGTTGTGCGCATACGTACCTGCAATGCGACTACGCGGGGGTGAATAATGGGAGGGGGGGTAGGAAGGAAAAAAAGAGGCGTTCACACTGGCAGCCGCAAGTCCAGTAACCTTGCGCACATCAGACAGTGACAGTTGCACTTGACCCCCAAAGAAGCCCGTTGTAGTAATCGTCCACGTCCCCCTCCCCCACTTCAGCAACTCGCACATCCAGCCGCCCAACCCTTTCTAACTCAACCGTCCCTTCCTTCTTTCCCCAATACCAAGATACCAAATCAACCGCCCAAATGGGGGAAGGGGCCAAGCCAGCCAAGTCCGCTCCGCATAGTGTAGGCGGGTACACAGGATACACTACCTGAAGCTGTTTCTGTGCGAGGCCGGGGGCCGCGTCCTCTTCTCAAGGGTTTTAGCCCTCTAATCAACATCTTGATACCTCTGACACTCTGACAGAATAATCAAACGGGGTCCCCGCTTGTGCTTGCTCTTGGCTCATGCAACACACACAAGTAACTACTGAACTCACAGACACACCTTTTACACATACACCCACAAAGGCTATTTGCCCAGATTCAGTTAATGCCGTCTGTCGATCAAGGCTGTTTATGCAACCAGCTGCTTGGGCCCCCGTTTGGCATGTGGGTTGTGGGGTGGTGGGTTGCGAGGCGTATCTGCCCCAAATCTTCGTGTTTGAAAGTCGGCCGCCTGCGTTTGAAGATGCGGCTGTTGCCAAGGCTTTGCTTGCTTTGGGTTGGCAATGTTTCGTGCTAACACTAATCTTATGGTTAAATCACATGTAAAAAAGCACTAGAATGATCACCGAAAAGGCTTGGGCTGCAAGTGCGTAAGCGTTTTGTGGGCCATGCCATGTGAAGGGGTCATAAGGGTAGATGTGGGTGTGGGTGTGTCTCTGAGCCGTGGGGGGTTACGGCTAACGGCCATCTTGCACATGTACAAAGGCGGGCTTGATGCACGATGACTGTGACATCGAGATTGTATGCGTTTGTCCTTTCAACAGCATAATATAATCCGTCCATCTAACTTCATATCTGTCCGTTGTGTAGCGTAGAGCGCTTGCATGCAGATCCCCAGAAAAAGCACAGTGTGCGGCGTGCTTGGAGGGTGTAGTGGGAGCCAACCACAACAAAGGCCATGGCGCCTTGGTATGAACCAGTGGGAGAGCTCCAGCTTCCAGCTCCCCAGTCAACTGTACCACAGGCACCCACATCCACACACATCCGCATTTGCATTCATGGTACAACATGTCGTATCATATTACTTTTCTAATATACAAAGTTATCCACCTCTTCGGCATTATATCCAATTCGTCAAGACAACTTGTCTTTCCTGCAACATGCGACAGCCTTGTCTAGAGCAATCACCGTATACAAAGCCACCAACGCCAACACACTGTTGCTTCATGTCATGCACGCGCATGTCCTGTTGGCATGCTACCGCATTCGTATAGCATGAATATCCCAAGCCCTCTGTATCGTAGGTGCTCGACGTGTCTAGGCCTTGGGCTTGGCCTTGGGAGTGCCGCTGCGGACGCGTTTCGCTTCGGGCCGCTGGAGGTGAGAGGCGGGAATCCAGCTCTCGTCATAGGCCTTGGCGCCAGAAGTGACCGCAGGGCCATCGGCACCGACAACTGCAACCTGGTCGGCAGGGTCGACCTTCTTGCTCTGACCCGAAGACATCCTGGCGCGCTCACCACCCTTGCCGTGGCCCTTCTTCTGAGGGAAGAAAGTGCTGATCCAAGTGTTGTAGATGAAGTAGACAGTTCCGCCAAAGGCACCAAGGACGACAAGGTAAAGGAAAAGGCTACGGGCGCAAGTCAGTCATGGCACAATCATAGAAGTATGGCAGATCTGCGGGGAACGTACATCTGGGGATCAAAGAAACTGTTGGGGGCCTCAACAACGCTAACAGTCTCGTTGTAGGCGGGAATGGTGAATACAGTATTGTTGGCGCCCTTCAACACAGTAATAAGTTCCAAGCGTAGGTTCTGGGGGTGCATGTCGAGAGTGAAGCTGTAAGGAACAGTCTCCTCGGCGCCAGCGGGAATCTCAATCGAGTAGCGCTTCGAGGTAAGGTTGCGGACGATTTGGGATTTGCCGGCGACCTCAGAGACGAGCGAGCCACCAACAACGGAAACGCCAATGGGTGTGGGCTCATTGTTGGTGACGGAAAGACGCGCCTCGGTGGCATGGCCGTTGACGAGCTTCACGCCAAAAATCTCAGACTGGGGGAATGAGACGGAGACGGCGACATTGAGATTGGGCGTCTGCGGCTCCTTGACTTGCTCTTGGACCTTTTCAGCCTGAGAATTGGTGGTTAGCCATCTGATGTCATGTGTCGTCACAGCCTATCAAACTCACCTCGGCGGCGGCAAAGGCACCAAGTGCGCGTAAGGAGAGCAGGAGCAGAGTAGAGGATCGCCAATTGACCATGATGGAAGCGCTGCAAACAGATGGGATGGTAAGAATAGAGAAGAGGGGCGTGGGAAGAGAGATGGTGGAATTCGAACGTGGCTTCTGGCGAGTGACGTCCGGGCGCGGTTGGGTCTTGGCGAACGTAACGACAGCCGCGGCAGCGGAAAGCCGACGTCAGGCAGTTGGCTGCCATAAGCAACAACAGCCGCCAACCCCATGTCTCTTCGCACACACGCGACATCTTTCTCTCTTCGCTTCTGACACGATGGTTTGCAAATAGCGACACAACATGACAAATCTGCCTTGTCGCGCTGCCGCCTTGCAAATATAGCCTCTTTGCACACGTCTAAGCGCCGAAACGCAAGGGATAGACTGACCACGCCACCTATTCCTGCCTATGCAACGCTTACCAACGGCGGCTATTCGCCTGCGGCTTCATGCGCCTAGTGCTTGCGTTTGTCCCCAACGACACCGACATGTAGTGTACATACATAGACAAATGCCTTTCTGCCGGTAGCTTGCATTGCATCTTGGTTACACCCTCCAGGGGTATACTAACCGTTAACCCTTTTCCGTTTTCTGTTTTCTGTTTCCATTGCTCGTCCCTCAATACGGTTCCTGCCTGGCATTTGTTCCCCAACACCGTTTCCCGTTTCTCGTTTCTCGTTTCTGTTTTCTGTTTTCACATTCTTGTATTCCGAATCTCTGCATTGCCACTGGAAGCGTCTATAAAGTTCTGCCCCTCATCCGCGTTTGCTCCTGCCCATCTTTCACTCCCCGTGAACCGTGGAAAGAACGTTCGGCCGCCTGTCCCACGTTGCCTTGTTACACTCTACCTCACTTTCTCGCCTTCACATGTGCAGCAGCCTCGCACAACAAACTTCTTATCCCCTCCCTGCAATAAATACCCATCTCCCTTTAACGCCGACGCCTCTCGCCTGACCATCTCAGCATGGCGCTCTCACTCGATGCGCACAGTGGCATCATTTCTCCCTCGACCGTTCAGACTGATAACGATCTAGACATGCTCAGCAAGCGCTTCGAGCAGCTTAACCAGTTAGAAGAGGAGAAGAACAAGTTCATGACTGTAGGTCTCGAAGAAAAATACTTCTGCAACCAACCTGACTTGCTGGTAGGAGCTCCTCGTACGCTATGAATATGTCGTTCAGCAGAACCAGGCCATGCTCGCCGAACGCAACCGCGATCGCGAATGGATCTTTCAGTGTCTAGCAGAAAAGCAACACTATGAGAGACTTGCGGGCAACATACAGCAGGCCGTGGTGAGTCAACCCTACGCCATACGATGATAGTCGTGCATCTGCGAACCATCACAGCACAAGACTGACATGCAAGTATCAGGTGGACAACTCCTTTGTTGTAGTGCTCATTGACGGCGATGATATGATGGTTAGCCCTGTTGTCGAAAAACGATTTCTGTTTTGCTGATCAAGTGGCCAGTTCCTCGATGAGTTTATACGCGAAGGTGCAAACGGCGGTCGCCGCGCCGCCTCGAAGCTGCACGCCGCCGTCCAAAACTATATGCAAGACCAAAGCGAAAGCACTCGCAACACCACCCCGCTCGAGGTGCGCATCGTTTGTCGGATTTACGCCAATGTCAAAGGCATTGCTGAAGAGCTTGTGCGCACAAGTGTCATCCCTGACATTACCTATTTCGAAGACTTTGTGCGTGGATTCACAACGGGCAAGGTATTGTTCGATATTGTCGACGTAGGTATGCATGATGATTGCGCCACAGAGAAGATCATTGGTGAGTATACTCAGTATATATCTGGTAGCACCTCAAAACGCTGACAATATGCAGAGTCTTTCAAACTCTACTTTCGAGATTACCATTGCTGCCGGTTATTCTTCGGTTGTTCTTACAACGAAGGGTACACACGACTTCTTGAAGAACACTCTAATCAAGAGGGTTTGCGTGATAAGGTGGTACTCGCTGGGGGTCCTCTTTTTGACAAAGACCTGGTTTCACTACCGTACAAGGCGAAAAGACTTTCCGGAATCTTTCGTGAGCCCAAGTACGCATCTTGGGGAGCTGGGCCTGTTTTGGGGGCTCCTTCGCCAGCTTTTGTTCCTGCTACAAATGGAGCCGAAACAAAAGGTAGCCCAAACAGCTTCGTCCCATCAACCGGTCTTCCATTTCGGTTTCCAGCGCCTGCGTCTTCACGGCCACTGAGCAGTTCATCGGTCTGGGAAAGCCCTCTCCCCAAAGGTGCCGTGTTGAGCCATATGGCCAGAACTCCATCGACTTCAACCTTGGATTCTGATGGCCTGCCTGCACAGAGACCCATTGCAGCGCCTATGAACTACGCCGCTAAAGCCGCAGCTCCTCCACCCCCAAAGTCCAAGTCGCCTACCTACATGCCTACCAGCCGCGAGGAGATCATCGCCCGCAACCGCGCAGGGCAGCGTGTCGACCCACCCTGCAAGGACTATGACAAATCCGAGGTTGACCGCGTTAAGAAGATGAAACTCTGCAACATCCATTTTCTCCGCAAGGAGTGTCCTTATGGAGATTCCTGTACCCATCTGCACGCCTATAAGCCTACGGAAAGTGAGATCGCTACACTTCGTCTGGTGGCGCGCATGGCGCCCTGCGCAAATGGTAGTATATGCCAGGACATCAAGTGCATCTACGGTCACCGGTGCCCTGCGCCTCGGCATAAGACCAGCCATGCCAAGGGTACCAAGAATTGTATTTTTGGCGACTCGTGCAAGTTCTCGGGCGATTTGCATGACATCGACACGACTATTGTGAAGACTCTGGTCATACGCTAAGAAGTCGTTTCGGCCGTTCTTGGCTAAGGTCTGTATAGGCGGTAGACAGTGAGGGTGGTTACAGTACGGTACTTGTTATGTGGATGAGTGTTCCCCAATGCCCAATGATTTTCCAAGATATGCTACTTGTAAACTCGTTTTACCCGGGGATGATGTGGTTGTATAATACGAGATGATAGTTCTGAAAACCAAAAGGCCATCTACATAGTACTAGTAGTCTAGTACGTTACCCTTGTATTCCCCACCCAAACTAAAACAATAAAAAAAAGAGAAACAATTTCACTCCTTCTTCCACTGCTCAAACTCCTCTTCTAAATGCGATTTCAGCGCCGCAAACTTGTTTTTGAAATTCTGTCCGCATCGCCAACACTTCATGTCCCAGCTCGGCCAGTCTCGCGGGTGAAATCTCGCACTGCCTTCTTCGAGCGGGAACTCGTGCAATTGCACCAGGAAACTGGTGTTGAAACTTAGATAGTGCTTCTTGTGTTTCATCCATGGTGAATGCATATCGCGACTAAACACGTGGATGTGCAGGTGATTCATGGACGGATGCGTGTGCACGCCCGTCACTATTTCTTTGGTCCAGTCGCGGCCTGGTGGAAGTAGAGCGGCCCGCTTGGATGGCGATGGTGGGTCGGGGCCGGACATGAGGGATTCGAGAGCGGTGTTGTACGGCGCATCTGAGGCGCTGCCCTCGCCGTATTGGCGGCGGAGTTCGTTTGCTGCTAGTTCTACCAGATGCGCGGTGCGTGTTCTTACTGTGTCGAGGAAAGCGGTGTCGGTGGAGAGGGCGCGCAGGGGGTGTTGGGAATAGTAGGTGCGTTTTCGTGGAATGAGGAGAAGGTGTATGCTATATCCTGGTTTTAGTACCGTAGATCTATTTGAGTCTGGGAGGTATTGCCCAAGTAGACGGACCTTGCTTTTGGGTACTTGTCAGTTATTACGACAAAGTCGTCGTCGTATTCTAAGACTCTTCCTTCGGGGTTTGTCTCGGGGGTTTCGATGTATACACCCAGTCCATTGCGGGGGTCCCAGCGTTTGGAGGGTTTGACGTCTTGCTTGGTAGTACTTGGGGAGTCGGCGGCGGCTATGCCATCTGGTGGTTTTGGTCGCTTGGATTGCGACATGAGTTCTGTGACTGTGTTGTGAGTTGAAGTTGCTTAGGGACTTGGATAGAATAATTCAGAAACATACATGCATTGGGACGCTTTTGGGAGCCAACGTCCATGGTAGGTTGAGGTTGATTGGGCGTTTCTGTGCCATTTATCTCCTCTGCTGTGATCGCGTCGCGGGGTTGTTCCGCACTGAGGTCGTGATTGTTGTTTGTGGACATGATCGCTCGGAAGCTATCACGTGGTGGCTGATAGATGCCTGGAGTCCTCTCGTGTATTTTTCTGTATGAGATTGAAAACAATCTCCCGACAATGGATTGTTTAGTGATTTGGCGCAACGACATGTCGCGTTGATAGGCGATGACGATGAGGCTCACAACAGGTGGTCCGAGCGTAACGAGGCATCCCTGCAACCATCGGAATTTCGGATTGCGTGCAACATTCCAGTGTCTCGCTGCTACAATCGAAATGGCTACAGCACAATTCATAGTCACTTCCTCTTCGAACAAGTGCACTGATAGCTGGTGGTGGAGTTTTGGTGATTGAGCCCTTTTTCTAGCGCGAGCGCCCTTAACCGCTCACGGACGCAGGAGACATCTTTGTCCATCGCTCCCCTTCCGAAGCACATACATCTGTCCATGGATATTACTAGACGCTGCAACTTTTTCCTGGTCCGACACAATGCCAAAGAACGCACACCCACCCCGCGGTAAACCTGCAAAGAAGTCAGTCCCGCCCGAAGAAGACACAAGCTTTATTGTGTTTGGCGACGGCAAGGCCAAAAAGAAAAAGGGCGAAAGCTCTGGCGGTGACGCAGCCCAAAATGACGGCAAAGGAAAGGGCAAGGGAGGAGCCGCTCAGCCTGAAGATGGTCCGAAAAGACCAGATACTCGGACTTTGATAGCTGGCGCATCATGGACTGGAAAATTGCCTGTTAATCTACTGTCAGAGCACTTTCAAAAGCAACAGTGGGCCAAGCCAGATTATCGCATTGTACGGATATTCTTTCAAAGCAGATGCATCGCAGCTGATGGTTTGTAGCGCAAGGATGGCGACAAGCATTTTGCCTATGCTGTGGTGTTGTCCAAGGTGAACCAGAAGACACGAGAGACGACGACTCTGCCGCCAATCAAGATCCCCGCCGAACTCGAGGAGCAAGCACACCAACCTACCGCTGTTGAGGCTCGCAACTTTGCTGCTGCATATACCCTCTTTCGCGTCGCCAGCGCCAAGAACCTGCACATGATGCTTCCGCCGACCTACAAAGATTTGTGGAAAGGACAGTTTACGGAACTGAAAAAGAGGGATGAGCAGGATGGAAAGGGCTGGATGTACGAAGCTGACCCATTCTTTGGCTTTGCAGAGCGAGAAAAGGCTCGGGAGACAGCTGCTAAAGCGCGCGAGAAGAAGCAGAAAGAACAGGCAGAGGCCCAGAAGGCCCACAATCAGCAGCCTGGTGCCGTCATGCCTGGGTCTTCAAAGGAGTCTGCGCCAAGCAGGAATTTGATGAAGGGATGGGAACGCGTGCCAAAGATTGAGCTGGGAAAACGGACAAGAAAAGAAGCAGAGCGTTTGATCCGCCGTGATGCCCTCTGGAACCCGAATGGTGTCGAGATGGACGCGGCTACAAAGGCGAGGTTGGTTGAGGAAATCACTGATCTTGGGTTTCGAAAGAGCCATGTCGAAGAAGCAGCCGAAATCTGCAAAGACCGCGAGGAAATCATTGAATGGCTTCTTATCCATGTACCAGAGGACGATCTTCCATCTTGGTCTTTACCCGAAGGTTATGTTGCTGGCGTTAGTATGGCTAGCACGGACCTTAAGCGCGAAGGTGCTGTGAAGCGTCTGGCAGCTGCAGGGTACGCTGTAGACCTATGCGAAGAAGCCTTCGATAGCCAGGGTGGTGATGAAAGAAAAGCGGCAGCTCTTTTGCAGGCTCGCCTTCTTCGACCAGAAGAGGATGATAACAGCATCTTGCAGGAGCTGACAGATCTTTCTCTGTCAGAGGGCATGTCAGAGGAAGCATCTGAGGAAGATCCATGGGAAGTGGAGATGTCATCGCTGGAAGCAATATACGATCGTCTCTTTTCACGACCCACTCCAGAGGCATGTCGCATTGAATTGGACGTCAAGCAACAGGGTAAACGGCTCATTTTACAAGTCCGAAAGCCCTTTGGTCCTTACCCCGCTGTTGTACCAATAATCACATTCGAAGCTGCTATCCCAGCTTATATTCGCCTAAGCATCATCAGGCAGGCCCTCCTTCATGCAGAGGCAAATTTCATTGGCATGCCAATGGTATATGATATCGTGGACTGGATCCAAACGAATGCTGGTGACATTTTCCAAAATCCAGGAAGATTATCAGATGTCTCTTCTGGACTTGCGGCAGCGGACCATATGTCTGAACAACCAAGTCAGAAACGAAAGGCAAAGGGAAAGCCTCGGAAACCTATCGATTGGACACCAGCGACTCCTGCAAGTCAAAACGCGTTGGCCGCCTGGCAAGCTAAGCAAGATATTCCTGCGCAACAAAAGATGATGGATGCTCGAAAATCACTACCTGCCTGGCGCCTGAGAGAAGATATTGTGCAGACTGTCAACAAATGCAATGTCACCATCATCTCAGGTGAGACGGGATCGGGAAAGTCGACCCAATCAGTGCAATTTGTTTTGGACGACTTAATACAGCGGCAGCTTGGTGCCGTAGCGAACATCATTTGCACACAACCTCGACGAATCTCCGCTCTTGGCCTCGCTGATCGCGTCGCTGATGAGCGGTGTTCTCAGGTTGGCGATGAGATTGGTTATACCATTCGTGGAGAATCGAAGCAGAAGCCTGGTACTACCAAGATCACATTCGTCACGACTGGTGTTCTTCTCAGACGACTCCAGACCTCTGGCGGAAATGCCGATGATGTTGTTGCTTCACTGGCGGATGTGAGCCATGTTGTGGTAGATGAAGTACACGAGCGCAGTCTGGACACTGATTTCTTGCTTGTTCTACTACGTCAAATCCTACGGCAACGTAAAGATCTCAAGGTTATCCTCATGAGTGCCACACTGGATGCCGCCGTCTTCGAGGCTTATTTCAAGGAGGTAGGACCAGTGGGTCGTGTGGAAATTGAGGGTCGTACCCACCCTGTAACTGACTACTACATGGACGACATTCTTCATTTTACTGGATTCAAAGGCTATGGAATGGACGAGGAAGATGATTCTGGAGAGAAAGGTTTCTCTGCAAATCTCCGGAGTATTGGGTTCGGCATCAACTATGACTTGATTGCTGAGACCGTACGCCATATCGACCGTCAACTCGGATCCAAGGATGGTGGTATTTTGATCTTCCTGCCTGGTACCATGGAGATTGATCGAACTCTCCAGGCATTAAGCCAGTTTGCCAACCTACATGCACTGCCTCTGCATGCATCGCTTTTGCCAATTGAGCAAAAACGCGTCTTCCCTCCCGCACCTCATGGCAAACGAAAGGTCATTGCATGTACCAACGTTGCGGAGACGTCCATCACGATTGAGGATATTGTTGCCGTCATCGATACAGGTAGGGTAAAGGAAACAAGTTATGACCCACAGAACAATATGGTCCGTCTGGCTGAGACGTGGGCTTCAAGGGCAGCATGCAAGCAGCGACGTGGAAGAGCAGGACGTGTGCGGGCAGGTGACTGCTACAAACTATACACCCGAAATGCTGAGGCAAAGATGATGGAGAGACCCGACCCCGAGATTCGGCGCGTGCCACTCGAACAGATGTGTCTGTCAATCAAAGCCATGGGTGTACAGGATGTCTCTGGGTTCTTAGCTTCGGCTTTGACGCCGCCAGAGAGTACCGCAGTCGAGGGCGCGGTGCGCTTGTTGTCCCAGATGGGAGCTATAACTGACAACGAACTAACTGCTCTGGGTCGCCACATGTCTATGATTCCAGCAGATCTTCGCCTTGGCAAGCTGCTGGTATATGGAGCGACATTTGGTTGTCTTGAAGCTGCTTTGACCATCGCTTCGGTCCTGACGGCACGCAGTCCGTTCATATCACCGCGAGAGCGAGACCAAGAGACACGGAACGAGTTCGACCGCCTTCGTGCCTCATTCTCCAATAACCAAGGAGACCTTCTGGTTGATCTCCGCGCCTATGAACAATGGTCCGCACTCCGCAGCAAAGGCACCTCATCACGCGACCTCCGGTTCTGGTGTCAAGACAATCGTCTTTCACCCCAGACGTTGTTCGATATTGCCTCGAACCGTACTCAATACCTCTCTTCTCTAAAAGAAATCTCATTCATACCCACTCACTACTCCTCAACCAACCCCTCCACCCACTCCACCTATAACAAACACAACACCAACGACGCCCTCCTCCGCGCCCTCATTGCTGGCTCCTTCAACCCGCAAATCGCACGCATCCAGCTCCCCGACAAGAAATTCGCCGCGGGTATAGCCGGCGCCGTCGAACTCGACCCCTCAGCCCGTGAAATCAAATACTTCAATCAAGAAAACGGACGCGTATTCGTACACCCATCTTCCACCCTCTTCTCCAGCCAAACTTTCCCCCACAATGCCTCCTTCATCGCGTATTTCAACAAAATGGCCACGAGTAAAGTTTTCATCAGGGATATCACGCCGTTTAATGCATACAGTCTTCTCATGTTCGCTGGTAGAATCCAGGTTGATACACTGGGACGCGGGTTGGTGGTTGATGAGTGGATTCGACTTAGGGGTTGGGCAAGGATTGGTGTGCTGGTTAGTCGGTTGAGGGGTATGCTAGATAAGGTGCTCGAGGGGATGGTGAGGGAGCCGGGTAAGGGGATTAGTAAGAAGGAGGCGGAGATTGTGGAGGTGGTTAGGTGGTTGGTTGAGAGGGATGGGTTGGATGCTTAGAGTGGAGGTGATATAGGGGATGGATTACCAGATTTTTGGTATGGAGAAAGTGCGCGATGGTGATGTTGGTGGAGAACACAGTGGTGTAGACGAGATAGTTGAATGGATTGGATAAGATCTGGACACTATATCTTCCATATTTTGGTCTTCTAATCTACATCTCTTGCCCGCTATTCTATTCCCATGAAATTAAGAATATGTAGTTAATCTATTGGCTTCGTGATACATCCTAGTTGCGGTGGTAGCTTTTATACAAACAAAAGCGCAATTTTTCTTTTCTGGCGAAGAAATATGTAGGATATGGCGCGAACCGGCGAGGTAGTGTTTCGCTCATGAGTTTGCTTTAAAGCTGTGTGTGCTGTATGGAGAAGGTCATCCATGATGTGGACGTCTTGATTTGCGTCATAGTCGCGATTTGAGGTATATACCTATCTCGGCATCCTTGTTTGAAACGGCATACCATCTCACTCACTATCTGAATCCGGGTGTTTGCGAATGTTCGAATTGTGCTTTTGAGGAATCTTCAGGCAACGTTCTGATAGCTTAGTTTGGAGTGAGCCAAAGTCGACGGCGTGGATTTGAGGCTGGACCAAGACCATAGCTCAGTACCGCGGTGCAAGGATGTAGAACTAGTCTTCTAGATGAGTTCTATAGAGAACGCTGAGGCCAAGGCTATTCTTTGCATGGAATGGCCTTTTACATTTTCCAATCATCCTTCATACTCAAACGACTTTAGGTAGCGATCTCGTGCATCCATAGCAGATGTTTCGTTTCGTGCTTTCAGATCCAGAGTCTTTACCGTCATGTTGGTCGCCACCCCAGCCGTGAATACCAAAACGGCCTTCAGGCACGGGCATACTGCATAAGCTGCACTGTGGATCCGAAAGCGCATCAGGACGTGCATGGAGTTTGCCTGTAGTGCGAACGACGTTTGCAACGATACTTGGAAAGCTCTCCTCCACAGACTCGAAGTATTGCTTCATAAGATCGTCTATAGTCGTGTTTTTGGAGCTTGTAGATGCTTGAGTGGGGCCTGAGGATGTTTCTTGTACGAGTGAGACCAAATCGGAGTCTGACATGTTGACGTAGGAGATGAGTTCTTTCTTGAGCACATCTCGTAGCGGATAGTGGAACTGGAGGCCAAACGGAGATTCGCCATCTGATATTTGCCAGGGCAGAGAGAAGCCTCGGCCTTTTGCTGTTTCTGCAAGGGTCTTTTGAGCGAGGGTGGTGGTACTATCTCCCCAGAGAATGCTCTCGCAGCCGGCCAACTTGGCGTGTTCTACAATTAAACGGGTTCGGAGAGTAGAGATTACGTCAGCGCGAGCTGTGGCCGATGTGAGGGAATTAACCATGTGCACAAACTGATCTTCGGGACTTGATTCGGCCTGTTGTTGATCTTGGGGCAGCAGGGTCTTGAGTGACGCATCGTCTGGTACTAAACGAAATACTTCATGCAAAGGTAACGAAACATATTCATGGTCTGGATATTGTGCGCGGACCTTTTCCAGAAGCTCTTCAGCCTGTACGGCATGTCCTGGTTCTTGGATATGGACTGCACTAATCTCAAAACCAGTGCGGCCAGTCTTGCTCTTCTGCGTCTTGAGATGCAGATCCAGGACATGCAGGAGGGAGATGGATGAAAATCCGAAAGACAGGGGAACCAAAACCCTGCGTTGCTTCTCTGCGCCAAAGTTGACCCGGAAGGATTCTAGACGCTTGATACATTTGGTGTGAACATAGCGGGCGAAGCAGTCACTGTGCAAGTTTTAGCGAATTCTTTTTCTTTTCCTTTTGCCCAAGTGGCGTAGAACTGACTGGCAGAGGGGTTCAGAGCGAACGACAAGCACGGACACGCCCTTGCATCGCCTACAGGGCTCCTCAGAAGCGTCAGCAATGTGTTTGCCTGGCATATTGGCGTAATTTCAGATGGTGATGTTGATGTTGGTGTTGTGATAGTTGTGCAGGGCTGACTCAGTGGGCATGTGAAGAGTGCGGGACTGCGCCACATGCGGTTGAACGCCAGGCTGCGCCACGAACGGCCGCGCGCTAATCCGAGCTACCGGGAAGGCGGACCTGGCTGGGGGTTGTGAACGAACGCGCAATCGAAACTGCCACGGCTTCACGCCAGACTTGCGCCCATGACCTATCGTTAACCCTTACACGAGGAAGAATACCCTTCACTGACCCAAATCGCATTGTGTTCCCTGGCCTGAAGCGTCATTGTCTTTTAGCCGTCAGCTCCGCCAGCTGGCCTCTCATCTCTAGGCAGGATGAAGGCGGGCCTGCGCCTTATCGCGCTGCTGCTGCTAGCCACAATTACAGCAGTAGCAGCAGTAGAGGTTACTTTGGTAACTTTGCCTTCTACTCTGTATCATTTTCACCGCTGACACGCACCTAGAATCAAGATGAACGCCAGAAATGCTCGGGCATGTACAGCAAGAAGGCATGGGGCGGCAAGGTTGACCCATTTATACTTGTCAAGTTCATAAAAGACCCAAAGAAGAACGAGGGCATTGAGAACCCGATAGTCAGCGTAGTAGTGTGGGAGTGGAAGGATACGCTGCTTCTAGGTGCCCCATCCGACTTGCCCGTGAACGACGTTGGTACTCCGCAGCCTGATGCTTGGGAAAATTGACTAACTTGCGCATAGGAAAACCGCCATTACATCTGTGATGACGAATCTATCAAACTGAAACTATGTAATGAAACGCACAAGGGCGAGTGGGTGCTCGCCGAAGACGTCGACAACATCTCTCAAATGTACATCCGGACCGCCGCAATCAACCTCAACGACCCTAAGCCTATCAATTACCCCATTTCAACTGGAGAGAAGAAGGTTTCGATAAAAACAGGATACTACTGCGTGGCGGCGGCAGCCCAGGATAGTCGATTGCAGTACGAGGCCGTCGTGGTTTTCCGGAATGCATACGGCGAACTCCAGGCGGCCCAGATTGCAAAACTGCCCTTTTACGGCGGCATCACACTCGTATACTTTCTCGTCTTGGCGTTCTGGGGCTTCTTGTATTTCCAAAATAGGCACGACATTCTTGCCGTCCAGAACTACATCACCGCTATCCTGGTCTTTCTGGTCTTGGAGATGCTCATGACTTGGGGGTACTACGACTACCAAAACCGCCACGGTAACAATGTGGGTGCCAAAGCACTCATGATAGTTGTTGCTGTTCTGAACGCCTTCCGGAACTCATTCTCGTTCTTTTTGCTTCTTATCGTATGCATGGGATATGGTGTCGTCAAGCCTTCCCTTGGAAAGACTATGATGGTTGTCCGCTGGCTCGCCGTGGCACACTTTGTCTTTGGCGTCATCTACGCTGTCGCCTCACTCACTGTTCGCCCAGATGATGCTGGGCCTATTGTCCTGCTTGTTATCCTTCCGCTATCCGCTACACTCACGGCCTTTTACATCTGGACACTGAACTCGTTAAACCTTACCATGAAAGACCTCATGGAGCGGAAACAGCACGTCAAAGCCACCATGTACAAGCGGTTATGGTGGTGCATCTTGACAAGCATTATTGTCATCTTCGGGTTCTTCTTCATCAATAGCTTCACATTTGCTGGCGCTTCTACTCCAGACTTTGCGCCTACACATTGGCAAACGCGGTGGTTCGTACTTGATGGTTGGCTAAACCTAGTCTACTTGGCTGATGTATGCTTCGTTGCATACATGTGGAGGCCAACAGCCAACAACAGAAGATTTGCTATGAGCGACGAGGTAAGTCCGCACATACCGTATGCTTCATACAGAGATGCTGACCCGCTCTCAGATCGCCCAGGATGACGAAGGCTTCGAGATTGCCTCAATCAGAGATTCCTTGGACGAAGAGGAAGGGGGCCCGAACCAGGGCTCCTCTTACGATCCAGCGCAAAGATCCACTAATGATCATGCACGCGATGCATCACCCTTACTTGCGCCACAACCACAAAAGCCCATTCATCCTCCTAGAGAAAGTCTTGATGGCGATACAATCTTCGCTGTTGGTGAGGACGACAAGTGGAGTAGTGATGGAAGCGAGGAGGAGGAAAGTGACGAAGACAGTGATGAAGACAGTGACGACTCGGGTGCTGGAAACTCAAAGGGAGGTAAGAATGAGCGTTCGAGATTGACTGGTAAAAAAGACGAATAGAGGTTGATTGGCCGCAATGATGGTTCGGGTTTCAAAAGCTGTGGCTTTGAGCACTGGCGTTCGTCGGAAAGCGATATACTTTCGCATGGGTTAGCGGGTGGCATGTATTTTAAACAAGCTGCCAGTTTTTGCATAGCTGGCTTTCGCAATAGTGCATTTAGATCTTGTTGCTCTACACGTTGATGTCATTTTGCGTTTAAAGGCTGCTGTCTGGCTTCGTTCTTAACTCCGCAAATGCCGAGGCATCTCGAGTAGGAATGTCGTCAGAGTTCTTCACTGCATCTCCAAACTTCAATCTTGCGCAACCACCCATGGCAGCTCTAACTCTAAGCGCGCCCAAGCGCACTGCAAGATACATATGTGACACATGTCGTAATAGCGTACGCTATCCACGCAACCCAGCTTCTGCCGTACAACGATATCTTGGCACCACAGCATCCTTACGCACTGAAGACTCATATGAATTGACGTCGCATCAATACTTCCGCAGTCGAGCTGCCACCCCAGATTCAACATTTGGATTATCTCGAAGAAATTTCACACTCCGTCAATACGCAACATCCAGCCAAGCTGCATACGCCACGAGCTCAGGCTTTGCGCCATTGCCACATCGTCGCCTAATCGCCCTCTCCGGTCCCGACACTGCAAAGTTTCTGCAAGGCCTGATAACAAATAATGTTGATCCAGACCGTCAATCATCATTCTACTCTGCCTTTCTGGATGCGCGAGGCAGAATACTGTGGGACGTTTTTGTATGGGTGTGGCCTGAGCTTGTTGCAGAGAAGGGACACTGGGCTTGCTATGTTGAGGTGGATGGAGGTGAACTGGAGGCATTGAAAAAGCACTTGAAACGCCATAAATTAAGGAGCAAGATTCAGATTGAGGAAATTAGTCAGGAGGCAGTACGCGTCTGGGCAACATGGGGATCTGCAATTGAGCAGATCAACACTCAAGGTCTCATTGCTAGCCTGAAAGATCCGCGCGCACCAAAAATGCATCGCCATCTTGCAGATGCAAATATGCAAACGATAACAGATGGCGCGCAGCCTGCAGATGTTCAAGAATATCACCTTCAACGTTACCGAAATGGCATCCCCGAGGGACAGATTGAAATACCCCGCGAGAGTGCCCTGCCAATGGAGTGCAACATCGATCTCTCTCAAGGCATAGATTTCAAGAAGGGCTGTTACGTCGGCCAAGAACTCACCATCCGTACAAAACATACTGGAATCGTACGAAAACGTATCTTACCAGTTGAACTATACACCACCGCCACGTCAGCCGCTCTTCCTGAGCATGGTGCCGACATCAAGCAACTCGACGAAAGTGGTAATGTTAAAAAAGGACGCGCGACTGGGAAGTTCGTGGCTGGTATTGGTAACGTAGGGCTTGCAATGTGCCGGCTGGAGAACATGACGCATATGAAAGTCAGTGCTGAGGGAGGCACATGGAAGCCTGGGATGGAATTTGGTTGCGAGACGAAAGATGGAATTGTTAAGATTAAGCCGCTGTTATACGAGTGGTTTGTGTTGAGAGAAAGAGATTTATGGGACAAGAACAGGCAGAGGCTGTGAGAAACAGCTGAATGGAATCCCGAACTAGTATATCGATAGCCTCGCAATAGTGTCACCCACGGCGTAACTTGTTCGCGTAGTGCAATAGTTCACGTGGTGCGCCTGGCCTGACCGGTAGGCTGACTAGAGGGGCTGTGCATGTGTGGCTTAGCTTTGTAGACATAACGTCATCATATATCCATCCATCTCTCATTGTTGCGCTTTTGATGTTCAGTACATGTAATCTAGTGAAATATTTTATTCTTGGCAATTAATTGCGCTGTGCCGCCATTCATCCAATCAACTGAACATATCTAATAACTTTGCGGCAGTCAAAAGCTACCAATCCAAACCATGGCTCTTACCACACTATCGTCGAGGTCATCGGAACACCAATCTTCCATCTCAAACATGATTGCACGCTTCCTCTCAAAGAAAAAGACAACCCCAAAGCGAAGAGATGAGCAAGAAGAGGAAGAGCAAGACACTAGACCGCAACTCATCCACGCACCCGTTCCCCTTGTCCTCCCCGAACACCAAGACACCTTACTGAAACTTGGGTGGACCACAATCACATTCCCAAAAACTTCACCAACAACTCAATCCCCAGACTCACTCTCCAGCATCCCACCACCAGGGCCACACCCGCTCCAAACCGCCTACCAAGACCTCTTTTCTGCCGGCCAAGCTTTCTTCAACCTTCCCGACTCTGAGAAGCACCAATGGAAACACCGTCTTGGCTCTGAAGAAGGATGGTCGAAGATCCCCGGCGAAAAAGAATTCATCACCCTCCGGTCGCTTGCATATTGTCCCGATATCTTACGCGCACCTGCGCGACGGTACTGGGAACTTATCGGACAACACTGTTCGAGTGCCCTAGGTCGCATATCCACGGCACTTGCGCTTCCTGATGGCGAACATGAGGGTCTGCGTCAATTCGTGGGGCCTTGTGCGCGGATGCCTGTGGACGAAGAGGGCAAGACGGCGACGATGTTGAGGTTGTTTAGGTATGAAGGGTGGGAGGAGAAAGTTGTTGCGGAGGCACATGCGGATTTGGGATTGATCAGCGTGGTTGTGGGTGATACGCCCGGTCTAGAAGTTTGGGATGGATCTGACTGGTTTGATGTGGAGAGGGAAGTCGAAAGGAAAGAGGAAAAGGGAGCAACGATGCTGGTTGGACGCCAGTTGGAGAGGTTGACGAATGAGAGGTTGAGGGCGGGTGGGCATAGGGTGGTTGCGTATGGAGGACCCCGGGAGATGTCTTCTGGGGATGGTGTAGATGGTGTGACGAAGAGGTACCGGCACTCAATTGTTTTTGTGCTACGCGCTCATGAGAGTACACTAATCGATTCGGATACGCTTGAGACTCGTATTACGGGGAGGTGGAGCCAGCCGATGAAGGGGGTTACTGCGGGTGCGCTGTATGAGATGATCAGGAGTCAGTGCTTCAATATTAATGTAAATAAAGAGGAGAGAGAGGCACAGAGAAGAAATCTGGCTGACGCGAAAGGGATGCAGTGAGGCAAGGTGTTTGGAGTTTCCAGACAGTTGTTTTGATGTTTTCTATTAGTATTGTTTTGACTTCACGTCGAAGTTACTTTCTATATGCGTATTCCTCAAAACTGTATTGCTCCATCTTTTTGAACTTTATGATCGACAGTGGTGAAGGGTTACAGCCTGAAGTTGAAAAGACAAAAGCAGATTGGTTTCCATGCTGTATCATGTGTGCACAATAGTGGGAAGAGATCATCAGGTGGAATTGACAGATACCAGGTCACGTGTCGATAGGCCAAGCAAATACGACCACTTTCTTGTCGCGGTCTCAACGATGTCATCTAAATACCTTGATGAAGCCGCCTAGCACGACCACATACCCTTTCAGCTTCTCCGTCTCGCCTAGCCCATGTCTGTGCCAATAATGGCGAAAGATTCAGAACGGGCTAGCTCAGCCTTGTGTTAGTAGTAGTAGTATATGTTAGGCACACTTCAGCATCAGCCTTCCGACACATGGCTCATTCTCACCCCAGCTTTCTCCCCTCCCTATCTTCCGCATCCTCAAATATCTTTCCCATACATATTCGCACATTACGTCTGGTACAGGACCCGCATCTACAATCACCACAATGACTACCGGAACCCCACTTCCCGCTTTTAAGCACGACCCACTTCCCGAACATAAGTCACATTTCCGCCTACTCCGCATCATTAGCGGTGACTTCGGGCAACACGTTGAATGCAAGATATTTACCTGGCCCATTGGCGAGGCACCGCCTTACTACGCAATTTCATATGTGTGGGGCGATGCCAATGAGACGACAGACATTACGGTCAACGGCAGTCGTCTCGAGGTGCGGCGTAACTGCGAGTACGCGCTCCAGCAGGCCTTTGCCACCAAAGCCTGTAAACATGTATGGGTAGATGCTATCTGCATTGACCAAACGGCTGAGGAAAAGAATCACCAAGTCGGAATCATGGACCAAATCTACTCGGGAGCAAAGCATGTTCTGGCATGCGTTGGGCCCCACGAAAACAATAGCGAATTCCTCTCCGAATTTATCAGACGATATCGTCCATTGATGAGACATATTCGCAGCGCTGTGAACTCATATTCAATGTACATCCCGAGCTTTACATTTCTGCATCATAAAAATATTTTCCTCCATTGCCTTCTCTTCATGAATGGTAGGACGCGCTAAGTCATGTACTAATCGTTCCGGTCATTCATGACACGGCCATATTTTACGCGGCTGTGGGTGATGCAGGAACTGCACCTGGCTTGCAAAGTGTCATTTTGTTTTGGACCGGCTGTAGAAGAAGCAATAAATATTTCAAGCCTCTTCTCGCTCCTTGAGTCCTGGAAAACTCTCAAACTGGGCCTTAAACCCCTTGGTTGGCCGATAAAAGGACGATCCTTACGTTTAGAAATGATGTACGCATTATGGCATTTTCGAAACAAGGATTTCCGGGAAGTAGATTTCCAACATATAGACGACCTCCCGAAGGACCGCTTACGACTAGCCTGTGTGACATGGGAACAAATTTTGGGGGATGTATTGCTCAATACGGATGCACACTGCACTGATCCGCGAGATCGGTTATTTGGGATACTGTCTCTCGTACATTGGCCAGATGGACAGAAACCCAAGGTTGATTATGGGAAGGATCGTTATGAAGTTGCATTGGATGCAACGAAACTTTTGAACGGATGTGGCCCTGAAATTACACAAAGATTGTGTCACATCTTCCAAGTCACAGGAGAGGAGACATCCCTTCTTCATGCGCAAAGTGTGCGTATGAGTATTCCCGGAGTAACACTCAGATCGAATCATCATGATCATCTCTATAATCATGGATTCAATCATACTTGGATAGGTATCAAGGTACAAGGTAGTATGAATCGCTTGGGACATCCTGATGCATCTGGTGATAGACGTTTGAGGTTATTTTTATCACTTCAAGAGCATGATGGCAGTTCTGTTCTGAAGCTGGAGAAAGGTCGAGATATGATACCAATACGGGGACCTCTTGACACAAGGATAGGCGATTATTTGGTATATCAAGAGGAGAGCGAAACCACAAGTCCTTCTCTGGTTTTGGTTATTAGACCATCGAAAGGCGGCAGATTTAGTTTGGTAGGACAGGTATCTATCACAGAGGACAGTCCCTTTCTAAAGAAAATGCTGTCACGGCTGGGTGGTGGCTTTTTGTTCAAATCTTATTGGCGCCCAGAAGATGTTCTGCTTTTAGGGTGGACTGTCCATCAACTTGAGTCAGATAGCATTACGCAAAACCGAGTGAGTGAGTTTCTCAACAGGCGAATCTGTGCATGGGATGGGTCTTCATATTTCACAAAACGGTGAGAAGGGGATAGTCGAGTCAGACGTAGATCGGACATAAAGATTACGGACAAGGCACATAAATTCAATTAAGTGGCACTTTTCCAATACTTTGTTCCGTTGGCTAGAAAAGGAAGTCACTAAAAAAACACGATGTAAAATTGGAAAACAATCAGACTAGAAGATGCATGGCTGAATTCCCTAGGTTGATTAAGAACACATGAGTATCGTCGCGGAATACATCCCAGGGGCTCACCGCGGGTGATGACAGAAGTAGCATAATTTACTCTCTGGCTGGAAAGTAAGTATCAAGGACGTTTCGTTGTTTCACAATGGAAGCATTCCAGCTGATAAACTATGAACACATGCCTGAGTAGATGCAATTGCACATGTTATCCTTAGGATTAATCTTGTGACTGTGGCTAGGATGGCTCTAAAAGTGTTGATTGAAACACCCGGTCAGAATAGAAACAGCGCAGGCTGGGGATCCTTGGCTCGGTGATGGCACGTGACAGGCATCCACAAATATGTATACTGCCTTGGATTGATGTGACGCAGCACAGGCATTATGTGACAGGCTAGCAAAGTGAATGACGTTTGCCGTAGGTTACCAAGCCAGTGCTTGGCCGGGAGCGGAAGAAGCGGAATTCTCGCCTAGACATGGACGTACATATGTAAGTACACAAGTAGGATGGTGTATCGGCAGCAAGGGGCTTGATTGAGGCGTTGGCGATGCAGCCATGAAGCGTTTGTGGAAAAGGACCGAGCCGCAACTCCTTTTGAGAGGTCGAGGAGGCAGGAACAGGCTAGCGCCGACGCTAGCGACGCACCAATGTGGTGTAACGTACCCAAACGATGTGTTTCAGAACAGGGCAGGGGCGTGTGCGTTTGGGAAGCAGCGACCCAGCGACGACACGCCAAAATAATTCATTCTCTCCTGCCTGGCGGCACCACGACGACGACAACGACGACAACACCGACAACACCGACACCAACCCCATCAATCATATCGCCTCGACTCTCAGCCGCTGCTGACCAGCCCCTCCTCCCGACCGCCTCCCGTGCACAGCCGCATTGCTATTCACTGGGCTGAACCGCCTCGCCCTGTCTCGCCCCGCCGACGGCGTTTCCGAAACTCGCATGTTTGTCAGACATCAGCGCCGCCTCAACTCCGCACTGTCGCCCCTTCCTCGATAAACGACCTACGACCGCATGCGACGCCTGTCATCTGCCGCTGGACGACGGACGCGACCTGGCCCTCTTTGTTTGCACCACCAAAGCACCTTCGAAGGGGCTTACTGAGTCCCTGCGCAACTCGCTCCGACCAGCCGCGCCTCGCTTCGCTTGGCTACCGCTCAACGCCTGCCAGCCTCCAAACATTGAACACGCCGCGAGGCATGAGCTAGGATGACGCGCCCTCACATCATCAGAGCAGGTACGAGCACAGCCAACCCGTGTGTCATTCGACGTGCGTGGGCTAACTCATGGCGGTAGACACGATTGACCTGCAGGACAAGTTATCTCCGACCGCCCAAGACCATTCCAACCAGCCCGAGCACCCAGCGCCTCTTGGAATAGGTCCAGCCGCGCCCCATCAGCAGGCCGCTATCCGCCATGTAGAGAAGGAGCGTTCCTCGGAAGAGGCGCGCCTGCACGATGTCTGGACCCATGGCAACAGCACGCTCCGAGACGACCCCGGGTCCGACGATGAACGCACCGTCACAAACAACACAAAGGGACATGACGAGCCTGCTGTGAGGTTGAATGGTGGTGCAATTGGTGACGACGATGCTGATATGCAGGATGCTGACGTGGAGGAAGACATGGACGACGATATGATGGATAAAATCTCAAGTTCGCCTTCGATTGACGATGGTGGGTATTTTTTACCTTTTAATTCCGCGACTTGGCCCGCAAGACAGGAGTCTCTGACCCCACAATCTTCGCCGATGCCCTCAACAATCGCTTCCTCCTCCCCTTTCACGAACATACCCAATCATTTTCCTATTTCTGTCGCCGATGCCACAGGGCCTTTTACGGTCGCAGCGTCCGACAGCTCTCTTTTGTCAACATGTCAATTCCCATCAAATCCTATTCCTTTTCATTTACCCTCGTCAATGGAGCATCATCGTGGTGAGTATACCTGGACAAGGGCCACTACCGCCCCGGACAACAAGGACGACATGGAAGCAGAGGTGGGTATGAGCCCGAGAGCCAAGCACTTAAAGGTAATAGAACACCGCATACAAATGATAAGGGATGATTCGCAAGCATCACTCATCTCTGAACTTGATGAGGAACAAGTCAGGAGCACGCTCAAGCCCATCAGTCGGTCCTTGCTCGGCACCTCAGACGACCCGTTTCTGGATTGTGCACGCAGCCCACCTCGGACATTGAACGGAACGCCTCCACCTACGCTTCAGTACCCCGACGATGAAGATGGCTCTTGGACTACCGACAGCGATGCTGATTCCTGGGACGAGGACCTGGACCAAGACAACGATGATGCATCCAATGACGTTTTCTTTTCTCATGAATCCAGATTTATCGACTCAGGTTGGGGAGGCGAATGCTTACGAGAAATAGAGGACATTGATTTCGAATTCGTCTACGCTCTACACACATTTGTTGCGACTGTCGAGGGTCAAGCAAATGCAACCAAAGGTGACACGATGGTGTTGCTTGATGACAGTAACAGCTACTGGTGGCTGGTACGGGTCTCCAAGGATAACAGTATCGGTGAGTACCGACGGCTGACGCACCATTCTTCGCTGACAGAGACAAGGCTATCTGCCCGCGGAGCACATTGAAACCCCCACAGAACGTTTAGCACGTCTCAACAAGCATAGGAATATTGACCTTTCTGCAACGATGCTTGGCGATACCGCCGAGAAGACTAAAAATCCACTCAAGAAGGCCATGCGGCGGAGGAACGCAAAAACGGTACAATTCGCACCACCGACCTATGTTGAGGCATCTGACTATGACTACTCCTCCGACGAGGGCGAAGGTGAACTTTTTGGAGGCCCCGAGCCCAAAGAGATGCAACAACAGCAGCAAGCCACAGCAAAGACCGGTGATTCGTCCCAGGACGAGGGTCTGCAAGTGCAGCCGCTCAAAGTTAACGGCACAAGAAAGGACGCAAATGGCCAACCCGAGGGCGATGCACGACGCTCGAGTGATGACTCTAATAAACAGGACGGACAAAGAGGAAGCGAAGACAACCTGGATCGTCCACTAGATCCCAAAGTATCGCGTAATGGTACTCTCCGCAACACCGACTCTTTCTTCAAGGACGACAACACCGAAACACGCAAGATTACACTCACACCCAATATACTTCGCGATGACTCGACTCCCTCAAGTAATGGTTCTCGAGAACGCGGTCCAAGTCTGGAGAGTTTGGAGAAGAACGGCTTTGCAGACAAGGTGAAGGATGACAAGAGGAAGAAGGAGAAGAAATCAGGCATGCTCAGCGGACTGTTCAAGCGCAAGGACAAGAAGGGCAAAGGCCCGCAAGACTCCATTGACAGTGATGTCGACAAGGCAGAGGAGGTGGACCGCAGCTCGCCGCAGTCGAAGCCCTCGGACGAACTTGTAGAGCGATCATCCAACGAGCAAGTGACAGCACCTGCACCCTTGAGACAGTCAAGCAAGAACAAAGCGCATAAGCGCCCAAATCACCGAGACGACTCACCGATAAAGACAAAGGGTATCTTGAAGACGGAAAGTCCTACGGATATGGATGCAGATGATGATATGGATGTTGAAGATGAGCCAACTACACAGCAAGCCACCTCATCCATGCGCCTGGTACCGCCAGAAAAAGAGGATGAAGATCAACCCGCAGCTGAGGAGCAGAATACAACTTCTGTCTCGGCTTCGAACTCTGCAGCCTCAAAGAACCCCTTCAGCGGTATGATTAAGTCTCAAGCAGATGGAGAAGTGAAGCGCGAAAAGGTCACAAAGGCCAAGCAACGTGTACAGTTGGACGATTTTGACTCGGATCAGAGCAGCGATCCCTTTGCGGACCCCGACGCTGAACGCAAGTCCAGAGAAGCCGATAAATCAGAATCGGCTGAACGTCTCTCAGAATCACCAGTATATGTTTCTGTCGCCGATGTACAAGCAGGTCAGAAAGAAAACGGGGCAGACAGAGACAGAGAGATGGACTCTCACCATACCCCGGGCCTATCTACAGACAGCTCAAGCCAAGAAACAAACTCGCCGATATCGACACCAACACCCGATGACAGTCCTACGAAAACCACTCAGGAGGTTATTGATGCCCCACGGTCTAACTCCGGGAATACCTCGCCCACACATGTCACGTCCGACTCCACTATTCCTCCCCCTTCGAGGCCCGCTCCCATTCCTGCTGAAGAATCAGAGCCTTCTCCGCCTGCTTCTTCAGAGAGCACGATACTTCCCGCTTGGTCTGACGCTTCACTACGCGCCTATCTCGACGACGGTAGCGAGATTCGAGACATGCTCGTTGTCATCAACGACACTACAGGCGTCGTGCCAGTTGCCCCCGACCATCCGCTTATGAAAGATTACCTCGCAGAGGAAATGAAGACAATGCAAAGCTTGAGTGGCGAGCTCGACCGCTTGCTGAACGGATTAATGGAGAAGTCCATGAAAAGAGCAGGAAGTGCAGCTAGTAAAGCTAGCACGACACGCAGTACCAGCGCCAATGGCAGATTGAGCGCAGGGGCAATGTTTTGAAGGAGTGTAAAGGCTGGTCCGGAGTCATTCATCATTGTTAGTATACCCGAAGGACTGGATTTTCTTTCTTGCTTTTTTCTCCTTGACCGGCGTTGTCTTCGAGACCTGGGACACATCATGTGGGATGATTTTGGAATTCAATTGGGGTTTCTGGTTTGGGTTTGTCCGTTTTTTTTTCTCACTATGCCCCCTCCCCTTTTCCCGTTCTTGCACCTCTATTCTGGTTCCACCTTTTTTGTCTTTCTACTTACAGGGCTGAGGAATTGTTCTATCTGGACGAGCTACCAGAGATTTGTTTTTCTACTTTGATTTTCTTTTTGTGTCCTCTAACCCTTGCCTGTGGTTGACTGCATGGTCAATGTGGGCTTGGGACTGCAAGACTATTCGTTACATGATCACATCTCCAATACCCCTTTTTTTCTTCTTTTCTCCAATTCTTTGGATATGTTTTCGGCACTCGCTTATTTTTCTTTCTTTTTTTGTCTGGCTGTTTATCTTGGTTCGCGTGGGGGGCTGTTGACTTGTGGCAGTATGCTTCCTTTCCCCACTTTGTATTGTGTAGCATTGAACATGCTTCCTCCCTCCTGTGGAGGCGAGAGAAGCAATCCTGGAAATACATACTTTTGATCCCGAGACTTTGTTTAGAAATGTCAATGGTGATTGCCATGTTGATACAGGCAAGCGAGTAAGCTGTTCCAGTGCATTCTTATTTGCAAGCTCTACTGTGAAGTTTGTTAGGAACATTTACACAAGTCCTCACTTTGGTCACTATTAAGAAGATACATTTAATTCCCTCGCAGCCATTACGTGTATTCCTACGCTTAGATATCATTACATCTCAACATCCTCCTTCTGCAACGCCTTGACCGGTTTCTCATCCAACGCCGCCTCCTCCGCCTCACGAATACCCAGACTCTGCGCAATATGAAACAGCCTCATCTTCTCCTCATGCGCCGTGCTATCCCCAAACACGGCATCCATTTCCTCCAGGCTCTTACCCCTCGTCTCCGGGATGCAGAACCACGTAAACACAAACGCGACGAGCGCAAACCCGGCAAAGAAAATATATGTCCCGAACCCAATGCTGTCCAGCATATCCGGCGTCACGAGCCCAATGATGAAATTACACATCCACGTCGCAGATGTCGTCAGCGACATGGCCTTGGAGCGATTTCCGATGTTGTAAATTTCAGAGGGGAGGACCCAGCCAATCGGTGCCCAGGAGTAGGAAAAGTTGATGTCGTAGATGTAGATAAAGGCAATGCCTGTCCAGCCTGCAGCGGGGTGCGAAGATAGAGTTGAGCCGTAGCCTCCAATCACGCCGCCGACGATCAGGAGGGAGATGCAGGTTCCGGCTGCGCCGCAGAGGAGGAGGGGGCGGCGCCCGAGTTTGTCGATGAGGAAGAGGGCGGGGAGGGTGGAGAGGGTGTTTACTGTTTGATGCGTCAGTGGAGAAGTCTTTTCCTTTGCTTTCAGCTCAAAGTGGTTGGGGAAAGGGGAGGAGGGGATGAAGTTTACCAATTCCATAAACACCAGTTGCCAACAACCCCGTTGTCTTTCCTGACAACCCCAACTGGGCGAAGATTGTCGGAGCGTAGTAGATGATTGCATTACATCCGATGAATTGTTGGAAGAACATGACGCAGCAGCCGATAGCTGTGCGCTTGAAGGAAGGCCAGGTGGAGAAGAGGGTTGAGTAGCCGGCTAGGTAGAGCGAGACCCCTGACTTTCCTGGGAACTTCTCCCGGGCATACGTCTCTTCGAACATGACTTCTGCTTTGATAGCTAAATACTCTTTCTGTACTTCTTCGTCGTCGGGATTGGCACGTCGTACTCGAGCGAGGGCGCGGAGACCCGCATCTTCGTTGTCGCGCTTACAGTAGTATCGCGGCGACTCTGGGAAGAATAGCATGCCGATTCCAAGCACGAGACCAGGGAATATTTGGATAGCAAAGGGGACACGCCATGAGGCGTCGCTCTGGCCAGTGCATCCATTCGGACCCACGTCGTTGATGGGATTGAAACTGGGTTTCGAGGCAGTGCCGCCCGTATAGGGTATGTCTGGCGCACACCGTGTTCCGCCAATGTACTGAGTCCCGTACTCGAGCCAGTAGGAGACAAGGATGCCAAGGGTGATGGAGAGTTGCTGTAAGACGACGAGTGTGCCTCGGATGCCAGCTGTTGAGACTTCGCTCATATACATGGGGACGATCATAGTAAGCATGCCAACTGAGAACCCGGCGATTGCTCGGCCTATCGATATGTCGATTAGTTTCTTCAGGAGTGATGTCTGAGAGATGGGGTTCTACGTACCAGCAAAAGCCATTGGAATGTTGATTGCACCCGCCTGAAGCGCAGAGCCAATCGTGAAGATGACAACGGCGATTATGATCGAACCTTTCCGCCCAAAGCGATCTGCAACTGGGCCGTTGACGAGCGAGCCGAACCAAGCAGCGAGTAGCAGAGTCGATACGAACCAGCCCTTGAATGAACTATCAAGAGCAATTCTTGGAAAGGCTGCAGCGAAAGACTCCATGGTGAGGACCCCAGAAATTACTCCTTGGTCATAGCCAAAAAGAAACCCACCAAGCGAGGCAAACTGAAAGTTTTAGTCAAGATCTTGGATGTAGACGAAAGGCGTGTTACAGCTGATAGGCCAAGGAGGTATGGGTTCTGTCGTAGTTCCTTGTACACACTCGTTTTCTTGGCAGCCCCAGAGTCGACTGCATATCCTGAGTCTGACATATTCGCAAGCTCACAGAGGGTGCATCAATTGACTTGGTGGAAGGAATTCAGGATGCAAAGCACATGGAACATTGCAGCACCTCATCGTCCATATATGTACATGCTCATCATCGAAAGACCTTGGAATATCACAAAGAGACCGCCCAGTCACACGACTTCGGACCACAGTGGTCCGACCATACAGCAACACCAAATCTGCTCCACTGACATGCAATGCAATGCAGTTCTGTCTGAAATTTTCCCCGCGTGGAGAGAATTACCTGATTCATATGTTAAAACTGGGGATCGAACATGACTTGCGCTCGGATTACTATCGTCCGAACCCCACAAGAAGCACATCTTGCAGAGAACAGGTTCGTGTGACGTTGATACTTTGATCATTTTGACCCAACTTTTGCAATTATCACGTCTCACCCAATCTCCTTGCTACTTTCTGTCTTTTCACCTGACAATTGATCAACCCGTTCCAGCCTCAGGAGATGACGAACGATACTCGTGTGGATAAGCTTCGTGCAGCTATCCTAGACTTGGTCAAGCGCACGGAAAAGCTTCTCGCTCGCCAAGCCTCTAACCCCAGTCAACGCATGCTCGTTGCGCTTGCGGGTGTGCCAGGAGCGGGCAAGTCAACAGTATCCGATGCGCTCTTAATCGAGTTAGCGGCACGAGGTATCAAAGATGTTGCCATAGTGCCAATGGTAAGTGGCAACTGCAGCAAGCGCCAGGGGTTCTGACGATATCAGGACGGCTTCCACTATACTCGCGAAGTTTTGTCGACTTTTGCGAATGCAGATGTAGCATTCAAGAGACGGGGCGCTCCCTTCACTTTTGACGCAGAAGGATGCGTCAAGCTCGTGAAGTCGCTCAAGACTGCACCCGTCACGACAGATGGCGAAGAGGACTTGAGCATAACTGCACCGACCTTCGATCATGCAGCCAAAGACCCAGTCGAGAATGGGATCAGCATCTCTTTCCGCACACGCCTCATCATCATTGAGGGCAACTACACACTGTTGAAACAGAAGCCGTGGGATGAGATTGCAGAAATCTGCGACGAAAGGCGCGTAACTGCTCTTCGTTCACGCCCTAGACTTGAACTGACATTGCATAGGTGGTTTGTAGATGCACCTGTGGAAGTCGTTCGTGATCGCTTAGCCCAGCGTCACCTTGCTGCTGGGATTGAATCCTCAAAAGCGGCAGCCATTGCCAGAGCTGAAGAGAACGATATCCCCAACGGCGAGTTGATACGGTCATTGCTCATCAAACCAGATGTGATCATTGAGAATTGATGAGGGTTTTAGATCCAAGCGCACACTGGAGGCTAAAAAAGGAGGCTACTACTCTAGAACTGTGTAGTGGATAAGTCCCAGTCGAAAGAGGTGAACAGCTCATTGGACTCAACAGACCATGGGAAAGTGCTTAAGGCTTCTTTATCCAACTCAATGTTCTGGAGCGTACCCGAACTGAAATCATCCACGGATACAACCTGGTCAAGAATAGCGACGCATCTTGCTGAGAGTGAATCTGTGACGAGGTGTTCACGGAAGGTCTTCCTGGCTAACCGCACATCTTCAAGCCAGGTGGACATTTCTTTGGCGCCTGGGAAGCTGATTATGCAGAGCGTGATGACTAAAGCGGAATGGAAGAGGAAGTATCTAGAACAGCCAATTAGTTCCCAACACTTTGTGTAATCAATAAACACTATACTTACGTTGCATACCATCCTTCTAGTCTACTCGGTTCGCTCATTGTGTATTGGTGTATCGAAGTGACAGTAGAATGCGCAGCATCCAAACAAAGCCGCTTACACTCATCTTGAGCTGATTGCGTTGCTTCGTCAGGAATCTGGCCGCGCTCTGCAATTGCACGACGAAGCAGTATTTGTCGAAAGATTATGATTTTGAGGTTCCAGAACCTCCACCATAGTCGCGACCTTGCGAAGACATACCATCGGGCTGGCATATATGGCGGGTGTGACAACTGAAAGTACGGGGGTACCATGTGCGCCCATGCCTCCATGGTAGTGTTGAATGCAAGTGCTGCTTCAGCTGACAAACTAGGTTCAGCCAACAATCTATTTGTGATGTGGTTGGTCTGCATGTGGAAGCTACTCTGTTCACGAAGTGCAGAATAAATTGTCGGGGTATCAAGTTCGGTGGGTAGCTGAGTAGTTTGAGGAGTGAGTGCCTGGCTCGAGTCAATTGTGTGTAAACTCGTCTTTAACCCTATGGGATACTTTACATCGTCGTTTATATTGAGCACGGGGTGCACACTCATAGAATCTTGATCAGGTAACATAATTGCTCGTCCGAAAGTCGTAGAGGCTCCGCTATCGAACACATACAAGCCCCACCAGGCTCTGCGTCTCGACTCGCGTTCGATTAGGCTGATATTCCAATGCGGAAGCTCTCGGTGAAGAGCTAGACTCAGCGCTGTGCGCACTGCGAGACCTAGCAGATTCCATCCTGTGTTTGGGCTGTTACGTTTCTGGCTAAGATTGCTCAGTAATACAAGTGCTTGGACGGAGGACAAGCTGGCGGCTTCAAACACCGATTCATCCTGGCCAACTGCGAGAGCTCGACGGTACAGATAGTCTTCGAGGCCGACTTGGTCATTATTCATAGTCCACGCACCAAGTGCTATAATCGCGTGGTATAGCATGTCCCAAGACTTTTTCGGTGGCCGCGGAACCACCTCGTAGTACTGCGCGCGAAATGTTGCCTCATGAATAAATGGGTACACAACATGATAATTGAGGAAGTACGCGTCAATCAGGCTGCCCGCAAGCTGCTTGACAAGAGCAGAATGCGAGACGTGCGACGAAGCCATGACTTTCCTGAAAGACGAAGACGGTTCTACAGCATGTTTCTGAGGTGGTGCTCCAGTTTGATGTAGGAACCCAGCCCAATCTAGCAAGCAACGCAGAAATACGACACCAGAGGTTGAGCCTGAATCACGTTAGCGCCATATGATTTTGTCCGTGTGGGTGAGTTGACCTAGGTATCCTACCCCTGTAGGCTCTACGGAAAGGGCGGCCATGCCATCGGTTAGCCCGTCTATATTGAGGTCTTCTTCTTTCCAGTTAAATCCGTCAACATCGTTCGGCACAGCCTCGGGAAGAGGAGGTTCATTTGAGTTAGATTTAGTGCTGCCCTGAGGGCTGAGCGCGGCATCTGGTGTTCGCGACTGGATAATCTGTGGGGTTGGGATGGCTGCATTGGGAGAAGAAAGGAGTTCTTCGATATTGACACCCGGTACCAGCTGAGCGACCAGCGCTTCCAGACTGTGTAACCGTTTCTCTACGCTCGTAAGGTATGCCCTGGTTAGTGGCGACCTGACAATCTTGCCACTGTAATGGCATTGCGCACCGCTGTGGGCGCAGGCAGCGCAGAAGGGTGATTCCTTAGAGCATTTGAGCTTCTTTGCGCGACAGCGGTCGCACGACAGGGCATCCTTTGGTCTTCGGTGCTCCATGCATGAGACGAGTTTAGTGTGGAAGAGGTGGGGACGGATGGAATTGCAGAGAGAATCGGAGCACCGAACAGCAACACGTCCGCTGATCTCTGCGGCAATCGGACCGACGGGCTGTGCCACTTACAGCCACACTGGCCACCCCGCCTCTGGGCATTCCAGCATACGCCTATGAATGATGAATGCACCAATACAGCAGCAGTTCGAAGGGTAAAATCGCAATGATCGGGGAAATTGGTGAGTTTGAAATTATACACCCGGTTGGTCACCAAGAGCCGAACCTTGCATTCGCAACACTTCCGCATGGTCGCTTCTCCCAACCAGCTTGATCGTCTCCCGCATTGGGTTGATCACCAGATTGCTCATGAAGAGTGCCATGGAGAAAAGCGATCAGGTCTCAGCTGTCAGGCTCTCGCACCCTGCACGAGATGCAGAGAGCTTGGCCATAGCTCATGTACATGTAAAAAGCGTATATTAGATGTTAATTTAGTATGTATATCACTATGTATATACTATATCATCACGTTGTGGGGTTGTGCAGCTTCAAAAGTGCAAACCGTTCGTAAGGTGGCTCACCCCCTCACCAAACATGTTAAACCTACGATTGTTACTTTTCTAACTATGTCTCTTAATATGTCTCCCTATGTTAAGCCAAACCTAAATGAGTAACCACCAGGAGAGCTTATCTAGTACGACCTTGTTGCTAACATAACCCACAAAGCTGTCAGGGAGAAAGATAATAATTTTGGGGGTAGGCAAGAGTCTAGAATCTAGAGAGCGTAGGTAAAGAATCGTGCAGTCGAAGAATGGTGCAACATTCAAGGCCTCCTTGTAGAGAAAGAGAGGAGCGAGACATTGTTCACCAAAGAAGCCTATGTAATAGTCTGAGAAACACGGAGAGAATAGCATCCCAATGGTGCAGGAAGTGCAAATGATAAAGGCAAAGCAAATTTGATCTCATATGTTGATTTGGTGGCTATGTATGATATGCCATATTGGTCTGATTAAGTGACACCAAAGAATTGGCTTAGTTCAGTCCCCTAATTAGAGTTTTGGAAACTTAGGGTTGTACTTCGTTCTGTATAAGACATTCATACCATTCACCACTTCGAAATCCCAATTCTTGAAGTCTGTCGGTTTCCTTTCTCCATCATTCTGCCAGAACCCCACGGCCCACAGCCGCGCGCGATGTTGTCCGACCACATTATCATCAAGCTTGACCCAATCAGCCATCAGATTGTTCAATAAATCATCCTTTCTCTGTTTGGGCGTTTGGGTGTTGATTTCGATCCAGTGCCAGGGAGTGTTGTTAGATCCGTAGATACCTTGGTCTACACGCCTGCCGTCGCCATATGGGTACTTTTCCTGCTGTAGGATTGCTTCGGTCGTGCTAGCTTCTACAGATAGGTACCACTCTAGATTGGCTTGTACCCAGGCCTCCCAGCCATAGTCTAGAGCAGCTATACGGCCGACTTTGTAGCTGTTTTGTCGGGCCCAGCTTAGCATGGCCCTCTTTACGGATTCCGAATTATCGGGGGCAAATTTGCTCATGGTGTTGGGATGCTAGGACTGATCGTCAATTACTTCAAGCTAGTAGCTTGTCGTGATAGAAAAGAGAGGATCGTAAGTTGAGTTGAGGCTGCCGTTAATTGACTATCGGCTATCATAAATGAAAAATCTGGTTAAGAATTTTCCAAGCGTTTCGACAAGCTACTTAGATCAAGAGCTGTGAAATCGCTTCCCGAAGCAGTGCTCGAGACTCGTGTGGAACATTCACTAACTTTTATACCCGTCCCTCTTTTTCCTCTCGGGTCTCACAATTCGTATCGGTCAAGTCGAGACACTCGGAGTACGCGAGATCATGTGAACCAGGGTAATAACATATTATAATCTCAGCTCCGTCCTTGCGCAAACAAATTCACACTTCAGATCCCTGCAAAGCGCTAACAGAAAGGACTTCCTTAAGCGATTTATACTTGCACTAAAGCGGCCGTGCGCCGGGACTGAATGGATAGATATGAGCTGAATCCAATACTTGTCGTTACCACTTTAAGCAATGAGAAGGGCATGACCAAGTGCCACCACCTAAAAGAGGTTCTCTTTCAACGCCATGTGGGTTGAATTGGTCCAGCCTGTCAACCTTACCGCCCGCAGTTGCGTGAACTGCTCTGTGCCGCTGTAGCCCATAGTCTATGTTAAAACCGTTGACAATGTAAGTGTAGCACATCGATGGGATTCGTGTGCTTATATTGTACTTGGAAATACGAAATATACTGTCTAAAAACATTCTCACTAAAGATGGTCCACAAATAACAACAACACAGTCATTCAGTCATCGACATGCCGAAAATACAACAGAGTGAAAAGGCCGCCATCACAGCGAAATAGTATCAGTAAAGTGATACTGTCCTTCTTTCACATAGAAAATATTATAGATGTCTATCAAAACTTTGACCACTGTATTACATGCAGTCGGATTATGGCCTCATAGATCCTTGAAGAATTGCTTATCTTTGTATCTACTTGTCAAATATGAACAATACAGTTGAAGAGCAGATTCGAAGCGAAGATACAGACATTTTAGGGTGGAGCGTACGTCACCTAGTCACGTAAGTATTCTGCTTTGGAGAAATATATGGGGACGAGCTATCTGTTTTATATCTCTTTCTCAAGAACAGTTCCGTGCCGGATAGGTAGGAAGATGTTACGAATTTTGTAGCTTGCTTTGCATTGTGCTACCTCCTGCTAGTGGTTAAACTATTGCAATTCGGTAACTCAGTACACATAACAAGATGAGTGAGCATACTACGGGACTATAAAGCCTTAAAATCTTATTCTTTTAACACATCCATTATGTGAAAGGAATGATCCGGTATTTGTGGTCTGCCCTAGCGCACACTACACTACATATGCAGGAAGTCCGGGGTTAGCGTCGGCAAATCCATAACGCCTCAATGTATCCACAACGCCATCACGCTATCCTTTTCCTTCTTTTCCCCATCATGCTCCAAATCTCAAGCTTGGGAAATCCTCTTCAATCCGTCTACCGATATATGCATGTCAATGCCCATTAAACCATTACACCATGACCAACTTCCCAACTTCGCCGTGTGGGGATCCGATTACCTAGCGCCAAAAGTATTGCTTCACGACCAAACAAAAAAACATGATTATATATGATATCGTGCATTCACGCAAGACAACAATTGAAATGTGATTTTTCCCATCTACTCAAACAAAACAATTCACAATGTCGCAAACGACCACAACGGGCGTATCCACCGCCACTACCACCCCCCTCCCCACCACAATGCGCGCCTGGCAATGGACAACCTGCACCACAACCCTCGAATCCGCAATCCGAATCAACGAATCAGCGCCCCTCCCCACATCCCACCACCCCTTATCCGCAGGCGAATCCCTAATCCGCGTGTACGCCGCAACCCTCAACCAAGTCGACTACAAGTTCGCCGAGCTCCCGCTCATCTCGCGCCTCGCCATCCGCAAGCCCGCCACCCCAGGTCTCGACTTCGCCGGCCGCATCGTCTCCACGGGTCCAGACTGCGGCTTCAAAGTCGGGCAGATGGTATTCGGGAAGTTGGAGCCTAAAAGCCAGTTTGGGACGCTGGGGGAGTACGTCGTGGGGTCGAGGAAAGGGACCGTTTCGATGCCAGAAGGGGTCGAGGTGGAGGGTGCGGCGGCGATGGGGGTGTGTGGGTTGGTTACTTATCAGTGTCTGGCGAGAAATGTGAAGGAGGGGGATAGAGTATTGATTAATGGCGGGTCAGGGGGGACGGGCACGTTTGCGGTGCAGATTGCGAAGGCGTTGGGGTGTCATGTTACGGCTACTTGTTCAGGTATGTTCTTGTTGCGAATGGGGTTATGGAGGGAGTATGCTGATGTTGTGCAGGTGCGAATGTGCAGCTTTGCAAGGATCTGGGCGCGGATGAAGTGATTGATTATCGGAAGAATGATGTCGCTGCGGTTCTTGCGAGTGGGTCGAAGCAGTACGATATGATTCTTGATAATGTTGGGCATCCATCAGAGCTGTACTGGAAGGCTCCTGCATTCACAAAGCCAGGGGCAAAGTACGTACAGGTCGGATCACAAGTCAGTCTATCGTTCCTCTACGACCTCGCATTCCGGTTTTTGGTTCCGACATGGCTGGGTGGCGGACAGCGCCCGTTTTCGTTTGGATTCGCTTTGACGAACTTTGACGACTTTACTGCGCTGGGAAAACTGGTGGAGAGCGGAAAGGTGAAGCCGGTGATAGATGAGGTGTATGAGTTCGAAGATGTACCGAAAGCGTATCAAAAGTTGAGAACGGGTAGGGCAAGGGGGAAAATAGTGGTGAGAATGAGTCAAGAGAAATATTGAATAATGAGACGGTTGTAAAAGCCAAGTGCCCTTGAATTCACAGATCCTAACGGCACTTCCGAAAAAAAGTGGCTCAATTCATGTCTGTTGCATTGATTCGCACTAGTATGTGATATGACAGTGCGAAGAGAAAAGACCACTCGTCGTCTTCTTCTTACCAAGAAAAAGGTTCAACATAATACACACGTTCTTTTCCTTCTTTTCTCAATAAGCCCTATTAACGCCAAAAGCGCCCATACACATGCAAATATCACCGCCCTTTTATGGTTTCCTAATGCATCTTCGCTCTCCTCGCCTTGCCTGGCCGTTTGCTTGCGCCGCCGCCACCGCTAGGCTTGCCCTTCATCTTGCGAACAGAGAAACCTCGGCCATCAGCACTGGACTGTGCATCGTTGCTCTTAGAATGCCTCTTCTTGCCTCCGAAACCGTATTTTGCATCTTTCTTCTGGCGCTTGGCGTTGAACGCTTTGCCGTCGGCGCCACCGCGGCCGGCACGACGATCAGACTTGGAGTCATCGGCTGTGGCGGCGACGTCAAAGAGATCTTCTTCGTTGGTGGAGGTGATGTCTGCGCCTTGTCGCTCTGTCATTTTGTTAGTGTATACATCTTTGCAAGGGGGCGCGAGAACGTACTTCTCTTGAGGGTGTTAATTTTCTCAATAGTATCCCGCTTCTCCTTTGCGCGCTCCTGCATCTTTGCGACCTGGACTTGCTTGCCAAATTTCTTCAAGTCTCTCTGCTTGCGCGCCTCGGCAGCCGCCTTCTTGCCAGCCGCAGCATCAATCAGCTTTTGCTTGATCTTGCCCATGTGTTCGTCGCTCTTGACCATCTCCGCAAAGTAATCTGCGGGTCGTGAAAATGGCACTCCCTCCTTCTTGAGTTTTTGCCGTGCCTCTTTGACAGAGGATAGGCACTGCTTGTAGAATGCGAGCTCACGGTTGAGGTCGTCCTCGACATCGGGAATCTCGACAGGCTCATCCGTGGTTACGGATTGGTGTTCTGAGAAGGCGAGCTTCGAGTAGGGTAGTTGTATGCGGTGCAGGGCGGCGGTAAGGGCAGCGGTATTGTTGATTGTGAGACGTTGGTGAGGGATGATGTCGCCCTTTTCTTCTGAGGCGACGGAGTCGAGGTCTGAGAGCGCAATGTCTTCTTCGTCATCCTCGTCATCCTCGTCATCCTCCTCTTCATCCTCATCCTCGCCTTCTTCGTCGTCTTCAGCCTGCATCTCCTCTTCATCCGAGCTAATGTCGCTCTCGCTGTCGTCGAGGTGCGAAAGGTCGAGCGCAGGTCGTTCAGACGCCTCATCATCATCATCCTCACTCTCATCCTCGCTACCCTCAGTCTCCAACTCGACCTCTTTGACGGCAGGCGCAGCCTTTGGCGACTTGTCTTCCTTCTTATCCTTCTTCGCTTTGCCATTGACCTTGACCTCTACCTCATCCAGCGGCACTCCTCCCTCCTCGTCATCCTCGTGCGCCTCGTTCCCATCGCGCTTTTGTTTCCGCTTCTGCACCTGTTTCTCATGCTTGCGCTGCTTCTCAAGCTTAATATTGCGCCCTTGCTGGTGAATAAGCGCAGTCTTAAGCTTGCTTTTCCCCATGGTTGTCGTGTGTTTTTGCGCTATAAAAAAGAGACAAAATCAGAAAAGAAGTTTGTAATATCGCGAAAAAAAGTGAAGTTCAATTCTTTACGCGGAAACAAAAAAGTTGGACGGTCCAAGCTTCCCTCGCCCAAAATTTCATTCCACAGGTTCGCAGAAAAGCATCGACGCTAGTCTCTCACCGCCTTGACAAAATAGGAAACTGACCGCGGGCGTCCGAACAACGAAACACGTGCTTTCGTGTTGCCCCCCCTTCACACCGCCCGCAACCGCCCGCCAACACGCGACATTCGATATACAAGTTCACAGTCAGCCAAAAAAAATAAACTTTCTCACTTCAAACCACCCATATACACCTTTTTTCTGTTAAAGCAACTCACACCATGGCAACCCCGCAACCCCTAGGCGACCGCTCCCAAAGCGACACCGCAGTACGTCCTCCCTCCCCNCCCCAACCAAACCCCAATATACCCCAAGCTAACACCAACCGCTCCTACTTACTAGTCCGTCTCTTCAAACAACCCCGAAGCATCAGGCGAACTCACAGCCGTAGTAGACGATCTGCTCAACCAACTGAATACTAAATTCAACTCGATAAGTAGCGAGTTGCTTTCGAAAAGTAAGGTTGATCACTATAGAGAGATGAGCGGAGATTTCCCCTGTTTTTTTTCTCTCAAAGAAAAAAACCATGTGAGTAGATTGATGGCTAATGATTTTTTCGCGTGTGTTTTGTTGTAGTGGATGATATGTCGAGACGACTTGATAATCTCGAGGCGACGATTCAGAGTGGGGATGGAAGTAAAGGGAGTGGATCGGGGAAATGAAAATGGCGGGCTTGGTTTGAAGGAGAGTTCATGAGTATGAAGAGCGGGTCCTCACAGCTTACATATTTGTTGGAGTTTAAACGGTTGATGACATGCATTTACAACGCTTGCAAATTGATATTCAGTTTGATTTCTATAAACGATTTCATCCATGTTCCTTCTTGTCATTTCCTCATGTCGCTATTGCACCACATGTGTTCTTATCTTATTTATCATAACGAATCCAAGCCAATGGTATCAACATCTCCTCAACGTCATCCATCACCACATAACTCAAGTCGTCTACAATTCGGTCTTCTCCTCCTCACCAATGAACTTCTTCAGGATGTTGCTCCTGCTCATCAAGTCATCCATCTTCTCAGGCGCGAGGTTGCCCTTGGCAATGAGGCCTTGCAGACGCTTGAGCTCCTTCTCAGCGTACTCCTTGTTGGCACCGATCTTCGAGAAGACCTTGACGTAGTATTGTGCGTACTTGTCCTGCATGGTAGCAGCAAGAGTCTTGGCCTCCTCGGCTCCGTCGGCCCATGAATCCTTGAACTTCTCAATGACAGCGTTGAAGGCCTCGATAGTGCCACCAGTAGCATCGAGACCACCACCGACAGCGCGGTGAGTGCCAGCGTTGGCATTGAGGAAATCAATAAAGTCCTTCTCAGCACGAGCACCATTGTATGGGAGGGGCTCGGTGGAGCCCTTGGCAAAGTACTTGATGGTGGGGTAGCTAGAGACGCCTTGTTCCTGAGCAAGGGCCTTGGAGTTCTCAGCTTCGGCGTCAACCTTGGCGATCAAGACATCGGGCTCGTTGACAAAGTCATTGGCGAGAGTCTCCCAAACGGGGGCGAGGGTCTTGCAGTCTGTATGCACATCAGCAAAGGGCAGCTTGATAGATTGGAACCATTAAACGTACGTCCGCACCATGGAGCAGTAAAGGCAACAAGCACATTCTGGTCTTTTCCAACCTTCTCCTTGAAGCTCTTGTCATCAAGGTACACGACCTGACTAGGAAGCTTGGCCTTGATCTTGGGCTTAATGGAGGTATGTTCCGTAATGAACTTGCTCAAGCTCTCAAGATCACGTCCGCCATTGTAATCGACAGGCTTGTCAGTCTTTCCATCGAACCACTTGAGGGTGGGGAACCCTGAGACGCCGAAGCGCTTGCCGAGCGACTTGTGGTTATCCGCGTCAACCTTTGCAACGCTGACCTTGTCGCCGGCGTGCTGGAAGACGGTGGCAAGTTCCTCGTATACAGGGGCGAGGTTCTTGCAGTGACCGCACCAGGGGGCAAAGAACTCTACGAGGGCAGGCTTGCCGGACTTGAGGACAACATCGTCGAAGTTGGAGGGGCTGAGGTCAATGACGGAAGATGCCGAAGCAATGGCGGGGAGCAGCGCAATGGCCGCGGGTATGAGGTTGCGGAACAACATTGTAAGGGTTGAGAGGAGGAAGCTCAATCGGTGCAATGGGAGCTCCAAACTTATGTTGAAGAGCGGTGGGGAACACGGAGTCGAGCTAGAGGACTTGCCTCCAGGGTCCTGCGCTGGCGATCGCTTAGCACGCAAGGTGTCCTCTCTTACCCAGGCATCTGACCAGGGTTTACAAATCCACCGTGTCCCTACAACGAATGGTTTGATTTCAAATCTTGCCACACAAAGCAATTGCTGACGTTGGTCTTGAATGTGGGTATGAATACGTGAAAAAGATTACCGTACGGATAGCACAGGCTATTCTCTTCATACAGGTCTCACTAGCCACCCCGCATCCCAACTAGAGTACTGCTGCATATGTACCAAACCCATCAAAATGCAAAAAAAATAGATTATCTTCTCAAATCCGGGGTATCATCACACGACATTAATTCAACGACATCCTCCAATGATTCCCGCCAGTCATCCCATAACTCCCACTAACTGTCTGCTCTTCCTCCTCCCCCTTCCCATTATCCGTCGCCTTCTTTGCCTCCTCAGTCTTCTTCGCCTTCTCTTCCATCGCCTTTACATCCCCACTAGCCTTCTCCACCATCGCCTTCAATCCCCTCACATCCGCACCCCTAACTTCCTCCACCTTCTTCCCATCCTTAAACAGCATGAATGTCGGCATAGCCGTGACACCATATTGCGCCGCTACCTCGCGCTGCTCATCGACATTGATCTTGACGAAAGCGAACTTTCCGGGTGCCGAGTGTGTGTTGGAGAACTGGTTATAGACGGGTGCGATTTGTTTGCAGGGTGGGCACCAGGTTGCGTAGAAGTCTGCAATGAGGTAGGTGTGTGCGTTTAGGAGGGTGCGGAAGTGGAGGGGAGCGGAGATCTCTGTTGGCATGGTTGTTTTGAATGTTTGAATGTTTCTTTGTGATGTAACACTGAAATGCGATTGTGGAGTTGGGCAAGGTAGGTTGGAGGCAGGGTGGTTTTGAAGTAGTGACTTTTTTAACAAGTTGCAATGTTGTAGAACATTCTATACGTACTGAGCAAAGCACCTTCTCGCCGGCCCAAATTTGTAATCGACGCAAACATCACGTGTCGCCACACTTGCTTCTTGTGGTAGTGCGTGATAGTAATAAGGAGAGTTTTAATCACACAAAGTGTGTTTGCACATTAGTCACATACGCCCAGAAATGACTTTCACATCACATGTATTCCGCGAACAGCCCACCCATTTCAACGCACGCGACCTTGGAATCGAACAAATGTATAACTGACACACGTGCTGCAAGTATCAAAAATATCCAGAAACCAGAAATGCAACCCAGCCCACAACGCCCTCGCTATGCAAACATTTCATCACGCATGCCCATCCATCTCCTACCGCCACTCATCCCCCACCCCTTCCCAGAATCTCCTCCCTCTCCAACACCTCCGGCTTAAACTTGATCAAAAACACTGTCTTCCCCGGCCAAAGCCCCTTCCCATCCTTACCCTCCTCCTCGCCCACACTATGCGCCGTAACACCCTCAGTCGGGAACCCGGCACCATCGCACACGCCCTCAATGATCCCCGCCACAAACGCCGCGCAGTTGAGACTCGACAGCTCCTTTGGTAGCGAAATGTACTGGTTGACCATGGGCTCGTTGTCAAACAGCATGTACTGTCCCGGGTCTGTGCCCGACTTTTCGAGGGCGTCTGCGGGGCGGCCAAACAGGTAGCGGTATAGTTGCTGAGCGATGAACTGGAGGAGCGGCAGGATGCGCGTGGGGCGGATGGAGGCGAGGGGGTTGGCGGTGCGGGAGAGGAGGAGATCCAGAAGACGGAGACCGATGGGGTAGCCTTGGCTGTTTAGTCTGAGGAGAGAGAGGCACTTGTTAGCAAGCCATACTATGTCATCTAACGTAGGTAGAGAAGGCGTGGTGTTTGCGCGCAATGGGCAATGTACCTTTGTTCTAAGCCGCCCACGTCTTTTGCGCCCTTTTGCGCATAGGCAATCATTTCGATGAAGAGGTATGCAAAGGCTGCGCGGCTGAGCTCTGCATTCTTGCTCCGGTTCAGGTTGCGGTCGTATATGGTCTTCTTGTTCGAGGGGTACCTTAGGCCCGACCCTTGACTGGGCGTCCCGTTCATGGCGAGGTTGTGGCCCGGCGGCGGCAATTGAACTGCGGTCTGCGGGCGGGCCGTGGATGGAGACGGGGATGCTGATGCGGATCTGGCTAGGGCAGCAGACTGCGAGTAGGAGCGTTCGCGCGGCGTGAAGTGCGAGGGCAGAAGTGGCAGCAAGTTGGACATGGTTGGCTCTCTCTCTACCTCGCCGGAGCGGTTTGGCGGAGCAATGTGGGTCGGAGGGTCGTGCGGCGTGCGTCAGACTGACTTGGGAACAATTATGAGGCTGGAGGTGCCAAGCATGAGGACGACGACAGTAGTACATATATCATCGTTCTTTACTTGGAGGAGTTACAACTAGAAAACGGGCCGAATGTATCCGCAAGTATCGAATACGAGTTTCTAGAGTATTACACATTATTTCATTATCACCACCACCATCTAGAAGCGGTGAACGACTACTCAGCACTTCTCCATGATCCTACAGTTGCATGCACCTCTTCATCATGACATGCTTTAGTAAAACGACAGGGAGTCTCGCAAGCACGCCTGGAGCCCTGACCGTCATTCTCCACCTCTCTCTCTCTCGATATAGCCATATACTCTGTTGAGCATATCCTCGTACATCCTCACATTCCTCTTCTTGTAAGAACCACAAGAAAGGCCTAGCCGTTCTTCGTTCCAATCCCACACCATTCTTTGTACCATCCCTCAATATCCACAGTCCAGTCCATTTGGCGCCGGTCTAACTCCACCGCGATGCGCTGAACGTCGACACGGCGAACCTCAAATTCAATCGGGACCACAACCACAGTATTATTCGGATCAACAGCAGTATCACGCATATGTGGAACCCCAGACTGCTCTGTTTCAAGCTCTGCGCGAAGACCTTCGTTCAATTTCCTCTGTTCCTGCATCGTAGCCAGAGCATCATCGCGTTCCTTCTTCATTTTGCGTTGCGATGCGAGATGACGTTGTTTGGCTTCCATCGCTTCTTTGGCTCTTTCCTCCTCTTTACTAGCAACTTGCTTAGCGTTCTTCACCTTTGTATTTGCACCCTTGAGTTTGTTGGTTTTGCTCTCGTTTTGGATGCCAAGGAGGACATTCTCGCGCTCAGTAGTCTTGTGCGTCTCCTTCAGTTGAGCGTTCTCTGCACGCAGGCGTACTGTTTCGCTTTCCAGGCGATTGATGCGACGCAGGATATCGCGAGGAAGTTTCGCATGGGATGTATCTCTGGACGTCCGTTGATCCAAGTCTGCAATGGTTTTACCATGTTCTTCAGCTTGAGCCTTCCAATAATCGCACTGTTGACTGAGATGTGCGATGGTGGATCGAAGACGTCTCTGCTCGCTCTCTCCTTCTTCCAAATCCTCATCGTTTATGTCCACCATCCACAGTGATTCGCCATGTTTGACTCCAGAAATTTCATGCTTGTATGGGCCGGCCATCGGGTTGTCCAGGCATAAGTCAGCAGGTTCAAAGAAAAGCATGTCTAGATTGAAACTCATCTGTCACTGATTAGTATTAGTGGCTTATAACCCATTGATGATAACGTACCGTGAGTTGCAGTCAAGTTGGTAGAGCCAATGCTGCAGGTTGCAGTGGGAAGGATCCAATGTGGATGAAGTGAGATAAATATGCAATGGGACAGCGTACCAACCGTACATTCATCGCAAAATCAACTAGCTCGTCTTTCACTGCGTCGCGCGCTTGGCAGACCCCACCTCTACTTAACGCAAGGCTGTACAGGAAATTGTTGGTTGTTGTTTCCTATCAAAGGATTCTCAACGTTTGTAGCAAGCAGCAACTGCTTGTACTGTTCTCCTTTTAGTAACAATCGCTTGTACAATCTTTCTCTTTCAGCTGCCTATGTATAATTACTAGCAGCTCTCTTCCAAGATAGATCATTAATTCAATTATTTCTTTCTGTTCAACAGAAATGAGACATTATGGTTATCAGGACCGTCCAGGCAGTACATTGGGTGCAGAGCTCAACAGGACCGTATTCGTAGCGATTCACCCACCCATAAGCTCGACTGCAAATCTCCGCTTCATTCTAGAGCACCCAATCTGTCTATTACGCGTACTAGGTCTTTCACTCGGAATGGTTTGGAGATTGCGTCATCCATCCCAGCCTCCGTAGCACGCTTCAGCTGCTCAGGCCTTGCGTTTGCAGTAACAGCAACTATCTGGAGGTGTTTGTTGATTTGCCCATTGTTTTGCGCGGTGCGTATCATCTTTGCGCATTGGAGACCGTTCATGACAGGCATTTCAACGTCCATAAGAATAACATCGATGTATGAATCTGACGCAGTGGTGTCTGGATACGCCTTCCAGTGTCGTGAAGTCTTGATAAAGTCAAAGGCTTTCTGTCCATTGTCTGCCGTGTGAACAATGTAGCCGTGTTGTTGCAGCTGCTTCTTCAAGACGCGCTGATTGACCATGTTATCCTCGACAAGAAGAACACTCAGCTGTCGTTTGTCTCGAGCCTTGGGGCTTCCTGGACCGGCGGAATGTCGAGAGTTACTACTCACTTCTGTGGGCCTACTGGGTGAGGTAGGAACAGTAAGAGCAAACTCCGGTGAAACTGCTCGCGAAGCTTTAGCATAAAAGGCGAAAGTTGACCCTGCATTTTCTTGAGATGCGAACCCAATTTCTCCACCTTGCAGAGCTACCAGCTTTCGGCTGATGAAAAGCCCCAAACCAGAGCCGCCGTACTTGCTGTATGTTTTGGGTGAAGCTTGTATGAACCGCGAGAAGATACGCTTCATGGAAGCAGAGTCCATTCCACAGCCTGTGTCCTTCACGCTACACCATAGATAAAGCTCCTGCCCATTTGATACTATGGCTGCCTTGGCCTCTTCCTTTTGCGAAGAGGTTGGAGATGCTACCATCATTAAGTCGGCGAATACATCTGCTGGGCGAGAAGAGGAGGCGCCAACACGCAGAGTAACATTTTTACTTTGGGGGCTATCTTTTGTGAATTTGATAGCATTGGCAACCAAGTTTACAAGAACCTGCATGATTCTGCCGGGATCTGCTTCGATCCAGTCAACCCCGAGCTGACTGAGAGAGGGATCAGGTGTTATCGTGAATGTGACACCAGCCTGTGTAGCTTCAAACCTGAACGTGCTCTCGACCTGCTCAAGAAAGGTCTTCACTTGAAAGGCCGAGGGACATATCTCTAGAAGGTTGGAGTCGAGCTTCGAGATGGAGAGAATGTCGTCAATGATCCGCTTTTGATGTACTGTACAGGCCATGATAGTGTCGGTAGCTTCAATCATGCTGCTCGTACATTCCTGAAGTCGTTTCGTAGTCGTTTTGTGGTCTACGTCAGGCCCATCTTGACGGCTTGCGCGGTCGAGTATCAATTTCATTTCGGAAAGCGAATGCGACAAAGCGTCTGCACAGTGCATAACGGCACCTAGAGGATTTCGGATCTACGATGTGTTAGATAGTAACTTTCACTTGACCAAATAGATATACATGCCTCGTGACTAGTCATATCGACAAAACTATGCTGAGTTAGTTGATTGGCACAACCTTGGATGGAAGAGCACCTACTTTTCTTGCTGTCGCTTGGATTCAATAGCCTCCTCGAGCTTTGCACGCTGAAGAAGCTCAGAATACTTGAACTCGCTGATGTCGGTAATTGTAGTCGTTATTTGGAGAGAACCATCGTCTACCATGTCTGGGAAGGCGGCAAATTGCACCCACGTGTGCTCTGAGTAATTGGGCGGTCCTTTGTGAAGACTTTTCAACCGAATGTGAAAGCTCTCAGGCTTTCGGAATTTGAAAATACTTTCCAGGCGTGCATCAAACTCCGAGATGTCCTCGGGGAAAACAATGGAACGAAATTGTATACTCGTTACTGACACTGAAGGATGACCCGTCATTTGGAACCAGGTCTTGTTGGCAAAAGAGGGCGTTCTTTTCTCGTCAAACACCAGAACGCCGATATTCGCATTTTCAATAAAGTCCAAAAGACGCCATTTGTTCAGGCGAACTTGGTCCGAGACCCCAGCACCACCGACGGTGGCCTCATATTCGATCTTTTGCTGAACGTCGAGGGCTGCTACACAGCCTGTAATGCCTACAACACCGAGTGCATTATCAAGCATAGGAACACAGGCTATCTGTACCCATTTTCTTTCGCGGCCATGAGGCCGAAACCTTACTGCGAGCGTTGTTGACCGGCCAGCCACCAAGGATTGCAAATGGGATGTTAGAAGTGACTGATCATCCTGCTCGCAAAGCTCCATTAACACTGTCCGATACTGTACATCAACGTCTCTGGAACAACCACTCAAATTACAAAACGCTTCCTGTTTGTCGTTAGTATACGCATTTCGTCTCGCTTTCTTTTCTCACATTAGTTTGCGTCAGCTTTCCTGACAGGGTACATTCAAAAAAACCGATACTTTTACTAAAAGGTCAGCAAAGTCCATCCGTATGATGAAGAAGACTAACCTGGCAGCTTCGATTACTTGCAACATGCGCTGCATCTTGCCTGTCGCTAACACGGCCTCTTGTTGTCTCAATTTCATTTCCTTTGCCAACATCTCCTTCTCTTTTGCTATCAGTTTTTGGTCATTTTCTTTCGCAAGCTTCCTAGTCTCAGCTATTGTAATTGCTGCTACACTACTGCAAAAGTGTTGATGCAGTGTCCCCACCCATGCCTGATAGGAAGAATCGTAAGGACACCGTGGTGCCAGTCCGAGGATCAATACAGCGTAAACGTTTCCGGATTTGCCCATGATACTAGGCAGAATGACTGCCTGGTGAGAATCATCGCCATAGCACCGGTCCCTGGATGCATGGCACATCTCTGGTGGCAAGGATCCGTCTGTGGCATGAAGGGGCTCAGGAATACGCAAATCGACGGCTTTGTAGATGGCCTTAATCCATGCCTGATCCTCGCCACGCTTGATCCTTGATGGGAGCGGCGTTGTGAAGGAGCCGACAGTGCCAGCAAGTTTGAATTCGTCGGTGCTAATCTCGTTCGATATGAATCCGGTCTCGTGCTCACTCACGAGCTTACTGTTGGCAGAGTATATAGCCGCAAACGATATGTCACCATTACCATTCGATATACCACGCAATGTTGAAGCCCACAAGGCATTCAGATCTGTGGCATCTTTGGAAGCACGACGAATGTGATCTAGCGATCGCTCACGACGACGCTGCAGCACTTCTTTGGTCGTATCGTAAGCTGTGACGTGGTACCCATCCAAAGATAATGGTAGTTTTACCATTGTGGCTCTGAGAAAAACCTCCTGCAGAAGGCCATGTTGTGGGAAGAAACAGGGTATTTGATGTTCGTTGTCCATGCCGGACCCGTCATTTTCTGGTTGTGTGAGTCTTGGTATTGCCGGACCATGCCCAACCATTGCAGTGTTGAGAGCTATTGGTCTGCCTTGGTACAGCGGGTGATAATCGCGGAGCAACCTGCCATACGCTGTGTTGTACAAGATGGTCGAATCACGGCCTAATAGGAATAGTTGGGGCTGGGGGCTGAGCATGGCCAGGTTGATGAGCACCAGTAATTCGCGAGGCCATTCTGCAATGGGTCCAGGAGCGGTATCGGCCCAGTTCAACTCGCGTATGTATTGAAGGTCGGAGTCAATAGCGGAATCCCCGGTCGGTTCAGTGAGGAACGACAGGTGAGATTTAGCACCTGCATGTTCAGCAGTCTCCAGCTCCGTCGACATGGTTGTGTTGACGGATACGCGACGTCAAAAACGCCCCGTGGAAGTTGAGAAGTACGTAGGATGGGGGCTGTTATCAGGGCAGACAGCCTCTGATGGCTGGAAGAACGAAGAGGTCAGCAGGCAGCGAGACAGACAACTCCACGTCCTCTATACCAGCAAGACCATGCGAACAAATGGCTCTCGGTCACTTCTCGGTGAACTCTGTCCTGGATGCGGTGGGTAGCCGATGGCCGCATCTAAATTGCCGCCCATGCACCCTAGTTGGGGAGCTTGACACCGACGCTTGAGACATGACCGCAGTTGGCCCGCGTGAATCACCGGCCATCGACAAACGGTCGCGTGTAGTGTTTTGGAACTTTTGCGTTACTAGTCGCCGGTCCCTGGAAAAATCTGAACCGGCGATTTAGAGAAGGTAGACAAGCGGAACGAGCGAATGAGTCGAGGGCTGCTAGTCTACACGGCGTGTACATAGACTTGTGTCTGCTAGCTGGAACAGTGTACATATTGAAGGAGGCAGAGGCTGTAGTAGTGCCGACACAGCCGCTCGATTGTATCATGATTCGCTGCAGGGACAAATACCCCCGTTCTCGCTTGGCGTCTGGAATGACGAAAAACGCGTGTAGTTCGCCACTCGATGACGTCTGCCTGGACGGGACAGCCTTCGCATCCTGACTAGCTCCCGCTATTAGGCGTTTTTTCTCCTGACTTTTGTGCGAGTAAGCATTGGCAGAATCCATGATGAGACGCAGACTTGCTCGTTGCTCGCAGCTTCGCTCAACAACTGGCATCTCCGCTGCCTTTGCTGTACGCCTACATGGTGGTAGTCTGTCGTCTGGACAACGCCGGCTCCTGGCGGTAGCCCCATGTCGATCTTTGTCGAGTATGGGTGCGTACATGTACTTACATGCATCGCATGGCAAGTGTTATTTAACCCCGTTGATTTGCGTTATTTAACACAGCGGTTTCCTGTACCGCTCTAGCGCTTACGTTTGTGCAATAATATATCCACTGTGGTATTTTATCTTTTCAAGGCTAGTCTATGCTATTCTTCTCTCACGTGGAACATCTGCACACCCCTTCGCAGCGCAGTAAAAATAGCGAGTAAGCTCTTGAAATTTCTGTTCTTCATACTATATAATAGTACTCATATATCATACGAGATTTTGACGTGTATATCTATGATAATTGCTACGGTACAAAGATATGAAAATGCAAAGAAATGCTATCCTCATCATACACAAGTGGAGATAGAAAACGGTAATGAAACTAATCTATTTTGGGAAACGACGGGGTCTAATAGCCCAAATCAACTAGGCTAAGCGCCTTCCGCCGCATAGCATGTGAACAAGGGCTGCCGTACGGAAAATTGCACAGGAAATAAGTCGATCGCAAGCTCGGAGAAGGTGTGCACAACATCTGGTATTATAGGACAGGCCAATGCTATAATACTGTGCAGGCTGACACCACCTGCACGAGGGTGAAATGTTCGAGATGATTCGGAACGCCAACGTCCGCGTCCAACGGTACTTGGCAACGTGAGAACCAAGCCGGGGGGGGTAGCCTCATCACCACGTGCTACAGGGAGAGCAATGTAGGACTACGTACGCACGGGGCGATGGGGTTATGTTATCAAAACGGAGTTGGTGCCGCATAGGTCACGGCTCGACAGGGGTTGCTATTGTTGACCTCACCCGCTTTGAGAATCGGATCGACCCCTCTGACCCCACAAAAGATCATCGCTTCACTGAACCGATTTCTCTACACGTATGGCGCGATGCAACCAGAGCTACAATCGAGCAAATGCTATTGGTTGCCGTGTGCGTAGGTCGGATGGTGTTGTGCTGTGCCTTTGGGACTGTTCAAAAGCCGCCCCAGAAGTGCGATACAGCAGTCTCCTGAATCTCCATACTCTGTTCGCCCAGTGCAATTGTCGCCTACGATGATTTGCATAGTGCTGACGGGCAATTGGCTGAAAAAGAAAAGTCGGCGAGAAAAGAAACAACTCTATCATCGGGCATGCTTCACATCCTGCCTGGAAAAGAACTGACAAGAATTGATATTTGCAATAGGTTGAATTCTCGGATTGATAGCCTGCAAGTCTCCAAAATGGGTGTCTTAAACAAGTTGGTATGCCGAAAGCAGATCTTTGGAGCGCTCAACATTCCCAATAATTGCATCGGAACTGTTGTCGGAATGCTGACCAGATTGCCGAGATATTCTTCTCTTATGCTACAACATGGCTCTTGCTTTGGTGTTCGATAGTAGCGTTGCTCAGGACCCTGCATGTCAACCTACTGATATTCCACCTGTACTTTTTCAGCAACCCTCTGCATACCTTCTCATTCGACTCAGATGTTGGAGAACGCGGCGCATGGCGCATTTCAAATGCAAATCGGCATCGGAACCTTATGCCACGTGACATATGTTCAGCAAGAACCATGTCGTTGCGTTTTCAACATGGCTTTCGGAGTCGGTTGTTCAGCGACCATCGCGCACTCGCTGCCTTTATGCCTGCCGAAAAGAAACCAATACAACATCGAATCGTGTACTAAGGAGCCCTCCAGGTACTAGTCAAATTGCTTCATTCCAAACAGCAATGTGTTGACAACGATACTTGGCAATCTCTTGTTCACGCTACCTCAGCACACGAAAAACGACAACAATAGCAAGGATGGGACCAGGTACTCTACGTCAGTCCCCCTTCGAGAAATTTCATTTGGAAGGGATGGCATTATATTCTCTAAGAAAGTAGTGCATTACATAGACAATGGCGTGAGCTGGTGTGAGGGGCTGAGAATCAACCCTTCTCATTACCGCCTGACGTCACCGTAACTGCCCTCATCAACCACGAACACTGAGCAATCAACGCCAAGCACAACTGCTCCCTTTACACCGCGTTTCTATGGAAGACTTCGCATAGTCGATTAGGGCATGGGCACTCGGAGACAAGGAGCAAAATCCAGGAGCCCAGGATTGCGGATTACCCAAGCTAGTAAACCCACAATTCCCCCCCGCCCCCGCAAAGAGGTCAGCGCGGCCCCCCGTTTTGTCTCCACCCCACTTCCTCCGAACAGCTGGATGCGGTGCACGCGATGCCGGATCAAGGGCGCTTTTTTCCCTGTGGAGCGTGCTTGTCTCAAGGCGCTTCCTTCGATCCCATACCCAATGCCCAATGAATTGACGAACAACTGACAGATGCCGGACCGGCCCACATGGCATGACTTGTCTCCCGCGGGGTATAACTCCTGCCACAGGGTAAGTACTGCGCGCATCCCCCGCCAACAAGTAGAACCGAGGTTGGTTAGTGCATTTGATAGGATACAAGAAGGCGAAGGGAGGACACCAAATGTCTGCCATTGAAAGCGCCTTCGCCACTGCGATTCTTGATCAAGAGACACACGACACGAACCAACTGGGATCCAGGTCTGGAACCAGTACACCTGGAACGGGATTAGAGCAATGCGCGCAGCAAGATACTACGGAAAAGAGGATATTCGGATTGAGGATGTGGAGCAGCAGGAGTGTGGAGCGGGGCAAGTCAGAGTAACGTCTCTCCCCTTCTGGTGGTGTCGTGACATGAAAGAGGAGCGCAATTTCTGATATCTGTGCAGATTGCCCCGGCCTACGTAGGCATCTGCGGTTCAGATCTCCACGAGTATCTCGGTGGACCTACATTTGCGCCAACGGAGCCTCACCCATGCACCAAAGACACGATTCCCATCACCCTCGGCCACGAGTTCTCAGGCATCGTCACCGAAGTGGGGTCACCTGACTCTGCCTTCTCCGTAGGTCAGAACGTTTGTATCCAACCTAGCATATACTGCGGAGCCTGCGAAGCATGCAAAGCAGGCTGCGAAAACGTCTGTGTCAATGGCGGCTTTATCGGACTATCTGGTGGTGGTGGTGGCCTGAGCGACTCCGTCGTCGTACCCGAAGCTGCAGTGTTGCATCTACCACCCAACATTCCTCTCGATGTAGGCGCATTGGTTGAGCCCTTGAGCGTAGCCTGGCATGCCGTATCCGCAGCACCACTGACTCCATATTCAACGGCGTTGATCCTAGGCGGCGGCCCCATCGGCCTCGCCATTGTCCAATGTCTTGTCGCCAAAGGGGTAGGTAAAATCATCGTAAGCGAAATATCCGGCACCCGCCAGCGGTTTGCACGAGAATTCGGGGCCCATCACGTCTTGTGCCCCAAGACGTACGACGTTGTCAAAATGAGCAAGGCGCTCAGTAACGGGGGCCCGGATGTCGTTTTCGACTGCGCGGGCGTGCCAGCTAGTCTCACTACTGCGTGTACAGCTGTGCGGCCCAAAGGCACGATAGTCAATGTGGCGATTTGGGAGACAGAGGTGCCATTTAATCCCAACTTGCTGGTTACTCGCGAAGCAAAGTATACGGCTGTGTTAGGGTATCGGAGGGAAGATTTCCAAGCTATTCTGAATTTGTTGGCTTCTGGTGAGTTTTTGTTTTGGAGACCTGAGGTTTGTGTTGTCGAGATTATTAATGTGTTTTGTGCAGGCAAGTTGAAACCGAGTAAGATGATTACGAAGAAGATTCAGTTGGATGATGTTGTGGAAAGCGGCATCAAGGCTCTTATTCATGACAAGGAAAACCAGGTCAAAATTTTGGTCGAGGTTGGGACGATGGGACGAGTTGATTCTGCCATACATTGAGGGGCTACATTGCTTATCAGTAGCTCAATTGGTCATTTTACGCTCTTGTTACGAGATACGACACTAGATGATAGGAAGCAACGTCCCAGGAAGCATCATCTAGTGTAGTGCTCTTTTCTTCGAATATGTATCGCGCATTTAAGTCATGGATTATCTCGACATGCTTCTCCGGCTGAACTTTCCTACTACTAACTACTACAAATGACATTTTGATCGTCACGCTAACACGACCGTCCTTGCCGCCTTGAGCCTAGCCGACCCATGTCGCCAACAACATCGTGCTCCGCTGCGGCTGTAAAACAAGCCACCGTTGCTGCATCTGGCTTCGCGCGGGTGCTCAGCTGGACGCCTTAACGAGCTGAAGGGTGGGAAGCGACGCTCGATCCCGCCCGTCAAAAAGTTCCGAGACTTGTTGTACATACCCTCACATAGTTTACTACATACCAAAGCAAAAAAAGTATGTCGCAGTACGGGACTTATGTGCCTCCAGCGCCGCCGCAGCCGCAGCCGCAGCAGCATCAGCAACATCAGCAGCCGCAGGCGCCGCCCTACCAACCTCCGCATGCAGCCAAGTACGATGGAGGATCAAGCTATTATGCCTAGAAGTCGGGGGGGATAATCGGACAAATGGTGAATCAGCATCTGACGAACGGGAAGCCGATGCTGAATAAATTGGGTAAGAGCATGAGTTCGCTACTGGGGAATAGCAAGCCTACTGTACATGTGGTTCAGAGTGCGCAGAGTTATCAGAGTCATCATGGGCAGCAGGGTCAGGGTCAGGGTCAGGGTCAGGTTGCTGCTGCTACTGCTACTAGTCCGCAGCCGCAACAACAACAACAACAGTGGGGTCAGGCGCAGCAACAGCAACAGTGGGGCCAGGGGCATCGTCCCTCTCCACCACCACCTCCGCCGGCGTCGAGTCCATATCAGCAATCGAGTTATTTCACGTCGACTCCAGGACACTCGGGACATGGTCATTACTCGCCACAGCAGACGCAGCAAGCGCCTGTTTCCCAGTCGTATACGCCGCCACCATCAGCCACTGCGTTGGGCTATGCACAGCAACATGGACATGGACATGGCCAAGTAGGACACAGCCCGTATGCGCCGGCGGTGCAGGAACTACCAGGCTCATATGGGGTACAAGAGAGCGGAATTATTGCAGGCACGCCAAATCATGTTGGGGGCATGCCAAATCATGCTGCGAATACGCCTCCACACATGGCTGTACAATCTCCACAAGCACAATGGGGGAGCTCCATCCCGGCAACACAGGATGTGCCTAGGCCTCAACAACAGCCAGTGTATGCCTTGCACCATGTGACTTGCCCAGTCAGTCCAGTCAGCCCAGAGCAACAGCAGCATTGGAATGGCATGTCGGCGGCTCCTAAGCCATATAGCCCCGTTCATGCGCAGGCACCACACCAGCCTACCAGTCCGTCGCCAACACAACAGGGAAACACGGTACCTCCTCTGCCGGGACATGACCAAGCCGCATCGCACTTTGCACCGCCAGCATTTGCTGTAGAACTGCCCGCGGACCTCGGAAATCTCAGCCTTGGTTCAGCGGAGCGGGCCAAAGACAATGGAGGGCGGCCGAGTTTGAGGGCAAGCGAGGTGGCGCAGGCTGGCACATGGAGGCTTGCGGACTCAGGGACGGAAAGGGCGACGGATGAATTCTACGTCTTGGCCGACTTGCTTTTCGATGCATTGGACAGGCAGTTTGAGCCTAGGAACACGGGCCTGGTCGAAGGGTCAAAGTTGATGGGGAGTTGTCTGCTGAGGCTAAACGAGGACGAAAAGCGTAAGGAGAATGATGACCCCAGGCGACAAGGTCGTTTGGCATGATGAAGAAGACTAATGGCGACGACAGGGCTATTTGCGCATCACAGTTACGGGGCGTTTGCCAAGATGTGGAGCATCGAGGGCATCCCGCACGTCATGGTGCCGTGCGAGAGTGCACTGACGCCGATTTGGAACTTTGACAGAGTGGCACACGGGCAGCATGTCAGAGTTGGCGAGAGCAGCAGAGGGTCGCAGGCGCGATACATGCCAGCGCTGAACCGGGCGGGATGGTACCAGTTCGTGCTGGTCGAGGCGATGCGTGCGCCCGAGGAGTTTGGCAAAGCCGTGGCGGCCGTGTGCGCGGACAGACAGCCGGCTGGGCTGGTGGGCAAGCTCGACCTCAACAAGCTTGATCGAACCGTGGACCCAGCGGTGCGAGCCAGGGCGGGCGAGCTGCGGGCATATGCCATTGCCCAGGCGTGCGACGAGACGAGGCTTGCCGTGGAGAGGGATGGAGATGGGAACCAGTAGGGCAGGCCATGGCAGCGAGGGAGGGATGGATGGATGGATGGATGGTGAATAGGGCGAGGGCGAGGGCGCGGTGTTTTTGTGTCGCAGGTGGGCAGGCGCGTGTTTCCTGTTTGCTGTTTCCTGTTTGCTGTTTGCTGTTTCCTGTTTGAGCGGCATGGCGCCGACTATTGGCGAAACCCAACTCTGGGCCGATGCAAGCAGACATGGTCGTTTTGCCCGGCTGGCCATGGGCGCCATGGACTCGTCATCTTGCTTCCTGCTTCTGCTTCTGCTTCCCTTGCATGCCCCTCTGGCTGACGGCGGCCGTCTGGCCTGGCAGGTGAGGTCAAGCCACGCTTCCTCTGCTTCTGCCCACCAACGGGTACCTGCGCCCCCCGCCGCCACCGCCTTGGCTGCTGTCGACGCCAAAGTACCGTTAGCCCGTTGGCACCACCACCGCCGTTTGCTGATCGCCGGCGTGCGAGGTCGGTATGCCCATGCCACTGCCCCTATGCAGAATCCTGCACTGCCACGCCAGCAGCCCGTCTTGCTTCTCCCGCCCGACGGGCCCCCCGGCCGCCAGCCATGTCGATGATAACAATGCAATCTACCCGAGGGCCCCTCGCCAAAAGCCCGCGCGTTGGCCTTGGCCCAATCCAGCCGAGATCTGCAGGTACAGCTTGCTTTTGCTCCCATCGGCCTTGCTTTGCGCTGGTCCCAGTCCTGCCGACTCGGGGCTGGTGGGTGGGCGGGTGGCAGGCACGCGCGAGGCTGCTCCAGACAAATATGTGCCAGCCTCTTTCTCTTTCTCTTCTTCTTCTCCACTCCCCCCCCAAAAAAGCCGTCTTCGCTTGCGTCTGCTCTTCTACTATTCTTCCCCCATTCCATAGTACGCGACGCAGCTCCACCACGCTTATTCTACCCTACTGTTCACGAGTAATTCAATACGACTTTCCGACACGCACTTGTGGGTCAGCACGTCTCGCACAGCCATCCACCCATACCCTCAGCACAACGTCCAAGATGCGCCCCTCGGCCTTGTTCGCGCCCTTCTTCCTCGCTGCCACGGCCCTGGGCCAGGCTGTTGAGGAGGGCATTGCTCCCAATTCGCCTCCTCCTGAAGGCTGCGAGACCACCGTCGATACCCCTTTCATGATTGGCACCCTCGAGAACCCGTCTCTCAATAAGCGCGAGACCGCCCAACAGGTATGCATCCGTGCTCAGTCTTGGCTTTGGCTGGCTTTACACTACTACCCTATCATATACTAACCCGACTGCTCTATCCAGGCTTCTGACGGCCAGCTGTTCTGCACCCTCAAGGACGGCATCTTGCACGATCAGTATGGCCGCACAGGCTCCATTGTGGCTAACCGCCAATTCCAATTTGACGGCCCTCCCCAAGCTGGCGCAATCTACACTGGCGGCTTCTCTGTGTGCAAGAATGACTCGCTCGCCATTGGAGGCAGCACCCGTTGGTGGCGCTGCATGAGCGGTGCCTTTGGAAACCTCTACGACGAGTCGATTGGTGCCCAGTGCCACGAGATTCGCATCCAGGCCGTTTTCGACAACAGCTCAAGTTCGTCGTCGTCGTCGTCGTCGAGCGCCGCTTCCAAGACCAGCTCTGCCTCTTCTGACGCTTCGGCTACCCAGAGCTCTGTATCTGGCAGCATTACCAACAGTGCTAACAGCACTGCATCATTCACATCCGGCGCAAGCTCAACATTTGCTTCTGCTACTTCTTCCTCCGGCTCTGAGAGCTCGCGCTCTTCTGCATCTGCTGGCTCCACCACCTCTCCTACCGGATCCGCAGATGCTCCTCCTGCAAACGCCGCAGCGCCCTCGCTGTTGGCCGCTCCTTTTGCCGTGTTTGGCGTATCGGCCGTCTTCCTCGGCGCTGCCCTCATGCTATAAACGACCCACTTTTACGACCATGCTTCTTTTTTGTTTCTTTACTGTTGTTTTCTTTCCAACTTCTTCTACTTCTACTTTTATCCTCAGCAACCGCATCTCTGGCGTCTTTTCAGCGTTTGTTCACCAACATGCTCCGCATGCATAGATCCTGGGAATATATCGTCTTTTTGTTTCTTTCTCACCGTACCGCATGGTAATTTGAAAAGAAAGAGCATTGCGCGGTTTCATTTTCCCTTGTTGCGTTTGGCACCTGGCGACGGGGAGGGCTAGCAAAGTAATGATAATACACTTGGGTTGACCATGGAAATGGTGTGTGCTTTTTGCATGTCATGTCAATGTTGATTGTTTTTTGCCTCGTGAATTACTTTCGAAACTGTTACCCTTTTCCCCCAAAACAGAGACATTTGTTGAACCTGGTCTATATATATATATATATATAGACATGTACACATACCGAGAAGAAGACCAAAAAAACTCTTCATACACAGTCAGGCAACCCACCATCAAAACTCACTCCCAAGCTCATCAAAGCTATCATCCGGTACGCCCATGGCCTGATTGCTCGCCTCAAGTATCTCACCAACCTGCTCAATCGCATCCCTCTGGGCCCTCCACCTCTGCACCTGACACTCAATCTTCTCCCTCAGCTCATCCGTCCACGCCACAGGATCCCTCGGCACATGCCCTGCATTCGTCACCATGGCCGGCAACAAGATGTTCATCTGAAAGCCCGGCACACTCAGATAGCTCTTAAACTCGGCATAGACGTCGTCGAGGCGGCGCAGCTGGGCCTCCATGGAGCGATAGTCGCTGGCGAGGGCGTGCAGGTAGGCGAGCTGGGCGGCCGACAGCGAGGCGGCGCGACGCAGCAGGAGGAGCATGTGGACCGCGTCGTTTTCCACGTTTTCGAGCGTCATCGTGTGTTCGTTTGGGGGGCAGCCGTAGAGCGGGTGGAGCAGGCGCAGCGACCAGCGGATGTGCCGGTCGACTTTGCTGTACGGGCTTAGGGCTGCCGCGAGGCGTTTGCGCCGGAGGTCGCGAAGGCAGTCTTCTGCGTGGCTGAAGGTGAAGCGTTGGTGGGTGCGTTTCTGGAAGGAATCAAAGTTAGCGTATAACCTTTTTTGTTGTTGTTGTTTGATAGAGGGTGTTTCAATAATGCGGGGGAGTGGGTGNGATAAGTCTGGGGTAAAGTAATGTGGAGTTATATATATATATATATATCTGGAATGTAGTATAGTAGTAGGAAAAACGTACCTCCAGTATTATGCGCAACGCCCGTTCCGTCTTGAGGAAACGAACGAGCATGTCCCTCCACGCGACTCGCACGCAGCGCGTAGCAAGATTGACGCGGACATCAAAGTGCAAGCGGTCTGCTTCAACGGGAAAGTCCAAATCCAGGACGGCATGGTCGAGCCGAATGCACCAGCGCAACGTGCCGAATCCTTCTTCAGGGCGCCGCAGCTCCAGCCGGTCCAGCGTGCGCGACCACCGCGCATCCGCATCGTCAATCGTGTTGCCCTGGCGGTCTTGTGCCCCGCCCACCCGATGGAATTGGCGGTACCACTCGTCGTCGAGGCGGAACACGGCGTGGCTCCCGCTCCAGATCGGCTTGCCGGTTGCCTGGTCGTTGTCATTATCGTTGTCTCCACTTGCGCTGGCGCCGGTTTCTATGCGCTCAAACCGCGCTTCCAGAAGGTGAATGGCCGCGTAGTCTTCGTCGTCGTCTAGCGACTCCATTGCCCGCGAGTGCCGGCTCCCCATGTACCCCAGCAACCGCGTGCGTCGCAAACAGTGATATAGCACCTGTCCGTCAATTGCATCGCGGAATCCCCTGCATACAAGCCGCCAGTCGAGCAAATAGTCCACAGGTACATGTTCGACAATCTGCAGTAAAAGTTCAGCAGGCAGTTGTGCGAGCGCCGGTCTCGCTGCTGGCGTCGCCCTTGTCGTTGTCGTCGTCGGTCTTTGCGATGATACATTGCACGCTTGACTCGAGTCGATGGAGCTAAGCAGCGCCGTCACGTCGTCTTGGTCGAAGCCTAGGTTCACATGGCGCCGAAGGTACAACGGAAGCGAGTCGATCGACGGCGATGCTGCTGCTGTCGCTACTCCGCGAGACGAAATCGATGCGCTAAGCGGCGGATGCGCGCCCGCCTGTGACATTGTGGGGGCGGCGGGGAAAAGAGGGGGGGCGCGACGATGTGCGTGAGGCGGGCTTGGATCGAGAGTGGCTTTAGTGTAGTACTACTGTGGGTTTGGGTTCTGCGTCATTCCGATGGCACGTGGACGGAGTATCGGTATTGCGACGTTTTTGGCAATGAGATGGCTTTTTCCTTTTCTGAGAAGAAATTATTCTTTCTCGCAATATGACTAGTTTTAGTAGCTATTGGACCATTGAAGGTGTGTACGTCCTTGTTGGTGTTTCAGCCGGGCGAGAGCCTGGTAAGCCTTCACTGCGATCCGTTTACGACCGATACGGAGTTGTGCCAAGGCAAAGTGAGGAGCCGAGTACTACTTTCCAAAGTCAATTCTAGCGTATGGGATTCCGGCCGCTATCATTACTCGTGCGTCTGCAACGCTCATCAAATACGGAACAAAGGCTTGAAATGCCACTCTTTGGGGTAGTGGTAAGGCATGCCACATTTAAGTACAAGAAGTCTCACGTACCTCACCCCCATTTCAACCCCACTTTACAACCTTGGACTGACATCCTTCTTCGCTACTTGCTCAGTCATGCATCCCGCAAAGAACCTCGTGATCCCATCCAAATCGTCTAACAAAGTCACTTTCGATACATCTACACTTGGTCAGCTTCGTTTTTCTCACGTTACCAACACAAATGTGACCTACACTGATCGGGCCTGACGATAACTACGGCACCAACTTCTGGATCCACACCGTACGCTTCATATGCATGACCATGGCCAGAATTGTAGTGCTCGTCATCAACGAATGATTTGTGAAGATCTAGTAGTCAAACATGTCAGTCCTCATGCATAATCGCTGGACATGATAACTCAAGAAGACGATGGCTTTTACCTCTGATCCCCCATTTACCTGTCACGGGCCAAAAATAATCTGGTATCCTTTCTTGCTCCATGTCTAGGAACTTGCTGCTCATAACGAGTAACGGTTCAATAACAGCATCGGGGTACTTGGATACAGGCGTATACCGTCGTGACATGGTTTCCAGAGCCCCGGTAAGCTATTCCCTTCTCGTTAGCACCAAACATACACACTACACGGTTTTCAATGGAAGAACACGACTTACCTTTTGCACCCTTGCAAGATGCTCATCTCGACCAAGATCTCCCCCAAACACCACAACCCTCCACCGTCCATCACTTCTCAACACACTCTGCAACTGCACCGCCTTACAGTCACAAAACCGTATCACCTGCGCACTCGGAAACCTCATCCCCACCGTAACCCCCCTCGCCACGCTCTGCTCCCCCGGCCCCGCCTGCGTAACAACCGATTCCTCATACCGTGCCGTAAACCCGGCCGTATACCGCCCACTGCGCACAAAGTACTCAGCAAACTCGCCCTTGAACTTTTCTTTTCTTTCAAACAACTCCATGAGCTCCCGGTCAAATGCAATCAGATCAGCCGCCGTCTTACTGCGCTCAGAAACATACGTCGGGATGAGCGAAGGCGGCGATAAGCCAGACAAAACGGAGCCGAGTTTCCACCCAATGTTATATCCGTCTTGCAGTGAGACGTTCATGCCTTGTCCGGCTTTGGGGGAATGCGTGTGGCATGCGTCGCCGGTTAGAAACACGCGGTTGTGGGCGTGGAAGGCGGCTGCGAGGCGTTGCCCGATACTATATGTGCTCCACCAGAATACGCCTGCGTAGTCCATGGAATAGGGTGCGAAGATCTGACGGGCCTGATTCTGCAAGTCGACCAGTTTTACTTCTTTGGGTCGTGCGCCAGCGGGAAGCTGGATGTAGAAGCGGACGAGTTCGCCGCCTTCGCGGGGGATAATGACGATGCTGCCTGCATTGCTGCGGATCGTGCATTTGCGCCGTATGTCCGGGAAGTTGGTTATTGGGTAGATGTCCATGACGCCCCAGACGGTGTCGGACGAGTCGCCCAGCATGCGGATGTCGAGGGCTTTGCGGATGGTGGAGTGGGCACCGTCGCAGCCTATCACGTATTTTGCTTCCCAAGTTTCTTCTTTACCGTCTTTTTCGGCAGTCACCTTAACGCAGTGGGCGTTTGGGTTTCGTGTCTTGGTCTCGTCGATGTCCAGGCTCTTGACGCTCCATCCGTACTCGATGCCGTTGCTTGCTCCCTCTTGCCATCGTCCTTGTTCTCGAAGCACGCTCTCCAGCTTCCTCAGCATCAGCCCGTTCATTCGCGCTTGGTTCAGAATGACATGCGGCAGGTGGCTTAGCCCCTTTTCTGTATCAATAGTTCGACCTTTTCTCTTGATACCTCCCTGTGCTTTTCCCTCTTCCTCCTCGTCAACCCCCCAAAAGCATACTTCCAAGACATGATAACTTTCTCTTAGTAACTCTTCTGATAATCCGAACGACTCGTAGATTTCTACCGTCCGCACTTGCACACCGTCGGCTTGCCCAACCTTAAGCGGCCCAGGGCGCCGCTCGAGCATTGTAAAAGGAATCCCGTAGATGGCAAGCCATGTCGCTGCAAAGATGCCGGCAGAGCCGGATCCCGCTATCAGCACGTCTGTTTTGGGCATTCTCTGGATAGTAGTTGTGTAAAGTGACGTCCAAAGGTACAAGGGTTTACGGCTAAACACGAAAGCAGCAAACAGAGCAGATGAGTTGTAAGTATTAGCGATCACGCGCAAACGGCATTTGAGCGCTTAGCGATCCACCATGACAATCGATGATGGTATGTGTGTATTTATGTATTACATGCCTCAACACTGGGAATAAGCGGTGTCATAGTGTAGTAATCGTGCCGAAAGTATGTTCCGGACATGCATCGGCCATAAAGCGGGGAGCAGACACTCGTTCCACTAGCGTATCCCACAGGTTCGCACAAGCCGAGGGGTGACCCGAATCAAAGCTGATTGTGACAGCTGTTCGCAGGTATCAGGGAAGAAGACATTTCCACTAGCCTTCTCTATCAAATACCAAGATAACTATGCTTGGCGTCGGCTACTGCCTAGGTGCAGATCCTACGCAGGGAACGTTGCCGATGTTAGTTTCCCGTCGGAAGAACGGGTAACGGCTATAAAGGCGGCGAAAGCTCGGGTAGGTATCATATGCTATGTATCTTGAGTATTCATATTACTATCTACGTAGGTACACTATTCATATCGTGTTCCGTCTGGTTGAGAGCACATTGTTGACGTCCTCCAACCTAGTCCTCCTGTGCCGTGCCAATTAGTCGCTAGTGCATGTACAACAATGCAACAGGAGCGTGGATAAGTTTTTCTTTTTGCCGAAGCAATTACACACCGCAAACTCCGCTTCATGCGTAAGGATAATAGGGATCAATGCAAAATGTACGTCGTCCGAGGATAAAAACACAATGGCTCATTAGACAGGCTTAATGGCCTACAGCAGAGTAATGCGAGTTGCGGCCATGAGGTTGTTGGTAAAGTGACGGGGTATAGTCGGAGTCCTGGTACATGGTGCCTCGCCTTTCGTCTTCTGGGTATGGTTCTTTGATTTCCCAATTGTGCTGCTTGACACCGACGGAGAATTCGAGATCTTCGCGTGTGATAGAGTCCCAGTACTGTCTAGATGTTAGCAGGTACGTACAAAAACAACGGAGTAAACTACATACCTTGTAAACCATCATGACAGCCAACAGATTACAGATGGTGGTGAAGAAAAGGCCGTCAATGTAATGCAGTACACCTTCGCAAATAGTGTCGCTGAAGACATAGAGAATCACCTGGCCAATGACGAAGAAGAAGATGCCAAACAGGATGTCACCCAGTGGCCAGCGGTCCTCCAAAGTTCCAATTACAAGAATGATCTGGCTGACGGTGTAAATGAATAGACAGATGGCATTGACGAGGTAGGTGACGATAAAGATGCCAATAGGATTCATGGGGCTCAGTCCGGCCCAGCCTTTAAAAGTCAAAAGATTGACCGCGCCACCGATGATGAACATGGCGAGGGAGCTGAGCCGTAGCAGCCAGACGGAGAGGGTAGTGCCATCTTCGTAAAGCTGGAAACCGACAAAGCCATTAATCAACAGACAAGTACACAAGGCAGACGTGAGGCCATTCTGGGCGGCAGCAAAGTACGGGTAGGTAGCGGAACCGGGCGCAGTGACACCTGCATCGAGGACGAGGGAGATGATGGTGAGGAGGAAGTAGATGTAGAAGAAGGTTGTGATTTCCTTACGCCCTGGTATACGTTAGCAAAAGTGCTCTGGGCCATAATGCTGATATTGCGCCGACGTACCGACAGCCGTGAATTTGGAGCGTACGTGTATGATCATTACGACAGTCATGACCAGGGCCAGGATGTGCATAAAGTCGTTAGCCGCCTCGAAGATGATCGTGTTGGCGATCTCAATAGTCCTGGCATAGCAGCGTGTCTGGATACCCACGCCATTGCTGATATCCTGATGGCCCACAGCAGCGCAGAGGGGTATCGGCGCCTTTTCGCATATCGTCTGGAAGTCGCCGAAGCCCATTGTCGCAGGACGGGGGAGGCCGGAGCTCGAGAGTGCCAGGCGGTAGAGGTGGTGAAGTCACAGTCACAGTCGTCGTCGTGCGCAACACGTATATCGGAAGCGAGCGGAGGTGCAGACGACTAACGAGTGAAGGTCCGCAGTAAACAGAAGCGAGAGCAGTCGCTGTGGGGATGCGACGGGGGTCAGATTTGCGACGGGGGCGGTTGTCAGGAGTGAATGCCCAGTGCCCTGTTGATGCTTCCCGCACTCCACCAAGGGCGCGTGCAGGTATGTGCCATGCTGATTCCGGACTAGCGCAGAGCTATTTCGGACACGGAGACCCACCTGAAAAAAACAACAACACCATCCACATATTGCCAGATGCATCATAGGGCTGAGCTCGACATTGCGACCAGAGTGACTTGATTTCTGTCTTCTACCGATGCTAGCTATATGTATGGCTGAAAGAATAGTCCCTCCTCATATAGCCTGTGCCTTTTTCATGTGCTGATGGTGACTTCAGAAGAGCAAGGTTTGTTTCCCTAGAAGACAATAAAAGACAGTGACAATAATTAGCTATCAATACAAAAGCGTAGTCAATCATATATAATTACAAGTGTCTCGTTGCATGTTCAGTCACATCAGATTGCTGCAGCTCTACTCCCACTCACCTTGACTATCATACTACTACTTAGCAATCATGAACAGGCCCCAATTCTACTGCTTGCCCATTTCCAACTTTACAGCATCAATCAGAACTTCTAAGATACTTAACTTCCCACCCTAGAGAAGAACATCCTCAGTCTAGCCACTCGCCAAAATGGCCGGCCGTCCAAATCTCCAAGACCTTTCTCAAGCATCCAATGAAGCATTGGAAAAACTGAAGAAGTTCAGGACAGAGAACCCACTGCTGATCGCCACGATTCCACCAAGCCCTGACAAGCAGCATTTACCTACAGGCAACTTGCCAGGTATGGCTTCCCAGCCATCCAACCCACATCCACGCCCTCCTCGAGTCTATCACGGACCGCTTGTTCGCATTACCCGCGATATGGTTTTCGATCGCATCTATCTCCTTCTCACAGAAAACCTGCCCACACGGTGGACTCAAAATCCTGAAGCTCTGGCTCATCTTAGTAGTAAGACACCTTATTCTTCACTTACCTTGTAACTCACCAACTAACAAGAACATGTAGAGAGTATGGCCAACGTTGTTATTCGCAGCGGTCAATATGGTGACTTTGGTCCATACGGCCTTTCTTCCCTTGCACAGATCTCTGCTTATATCGGTCACGAAGGCATATATCATTACATGTGTCTAGCAGTACGTCCAAGTTATGGCGATGTTCAAATCATCTTTAGGGGTGATCTGTGTGAGCATGAAGGCCAAGATCCCATCATTCATCATGAATTGATGGCACTCTGCAGGAAAGGTTTCGACAGGGCAGCTGACAGATTATATGTGAATATTGTCTCGCGGATGCCTAGGAAAAGTTCGGCTTAGTAGGCTACACTTGAAGCGGCCAGGGACATTGCTATAGTCATGGGAAATGTAATGAATGAACAACAAGGCTACTGTATAGTTCTCACGCATAGTCAGGCCTGCACTAATGATATCAAGATCCCGAGAGACATGTCGTGAATGGGACGGAATGTTTTGTCATCTTAGTGGTGAGGCGGACCAATAACTCGATTGAGCAAACATGGTTGTACTGACAATAGCCACATAGAAACGCTGCTACCATGTGATAGCACATTCACCTTCACTTCACAGGGACTTGCCGCTTGCAGCAAAGACGAATCCAATGCTACGGTAACGAGGTAACAGCACTCTATAATAAAGCCCCAGAAAATTTAGAGCCCATCCTCACCCTCAAAGCTCAAGTGTTGTTAACGACTTCTGACTCTCAAGCTCCAATTTACCTTTGGTACGTAAGTTTCGGACAAGAGTAATACTCTTACCAAAAACACCATGGATCGCTCCCCAACGAAACGCATGACAAGGAGCCAAGTGAAACTTGGAACCGAAACACCACCGCTATCCCCGACCGTAGCAAAGGAGGTTACATTACGGAGTCACTTGCAGGAGTTGTTAGACAAGCTCCCACAAGATCTCCCTGTGTACCACCACGAAGAGCTTCTCGGTAAGTACCACGGAATCACTTCTTGTATACACCTAATTCTTGCATCAGATGGAATTTGTTTCCTGCTTCATAGCCCACTCTTCTCCTACGTCGTGAGCCCACGCATCCGGCGAGAGGAACAGAAAGCCAAGTCGTATGAAACCAATGCTGTGACAACCCAGACACCACTTGTCAAGAAAGCTCATAAAGGTGTCATTCGGGAATCAGCAACATATCTCGCACTGTCTAAGTTACGCATCGATATCAATCAGGAGAAGAACGACTGGATTACTCGCCTCCTTTACAACAACGCCATCCTCATCGAGGGGCGCGACTTAGGCAAGGCTAGAAACTCTTCGTTCGTCACGAGTTTCCACTTCTTCTGCGAGGAAGTAGCTTTCTTGAGCAGCGAGTTCAGGTCGAGGGAGCGTGCTGGAGCTGTCTTGCGTGGTGCTGCGGGAGAGCAGCAGTTGCTGGAGATGGATCTCGATAGTACAAGGGTAGCCAGTGCGGAGAGGAAGAAGCGGCGGCTTGTCAAGTTGAAGGTAAGAGTTCAAATAATGCGCGGTAGGGTAGTGCGCGCCAGGAATACGAGGAGGTAGAGAAATGAACAGGAGAGCCAACAGATGGACAACTTGGCGACACTTCAGTTGGAGGTATGAGGGTAATATTGGCCAAGTATTTGCTGAGATAAGGCGTTGTTTGGTGTGCATATAGCACAGTTTTTTTGTTATGACTGTTCAAGTAGTCAGGTGGTGTGGGGTTATTGGGTGTGTTATCGTAAGTGGATGGGAGACCGACGACAGTCTTCTTACGGTACGAGAATATACAAGGTCCCTCGATTTACATGTACAATTTTCCGCAGATGGATACAATCTGAATATCTTAGAGGTGAATTACCATATCGTAGTTAAATGTCTTATGGAAGATCAGTGAATTCTGTTACATGTTCACGAGGACAATTTCATCACTATCTTGATATCGATCACAAAGCGTGTTTTCACAAAGACACTGTACATAAAGTCATGCAATTGACCGATTTTCAAAGTAAAGTACAGCTCACATGTGGACTATTGAGAATTAGTAAATTGCAAGTCAAAATGCACTGTAGGTGGTTGCATCTGTCAAAAGTGAAGTTGCGCAGGGAGCAGCGTGTGACGCCAAATTTTCGTGGCGAGGTTTGCCTGCTAGACGAACATTGACCTGCCTAGATACTACCACAATTTCAAACGTCACTCGAACACCTCTGCAAAGCCCCAAAATCTGTCAAAATGGCATCGCAATCAGGCATGGTCAACCCGGCCGTCTTTCAGGACCTCCAAGCGCGCATAGACGAGGACTCTGCGGTTCGAGATGTGAGTGGCAGTTCGCCAGAGCTGCACGTGACATCGTACTCACAACGCGACAGGAGCTGCGCGATATCATACAGGCGCTTGAGAAACACAGTAAGTGTGTTCAATATGGATTCTGAATCTGAATTAACTTCCTACAGATCGCAATGTCTCTTTCGTGCTGTCAAGAGCCCATTCCACACCTGTCGGCGAGCGTCAGTCGCCGCACCCAAGACTCTCCACATGCTAGCTAATTGAGATACAGTGTCAGATATCCTAAAGGCTGCTCAAGAGCCCATTGACAATGTCATTGACACGGTTTCTAAGCTCTCGCAAGCTGCGTCGAAGATGCCCTACTACAAGTTCAACAACATGTGGAGCCGTCAGATGCAGGGTGCAGTAGGTTCAAGATTGACACATCATTCGATCATACTACTGACTAATTCGCAGTGCGAGAGTATCCTCTTCTGGGGCTGGCTTGGTGGCTACAAGTATGAGGATGGTGTGGTGCAATGCGGACGACTCTTAACCATCGAGGAGCTCGGCGAAATCTTCAAGAGTACGTCCAGGAGAACACATCATGTATGCACTCCTAACGTTCAAACAGTCCCGGTCAACCTCAAGGATCGCGATGAGTTCCACCTCTCACTTGAGGAGTATCTGCATTCCCTCATGACGCTCGTCGAGGAGCTTGTACGTCGCCTTATATGCGTTGCAAATGAACAAGAATACATAGCTAACAACTATAGACACGCCTTGCCCGCAATGCTGTCACTTTGGGCGATTACGAGCGTCCGCTGCTCATCAACCAGTTCGTCAAGGATCTGCATGCTGGATTCCAGATCCTCAACCTTAAGAATGACAGCCTACGCCGCCGCAGCGATGGCCTCAAGTATCGCGTCAAGGATGTGGAGGACGTGGTGTACGATCTTTCATTGAGGAATTTGGTTCCGAAGAAGGGAGAGCAGCAGTAAGTATTGACATGGTTCAAGCGATGGTGCAAGGAATGAATGTGTGTAATGCCCCAGGTAAAAGTTTCGGACATGGCCATCAGTAATGAGGTATCAACAAAGGAAATGGACATACCATGAATTGAAAATCGTAAAGCTGCGGAGTCAGGAATTCACATATTTTGTCCCGTCTCGTACGAACCATGGAGGTGCTGAACAGGAGTTGGTCGTCTGTCCAATCAGCGAGCAGCACCACCAGCGTCATCTCGAAACTTTCCGTTCCGCGATCTCCTGCAACTACCCCGACCAACAAACATTCCAGTCGGCCAGGCACCATCCACGCTCCTTGCAAAGCCCAGTACAAAACTATTCCACTTTGAATTGACGTGTCTTCGTTTCAACCAATCCGCATATTCATTACCACCCATTTAATTCGCAAACATGGCCAGCACAACTGTCATCAACGCAAACGCGACATCAAAGCACCAGCCCTCAACCGCCGCGCCAATTGAGCCACTCAAGAACGATACAGCGCGTCTATATACGCACATTCACCCTATACTCGTTCTCTCCGTCTATGCGCTCAAATTCCCCGCTCTGGTTGCAGACCCAGTGCCCACGTTGCTGAGCACCCTCGCACCGCTCGCTGTGCTACAAATAGCCTTTGTAGCCGTATGTCTCCCACCGACCGGAGGTACGCCTTCGATGCGGAAACAGAAGCCGGGTGAGAAGAAGGGAAAGACTCCGACGAAGTTGGAACAAGGGTTGAACTCGAAGATTGTGGTACGTGTCTTGTACTAGCATGGCAGCGTTGCTAGCAATGTCTTTTCTAAGGAAGAGCTAACGTGTTGTTACAGCCAGCTTTCCTTTCTCTCCTCCTTTCCGCCCTCGCTGCGACGCCGCTCCTCACGGCCATTCTCGTCCTCTTCGGTGCACCCGTGTCTACACACCATGCACACACTTTGCTCTGTGGTGCCCATGTGGCGCTCCTGAGCACCCTACCTCTGATCTATGTACACGGTGTCGATGGCGATACGTGGAGACAGATTATCGCACTACTCCTGCCGATAGATGAGGTCTATGGAGGGCTGATTGGCACGGTTCTTGGTGCTTGGATAGGCGCCGTACCTATTCCCTTGGACTGGTGAGTTATCCCGGGCTTATATGCTCATCCAGAACTTATGGCGAGATGATAGTTTCGAAGTAGAAAGACTAATCATGTACAGGGACCGCGAGTGGCAGAAGTGGCCAGTTACCATTGTTACGGGCGCTTATATTGGATACGCAGTTGGCAAGCTGCTAGGAGGCACACTGTTGAAGGGCAAGAAGATCATGTTTGACTAGGAGATCGTGGCTGAGATTGCTTTGCTCCCACTCTGTTTGAGGTCTCTTTGGGACTCTTGTTGTAAACTTGGGCTAGTCAGTTGTGGGTAGTAGATAGGTCGTCACATAGATACCCGTATATTAGGAACATAGGCCTGGCAGATATACGTTCGAGGTACCCAGCACCAGAAACAGAGCTAACAAATTTCCGTGTAAGATGTTGTACTGTGCAAGACCATGTGCATGGGCACAGGAATATTACCACACAACCAGTCCATCAACTATCCTAGCGTACAAATATCCAAGATGCCGTTAATATCCACAAAAGATACCTCCGACCATCGAACGATGTCACCAGAGCACAAGCCGCAATTCCCCTCCGGTCCACCTCGGAGCCCAGACCGACCCTGCAAGCCACCTATCCACTACCTGCCAATCTCCGGCATTTCCCAAACCAGTAATCCCGGCGCAAACCAAGCTCCAAACCACATGCAACTACCTTAGCCTGAAAACAGTATGCCTTTTTTTTACGTATTGGGCATTCTCACACTGTTGTTGGGCCGGGGTATTTTTGGTATTGCGGGCTTTTTTCTGTGAATAGCCGTAGAAGCTTTTGATGATTGTGCCGCAGATTGTCCAAATAGACGCGGCGAGGTGGGCGCGGGGTCGGTAGGTCGTGGGGGTGGGGGGAGCGGGGAAGAGAGTTTATAAAGGTATAGATGGCTCCCGGAAGGAGGGTGGTTGGAACGAATTGCATTCAGCTGTTTTCACTTTTTAATTTGAACATTGAGAATTTTATCAAGACGCTATAGTAGTATCTGAGAAATCCTTAGTGTGGGGATTGTGACGAGGTCTTGTGTATGTACATGTAAGTACATGTAAAAGGGCCGCTTTCCTGGGAGAATACCGGTACGATGGGCGGATAATATGGGATGAATTGCAATACTAATACGACTGCTTGTAGGAACTGGACAGAAGAAAGTCGGCATTATCGATCCCAACTCACACGATCACATCCGCAATCATGTCGCGAAAACACTTTTTTCCCAACCCAGAGGGCGTCGTGCTGCACACGCTGCGCTCGCTCTGCGCACGGAACAAGCACATGGCGCTCGACGAAGCCAACCGCGTAGTCTACAACCTATCCCACAGACCCAATGAAGTTAGCATTGTGTCTGGAGGCGGTTCGGGCCACGAGCCGGCGTGGTCGGGTTTCGTGGGCGACGGCATGCTGTCAGCTGCTGTGTGTGGAGATATCTTTGCGTCGCCGAGCACGAAGCAAGTTATGGCGGGCATGCGAAATGTACCGAGTACAGAGGGAATAATACTCTGTATCACAAATTACACAGGCGACATGCTGCATTTTGGGCTGGCGAGGGAAAAGGGTCAGGCACTGGGATACAAGGTCGATGTCGTTTGTATGGCTGAAGACGCGGCGCTGGGTCGTGCTCAGAGTGGGAAAGTAGGGCGGAGAGGACTGGCGGGTAACTTACTCGTGATCAAGTTGATTGGTGGTGCATCACTACAGGGCTGGGCTTTTGAGCGGTGTAGGAAGATGGGTGAGCTGGGGAATGAGCAGCTGGTTACGATTGGAACGAGTCTGGATCATTGCCATGTCCCTGGAAGAGAGGCGTTTGAAAGCGTGCAGGACAATGCCTGTGTTGTTGGTATGGGAATTCATAACGAGCCGGTAAGCGGAACAGGTTCACCTTTCTCTTTCTCGCAGAAAAGTCATACTGATCAGAATTCAGGGCCTGCGAACTATACATCCGATGCCGGGTCCAGAAGACGTTATCAAGGAGATGCTAAAGTATCTCCTGGATCCCTCAGACTCTGATCGCGCTTTCGTCAAGTTCAACCCCAACGACAATGTAGTAATGCTCGTCAACAACTTTGGCGGCCTGTCGAATCTGGAATTCGATGCCATGGTGAATCTTGCCCTCGTAGCATTAAAACGAGACTGGAGCATTGAGCCAACACGCATCTACGCTGGTGTGCTCGAGACATCGCTCAATGCCCAAGGTTTCAGCATAACACTGGGCAACATGAGCGGCATGGCCAAATCCATGGGTGTCAAAGACGAAGAAATCATTGCTCTGCTCGACGCCCCGACCAACGCTCCCGCATGGCCGAAAAACGGCTTCAAGCCTGTCAACATCAACAAGGAGACGGAGGAACTACGTAACAAGGCCAATGCCGCACTGTCTGAAAAGTCAACCCTCCACAAAGGCCCTGCAACCCCGACTTCTCTCATCCCCGCACTGCGAGCAGCATGCAAAGCCGCCTTAGCAGCCGAGCCCAAAATCACCCAGTACGATCTCCAAATGGGTGACGGCGACTGCGGCGAAGCCGTAGCAGGCGTATGCAAGAGCATCCTTGCCAACATCGACGCCGTCGAGCAAAACCCACCGCCCATTCTAGCGCTCCTAGAAAGCATCGGCGAAAACGTCGAAGACGTAGGCGGTTCCCTCGGCGCCATCCTCTCCATTCTCGTCACTGCGTTTACCAATGCCCTTGCCACAGCAACCCTTTCACAAAATGCCCCTCTCGACATATCCACTTTTGCTTCTTCCGCGCTCACCGCGCTTGAGAATCTAAAGAACTACACTAGTGCGAGAGAGGGCGACAGAACGGTCATGGATGTTCTTATCCCGTTCATTAATACGTTGGCTGAGACCAAGGACTTTGCCAAGAGTGTGCAGGTTGCCGAGGAGAAGGCAGATGGGACCAAGGATATGAAGGCCAAGTTTGGACGCGCCACGTATATTGCTGAGGATGGGAGTGATAGGTCCAAGATTCCCGATCCGGGGGCGTATGCGGCCGGTGTGTGGTTGAGAGGGTTTGAGAAGGGGTTTCAGGCCTGAGTTGGGCGATGATGATGATGATGACGTGGATGGAAAGAGAATTAGGAAAGCCAGGGGTTGGTGGTAGACCTAGAATTACCACGAATTAATAATTCCTAACACAGTTTTCCAGCATAAAACCTTAACATGCGCGGGCTATTAAATATGGAATACCCGTTGAGACTTTATTCGTACTAGCGTAGTTATTCGATTTGTATACTATCTTGGAAGCTTACTTAGAGATTTATCGGGCCGGCTGCTTTTAGCGATTCTCCTACTGCAACAGCCGACCCGTACTGTGCCGTACGTTCAGCTTACATCGTAAACTAAGAACTTCCCAAGATGCTACACTCACGATATCTTCTTTTTGCATTTGGAACTATCCTTCAGCATGCCTATGTTGTAGAGTCTACGAGCGCCTGTAATAAACCGTATACTACACTCACTCATCCATGCGTTTTTATTGGATCAGTACTTGGCTGCAGTACCGACCCAACGCAGATCGTCTGTGATCCGGGACAGAAGGCTGACGACATCGGATATGAGTTGGATAAAGGGAGTGGGGGTTGTACATGCACGATTACAGTATTTTTTTTCGTTTGAGTTTTTGAGAAACTAGACTAACAGTTGATTTAGTATCAATGCTGTCCACCAGGTCTTGAGTAGATTGGCACAAAAATTACTAGTTAGAGTGAATTGAGACGAATGCTTTAGAAAGTATCTAGGGTAATATAACTAGACTATATCAAATACTTTCCTACTATGATGTATATTATCTATGCACGTGACTGTAACTTGTTGGCCCGAAGGATACCTGACGGATCCCCGAGGGTTGGCCTTCTTAGGCCTTAGTTTAGAGTATCGTGATAGATATCTCTCTTTCCTAATTTCTAATGCACTTGTTTAAGGATTTGGAATAAGTGAATATGAAAAAAGGTCCGTTGGCACCAAAAAGGATGTTGTACCTACCATCATGGCATGCAACGGCAGTACTACTATGCTATTTCACATCCACATGGCCAAAGCACATATCCAATCTAACCCAACTGTCCATCTTCCGCTCTAACAACAAGCGAGTCAACATCAGCCCTATGCGTCTTTACATCCTCGGACCTGCATCCCTTCCCAACATCAACGCATCATCTTCTCTTCCATATCCGCGGAGTCCTCGCTTAACGCCCCGCATACATCAGGTCTTGACATCACCCCTCCAACCATCATCTCGAAACTGCGCATGCATCGAATCGCGACGGTGTCAGAACGTGATGTCAGGCACCCGTTCTTGATGTACCCCAGGTGACGCTATTTACAATAGCTCAACGCCCAGGGCGCTCGTTTACCGGCTATTTTCTTACATATGCATACCATTTGTAAACGTCGGCCATGCGGGAGTTGGCTTTGCTGATCTCCCTGGTCATGTATCGTTTGTATGATGGTTGCCGAGAGGGGGGAAAGAGGAGAAAACGGCACGGTTGATCCGTATTAGCACGCTACACGTAGAGAAAAGGCTTGGTGGGTGAGATCGGCGCGGTTGGCGGTGCGACTGGGGCACGCTGTAATTGTAACGGATGTTTAAGCCGGGATTGTCTAGAGGAGGTGTAGAGGAGAACGTGGCTCTTGTTAGAAGACAACAAGGAATTTAGGATGAGAGCGTAGTATTGATGTCACTCAAGCTATCGAGATGGACTATGGAATACCGCTGATAAGTAAGGAACTACTTATACTCTTCAGAAACTCTATCAAACGCCTGACAGAGATATCTCCTCATTCCCCATTCTCTCCAGTATCCTCGCTCCATCACTATCCAAAATGCTTTCCCAACTCCTCCCCCTCCTATCCCTCCTCCCCCTAACCACCGCCCAATCCCAAGTCCAAGAACCTGCACCACCTCCCGTCCTCCTCTCCACAACAAAATCCGGCGTCATCCCCGCCCTCCCCACCGCAACCCCTTTCACAGGCGTCGACACCCTCCAAGGCGCCATCATCTCCCCCTTACCCCCCGCCCCAGGCTACCTACCCAACGCCACGGGCGGTCTCGAGGGCACCGCAACCGCAGCCCCAAACCAACCCTCATCTACTTACCGCGCTGTGCTCCCAGATGAACAATACAATCCCTACGTCGACACTACTGTATCCGGCACCATTGACGCAGTCGGCGACCCCCAAGGCGTCCGCTTCACCGTCAAGATAACCAATCTACCCGACCAAGCGCAGTACGGACCCTTTGCATGGCACATCCACGCCCTCCCCGTCCCGGACGACGGCAACTGCACCGCCACACTCGGCCATCTCGACCCCACGAACCGCGGCGAGCTCTACATGTGCGACGCTTCGGCGCCGGAAACGTGCCAAGTAGGTGATTTAGCAGGCAAGCACGGCGGGAAAATCACTTCAGAGGCGAGTTTCGAGGCCGAGTTTGTGGACCCGTATTTGAGCGTGGAGCAAGGGTCAGAGGGCTATTTTGGGGGGCTGGCGTTTGTGTTGCATACGGGGAATACGACGAGGATTACTTGTGCGAATTTCGAGGCTGTGCAAGGGGAAAATGCCACGAATGCGACTGGGGGGGTGGCGTCGCCGACGCAGAGTGGGATGCCCGAGTTTACGGGGGCGGCGAGGAAGGTTGTAACGGGTGGAACGGTGGCGCTGGCGGTTGGGGTGTTTGCGGCGGTGATGGCTTGATGGCTTGAAGAATGCCGGGGTTGATATTGATCTATATATATAGTCGTAATTGGATATGAACGATGGGGTATAAAATACGTATAAACTCAGACTGCTATTCCCACTTCCTGAGTAGCCTCGCCCCATGCTTGGTGTAGAGAACTCGTACATTCCTTGTGACAACCCTGCCGACTGCAAACCCAAAATCTCGGACCAGCACTGAGCGGTCTCTCGCAAAACGGTCTCATACACATGTCCCACTCGTGTCCCTGAACTGATTGGCCCTTCATCAACATTACTTTTGCACGTGCGGTCCTCTTTGCCTTGATCTCTTTAACCGACAGTCGGATACAATTATTGCAAACAGATACAGGCACTTCCCTAAGATCTTGTATGGGCCCTTTGTAGGCGAGAGGATTGAGTAAACGCTTGTACATGGTGTATAGCCAAGGAGGATCAGGAACGCATTCGCACTGTATACCCTTGTGTCTTGTGCCGTGGAGGGTTTGTTTAATCGCAATGTGTTGGTAGTAGCAGGTCTTGCAGTATGGGATGCAGTTTTCCAGGTGGTGTAGTGGGACTGATTGTACAAACGAGGTAAACTTGGCACAATCTGAGCACATCGGGATCCAACACACCGAACAGGGATTCATCACGCCCCCGTCCCGGCAAGTATTTCGTTTGAAAACGGTGAGGCGGCGGTGAAGATCATCGTGGGGAAGGACCGAGTTGTGAACAGATTTGGAGACGGAAGACAAGCTTAAGACATCAATATAGTGTAGGTGTTGAGTGACCATCATAAGCATGTCGTAAATGCCGAGGAACTGTGCCAGTTGTGTAGGCTCTCCATCGGTGCCGTGATACCCCCCTACGTTATTCTTGCTGACAAACTGTGCCTTCAGCCCTTTGAGCGCAATCTCAGTCTTCTGCTCCGCCCCAAGTGCCGTTTTCACAGCATACCGGCGTGCTGTTCGAACTTGCGCTTTTGTCCTGTTAGGCAAGCATATGCGGAAAGTAAAGACTGGGATGGTATGTAAAATAAAGGGAATAAGCTCCACGATTCCTTTTGGTAGATAAATGATGCATGCCAAGAAGAACACAGCGCATGCCTTCATTGTCTTCACGAACTCGATGAGTTGTTCTCTGGCAATTGATATGCAGCCAACAAAAGTGACAATGCCAGAAAGCGCCACCAAGGCGTGGAAGAAGCTAGGGCTGTTAGTAGTCAATGATAAGTTGGGGGATAATGGACAGCTCACACTACAGAGATGCCGTATTGCCGTTCCTCCACAAAGCTCTTACACAGTTTGGTAGGGGTTGTGGCAGTCGCATTCAGCCTCGCAGCAGCAGCAAAGAAGCTCTCATTAGTCCCTGGAGGTCGTTGATTGTAAAAAGTGGACATGTCATTACATGCACTTTTCTCCGTGGGCACGTATCCGTTTTGATAGTCCACAACACGCGCTATGTAGACAGTGATTAGGACATCCCCAACGACGACTGGGAGGTGCAATGGTGGGTGCAGCCATATAGATGGTACCCAGATTGTAAGGTTCCAGAGAAAGGCAAAGGAAGCCCACCAGTTTGCAAGCCTTTCGCCGGTCACGATGTTTGGATCGTAGGTGCCATTGTGAAGCAGGAGGTTGTCACTGATTTCTCTGTTGTGGAGTGTCGCATAGTTCTGTTGATAGATGGTCGGTACCAGCATAATGAAGCGGAGGAAGATGGTTATGCAGTGCAAGAGGATGTAGATTCCATAGAATTTGAGATCTGCGCGCGTCCAGGAGGCTCTGGTGAATGCCATGTTGGGTCTAGCAGGTCGCTGAAGCGATCTGGCTTTGTGCGATGGAATTTACAAAGCAAGGATCTGTCCAGTTGTAGAACAGATGAAGATTGATGGATCACGAAAAGTCAAGTCTTTATGAGACACAAGAGCAGGGACACACGAGATATGAGGTTGCCGAGGCTTGAGGGTGCTGTACGCCTGATGGGCAGCCGCACAGCACAAGGCTGAACCGCTTGTCTGGTGATGGATACTATTTCCCGAAGGCATTGCCCGGCCCGTTTATGACAGAGGCGTGGGGTGATGCGAAGAAGTATCAGTCAGGTATGGTGTTGCAGCCTTGTAGCCCCGCAGTAGAAAAAGAAGGTGGGTTGAAGGGCGCGGTCAGCCAATATGGGTTAGTTCAAAGTTACCGGTGAAGAGGACATACTAGCGCAGCCCAGTCAGCCACGACAGTGTGCATCTGTCGCATGCGTAGAGAGTACTTGGCTTGGTGGCAACCGACGGAAATGGCCAAAGGCCTGGGGCTGGACATGACGTCGACCAGAACGGGCGAGAGTCAGGGGGAGAAGCGAAGCGTGTTATGCACACTGTCGCGTTGCCCGTCGTGATTGGCGCAGGGCTCATGGTGGCCGAACCTGTGGCCACAGCAAATGAGCAATGACATGTGGCAGCAAGGTAGGGATGTCGAGCAAGATGAGGGCTGGCGTAGTGTGGCATAGGCTGGCGTCGTGGTGGACAGGGCGGGCGAGGCGAGTGAGTGCACGGCTCGAACCGCCGCGGGCGGGTCTGCGTCTCCGGGGCAACGGCGGGTGTTTATCGATGCCACAAGGTGCCAATACACCCCTGCACCTAGCTCCATCAAGCACACCTGCGATTCCCTAATCTCGGCCCACACAAGGCTCACCAGAAGGGCTTCTCCGCAAAAAGGAACCTCTAGCTGCACCTTAGCCCCCTCGCGAAACACACACCCTTCCGACTCCTGCATTGCACAGCTTCGACGTTTCGCCTCAACTCCCTCGCCGCCGCCTCATTGTCTCAGCATACAAGTCGAGCTGATAACTGCCACTAACCCCGCCACAAGGACCCTCGCAACCTTATCCGCCATGGAGGCCCTCTTATCGCTCGCCTTTGACAATATTGCGTCCAAGGATACACAGAAGATTCGTAAGGGATTACGCCAGATTGAGGGCATGCTGGCGCAGATTTGTCTCTCTGGCGCAAAGTCGAAACCCAGCACACCAGGCCACCGCCGGAATGCCTCAGCAGTCACTCTGAGCGAGCAACAGCAACAGCAACAACAACAAGCCACAGCAAAGAAGTTGGGACAGCTATCAGACGATCTCGCCTTCCGAGAGTTTTTTCGCCTGCAAGAGGGGTTCGAATGGAATGGTGGGTCGAGTCAGCAGATCAACAACGGGCAAGATGCTAATAGTGTAAAGTTGTGACCAGGGTAGCCGACTGTCTGGATCGATTGCTTGGTATGGGTAGTAGCAAAGGTAGGAGAAGCACGCAGAGTTGATGACGATTACGAGCTAACCATGATTACAGATGGCCAGAACGACATCCTCATCCTCTCATCGCTTTCCAACATACAAGGTCTCCTCCTGCTACACCCCCCGTCACGCATCATCTTCGGGCGCGAGGTATACATGAACCTTCTCCTCGACCTGCTCGACCCCTACAACTGCCCGGCGATCCAGTCACAAGCCCTCCTCGTCCTCGTCTCCGCCCTGCTCGCCACGCCCCAAAACACGCGGATATTCGAGCACATGGACGGCCTGCTCACCGTAACGAGTCTGTTCAAGGACGAGGAGACAACACAGGGCGTCAAGGTCAAGCTGCTCGAGTTCTTGTATTTTTACCTCATGCCCGAAATGCCCGTCTCGGGCCCTCAGCGGGGTCGCGACAAGGTCAGGACGGCCATGGACCGGCGGGGGAGCACCGACGACGGCAGCAATGGAGTCAAAAAGCACACACGGTCGCAGGCTGAGAAGCAGCATATGCTAGGCAAGTACCTCAACAATGTGGATGCTCTGGTCGAGGATCTGCAGGAGAGTGCGCCATTTACAAACGTCGCCTGCTAAGAGCGATGCAAGGCAGATTTTTCATCTGTCTCTTTTTTTCCTTTCCTCTATCTATGCTTACTTTGGTTGACCACATATTGGTCCCGTTCAGCGCGGCGTCACGGAATGCTTGGTGTCATTCGCATCCATACCTGTCGCAAACACCATAGCTGTTATTGCTACCTTTTCCTTTGTTACAATGCATTCCTGTTTTTTTTGGGGGAAAGCGAAAGACTGATAGCTTCATTGCATATTCCAGCGGATACCTTTTTTCCATTGTAGACTACGTTTCTTGCTGGGTTTGGTGGGTTTGTTGACGTCTCAGATTGGAGCGAGACGTTGAGCGTGTGGGCCTATTAGAATGACGGTGGGGGCATTCCCTGCCTGGCCCAATGCTGTCAATGAATAATACTGTGTGCATATATGTGCGACTTGTGCAGTGTGAATTGCGTGACATGTGAAGCAAATTTGATCCCTGGGCCAATTCCGGCCTGGGAAAGCTGGTTTTCAAGCGCCTGGGTCGGCTTTGGAGCGCATATGCTATCAGCAGTGGCTTGTTGAGGCGTGGTTGACATGGCGCTGATGTTGCATTGTTGCTGCATGGCCTAGGCAAGACATTGTATGTAGTATGTAAGCAAGGCAGATGGTGGATACGTGCACATGGATGATTGGGTGCGGAGCGGATGCCTCGCAACGGAGGCCCAGTGGACGAGGCTACGCCAAAGTCACGTGAGATCAATCTCGTCTTTCTAAGCAGGTCACGTTGGTCCCACGTGCAGCGGACCAAACCAGCCTAGCGCTCGGTGATCGACGGAAGCTAAACCTTTGCCGCCGTGGTCGCGTGCCCTTTGTGAGATGCTCGCATTACAAAGGCCTGCCAACGGAGTGCGCGGATCGCGAGCTGTGAGGCATCGGAGCCTCTGGACGGGCGAGCATTACTGCGAAAAAATCGGTGCTGAGTTTGGTATCGACAATTGAGCTGCTTACGATCCGTTCTAACCAGTTCCTATGATGCCTGGGCTGGTGAGCACTTGAATGCTGCTGCCCCAAAACTATCTCTAAGTAGTCATGACGCACATTTTAGCAAATCATCAGTAACCTCCTTCTCGGACGGTCGGCTATTCATGCAACGCCCTGCACTACAGAAGGGCAGCCGCAGACCAACTTCGTCCGACCACTCGCACGCCTTGCAGGTATGGGCGAACCAGCTCTGAGGTCATGGATTGGCATGCCGTCTCTTCCGCCGACTCCATCAATGTGCCATGCTGACCCTTAGTGCCCTCCGCTGTCCTCTTTTGCACCGTCCTAGCTGCACCTTTCTGAAATCTTGCATACACCAGAACTTTGGTTTGCTTCTTCCTCTGTCTTACTTGCCCTGCCTTTGAGTTGGTTGCCTTGCAAGTGAGCAAAGCTGGAACGCCCTGCGCCTTGCGCCTCATACGTACATCTGTTTCGCATCCGTCTTTAGTCCGCTTACTCGGTACATTGTCAACTTTACCTACAACAAGCAGCATCCCGGGGGAATAGTGACGCCGACTTGTTTCTTGTAAAACTGCAGTACCCTCGAGATCGCATCCCTTTGCTTTATTCGCCTGAATATCCCACCTGGCATAGTATCACATCATGGGCGCAGGAGCCTTCATAGAACCACTTGTGGTTATTACCCTACTCTTCGGCGGTACTTGGGTGAACCGCAACACGGAATACCGTCTTCTTAACCGACCAAAAGTCTATCACCACTCGCCCCGCCCCGCCTCACCCGAGTCCGGTCGATCGAGTCCCCTGTCCAGCACATCACTTCTCGCCAATGTCGACGAAGAGCCACGATGGCAGACGCGCGAAATCAAGATTATGGGCATGCGCAAGCAAGTTCTCAGCCCAAACACCCGTAGATTTCAAGATTACTTCCTATCAAGACTACTCCAAAAGTTTCCCTTCTTAGTCGAAGCATGGTACTGGGCCCTGATCTACTGGGTACGTCAAACTTCACCTTTGCACATGAACCAAAATATACCAAAATACTGACAGCTGTCACGCACGCAGGTCTACCAAGTTGGGCGCGGCATAAGCGCTCTCTACCTCATCGACGAAGGCACCGTAAATGTCGCCCGCCGCCACGCCTTGCAACTCATCGCCCTCGAACAGCGCCTGCACATCTTCCTCGAACTCGACGTCCAAGCATGGTTCCTCAAACACCCCTTCATTCTCCACTGGACAAACCGCATCTACTCCTTCATCCACATCCCCGGCACCATCCTCTTCCTCGTCTGCCTCTACTACTACACCACAACCCGCAACCGCGTCGACCTACCTCTGCACAACAAGCCCATAGGCGAAGCATCCGGTAGTCCCGCAGGCGCAGCTCTCTATGCAGCCCGGCGCCGCACAATGGCCACGTGCAACCTCCTCGCCTTCTGCATCTTCACCCTCTGGCCCTGCATGCCCCCGCGCCTCCTCTCCGACCCCGACGTCACCGGCGACATTGGCAAAAAAGCCCGCAGCTTCGGCTTCGTCGACACGGTGCACGGCGCCCAGGGCGAAAGCAGCGTCTGGACCCAAAATAAATTCTGCAACCAGTATGCCGCAATGCCCTCGCTGCACTTTGGCTACTCGCTCCTCATCGGTCTCACCATCATGACGATTCCCCTCGCGCCCCAGCATGCGCGCTCACGGAGTGTTGCGCTCACCATGGGACTGCGCATGCGTGTCCCGTCCCTACGCAGGTTTCTGTGTGTAGCGCTCGGTGTCGCGTATCCGACCATTATCCTCATTGCCATTGTCGCAACGGCAAATCATTTTATCCTCGATGCCGTTGCTGGCGCTATGGTATGCGGCCTTGCCTGGTTCGGAAATCGAGTGCTGCTTAATTTGCTTCCGCTTGAAGACTACTTTTTGTGGTGTGTACGCATTCACAAGCCTGAGAGGCGGTCGGTTGCGTGGGGTGGCGAGGATTTCAAGTATGGGTCCAAGGGCGTGGTTTTTGATTAAGCTTATACCCTTGTTGTTGTTGTTGTTGTTGTTGTTGTTTTTTGCCCAGGAATGGGGGCGCGGGCGCGGGGAAGTTGGGAAAGACGATGTTTGTTTGGAGGTGGAGTGAGGAGAAAGAGTTGGATTAAGTGGTTGGGAACTTTGACAGCTTTCGTATTTGATTAATACCCCCGCCGGTTATATACCATAGGTTTTTCCCCTTTTTTGGCGATACGCTCTTTGACCAGTAGCAAGCTCTGGGCTATGGGAGTTATTTGTTTAGACAGTTGTACCTTGGAAGACATGGGTCAAGAGATCAAGGCATGGGACTTGATTCTGTCTACCCTATTAATAAACTAAAGCATTACTTCACTTCGATGGAACTTGTATAGTGACTGTGGTTTGCATGTCTCCTAATTGCATGGAAGAAACTGGAGAGCCGAGAGGAAACACTGATTCCCTTAGCCCTCCTCACCTCTTCCTCCACAACTACATGACCGCCTTCTCTCTCCACCTTTCTCCCTCCTCATCTCCTTTCCCGCACCTCATCCCATCCCATACTCGACTCTCCCCAAAACCACACCATCTCATCCCTCTACCTTGCCCCTCACCCTCAACTGATGCTTCCACCCCATAACAAACTCACACTCCATCTTCTTACTCTATCCCCTCATTAGCGCACTCCGTACAACCACGCTCAAAATCCAAAGAGAAAAAAAAAAGAAATCACTCACCCTAGTCCCACCCTGACACTCCCCTCCTTCCCTCCACTCTCCCACCCTACACCCCCCACAACCCCGCCTTCCCGCCTCCCCACCCGTATCTCCCCATTCGCACTTCCATCCCTCGTTCAAGTATTCAAACCGCAACTCGCCCTTCCGCGCATCAAACGGGCCCACGCTGAACGTCTGCGGGTAAGCGGGGATATGGTGGTCGACGATGGCGCGCGTCGACGAGGTCAGGTTGATGATGCGGGAGGTCCAGTTGCCGTTTGTGAGGGTGGCGTTGGCGGGGGAGGCCGAGGAGCAGAGGGAGGTGAGGGTGAGGTGGAAGGGGTACAGGATTATGGGTTCGGGGTCGTTGGGACGCGTGGTTTGGGTTACGCGGGCGGTTTGGGTTATGGTTTGGGTGGGGAGATTGTTGTCGTTGTCGATGTCGTTGTCGTTAGCGTCGTTTATGTGGGCGTTGGCGTTTCCGGTCATGGCGGCGTCGAGGGCGCGTATGATGGTTGGGGTTGGGGCGTAGAGGATGGTGGAGGTGTCGCGGCCTTCGAGGAGGGCGATGGCGGACTCGGTGGGAGAGTTGGGTGCTGTGAGGGCGGTGGTGAGGAGGTGGAGCGAAAAGATGAGGAGAAATGAGAGATGCATTTTGGATTGAAGCTGTGGCATGTGAGTGTCTATATGGTTGACAGTGCTTGGGAGAGTGTACGAGTGTTGTTCAGATAGTGGACTGAATCGAGAAAGTGTATTGGCGAAAGGATTGCTTCTAGAGAACGATTAAAGTGAGAGGACAGTACAGAATACGGGTTTGAAAACGAGTCAGATATTTGTAAAGACAGCGTCACCTCACGGTGAGTACAGTCGAAGAACAAGACGCACGGACAACGGGCAAGCAAACGGAGAGAAGACGCTCATATTGGACGCACAATGTGACTAGCCAAAGAAGTGATACTCGAAAATAAATGTCAAGCACATGCCCGGAGGAAAATGAACGGCAAGGAATTATAGATAAAATTGACAGGTACCAACTCGCAAGCATGAGACATGCAGGAAGCTTGGACGGCCAATAGAACATAGACTAGGGCCTGTGTGTTACCAGGCGAGAGATTACAAAGAGTATGCATGACATTGTTGTGTACATTCAACAAAACCTCCGGGTATATTGTTCAAAGAGGGTATGGGTAAACCGCAAACGCCAACTGTAAAATGTGCTAGTACCAGTCTAGCAACTCAAACAGAGGACTCGAGGAAATTTGACATAGGAAATGGAAACGCAAGGAAAACTTTTTGTTTTAGCGTCTGCTGCTCCGGGTGTTGTGGCGACTGGGTCTGTCGTCTCTGCGCCGGTCGTCTCTGTAGGAACGTTGAGTGTCTTGTCGGTAGCCCATTTCCTCATCTGGGATGCGCTGGCCACGGTAGGATTTCTGTGGTCGGCGCACATCGTCATGCTCATCGTTGAAGGCGTTGCGTCGGTCTTCGATTTCGTCGTCAAAATCAATATATACTGAAGCAGGACGAGGTCGTGATTCCCGAGGCATTTTGGCTTCGCGTTCGATCAACTCTTTGGGCTTGTACACCGTGTCGAGGTGTTTCTCGAGGAGGCGGACATTTTTACCGTTGGATTTGATGGCGGCGCCGGCAAGATCACCGAGAAATGGCACGATACCGGCGAGAAAGTCAATGGCGATGTTGACTACCATGAGAAGGACGACCGTGGCAGGCAGACCACATTCAACCTTCATCATCTGGCGAACAAGGTTGAGGGCCAGGGCGGCAGACATAGCGTCGCCAGCAGCAGGGAATAGGCCAATCACCGAAGACCAGCCGAACCGAATTCCCATGAAGGAAAAGAGAGCGTAGTCGAGTCTGTAGGCGGACTTGCGGGCTTTGGCAAGGACATCGGCGTCATTTGGAGGGATGTAGCTGGGAATTTCCTTTTTAACCTTCTTCATCTTGCCAGGCTTCCTTGGGTGTGGGATTTCTTCGTAGAAAGGATCCTGCGCTATCGTTAGTATGTATTACACAACGTGGGTACAACACGAGAGCTCGACTCACATATGGGCCCGATGCGCTCTTTCCACGATACTTCTCCATCTCCTTGCCGAGCGCCTTTTTCATGGCGTATTTGGCTACAAGATTCGCCATGATGGGTGGTGTGTGTGAATGTGGGTGTGTGTTTAGTAGAAAAGGGGCTCAACTGGTTTCTGACGGGCTTCTGAATAGAGGCCTTGTACGGGCCTTTAAAGCCTAGAAAGTCTTTGAAGATGAGGCGAGGCCTTTGACGTGGTGCTGCAGCGCGGCTGTATCAAAGCGCGCGGGGTGGTCTGGTTGGCTACGACGTCTTTGGGCGGGGAAATGTGAAACGGGCGCGTCGCTGGCCTATGTATAGCTGTCGAGTGCGGTTGCGCAACAAGCAAACAAAAGACTTATTCTGTGGAGTGTAGAGGCTGAAGGAGCGACAAGAAAAAAAGATAACGGGCCTACTTAATGAATGGATGAGGGTGCTGGCGGTGAAGTCAGAGCTGCCCTGATTGTGTGACGATCCCAGACAGTCCAACGTCATGGCTTCTGGCCATGGCAAAGCGAAATGCTTTAAAAGCACAGCCACAGCCGCCACACCCACTACACATCGATCGCCTTCGCCGACGCCCAACCCGCCGCCACATGTCAACGCTCCGATAGGCCAGCCTGCCATCAACACCGCAAAACCCATCCACGCTTTTGCTTTCATTGCGGCTGTGTACTTGCATCCACATGCTCCTCCTCATCTAGACCACTCGCTATCTACTGCTGCTCTCGCCGCTGTCCGACGCCCGCCCGCGTCCCCCCCGCCACCACGCACGACACCTAGCTGCCCGCGGCATGCTCGACACGGGCCAAACATTCACCCACAATGACTCCCACAAACACGACACTAGTTGACTGGCTCGATGATCTCTGCGTACGCTTCATCGTCAACCTTCCCAACGAAGAATTGCAATCGGTCGAGCGCATCTGCTTTCAGATCGAGGAGGCGCAATGGTTCTACGAAGACTTCATCCGCCCGCTCGACCCAAACAACCTTCCTTCGATGCACCTGCGCAAGTTCTCCCAGCTCATGTTCCAGCACTGCCCACTGTTTTCCGCCTACTCGGAGCAGCTGCACCAGCAGGCCTATGAGCAGTTTCTCGCCTACAAGACACGCGTCCCGGTACGCGGGGCTATTATGCTGAACGAGGACATGACACATGCTGTATTGGTCAAGGGATGGAAAAAGGGTGCCAAATGGAGCTTCCCGCGCGGAAAGATTAACAAGGAAGAGACAGACTTGGATTGCGCTGTCCGAGAAGTCTGGGAGGAGACCGGCTTCGACCTGAGGGAGGCTGACCTAGTCGAGCCTGACGAGAACATGAAGAAGATTACCGTGACGATGCGCGAGCAGAGCATGATGCTCTATGTATTTCGCGGAGTACCAATGGATACGCACTTTGAGCCACAGACAAGAAAGGAAATCTCAAAGATTGGCTGGTACAAGCTGACGGACCTGCCCACCCTAAGACGCAAGAATCAGGCCCAGCCACAGCAGGGACACGGACAGGACCTAATCAAGGAGAGCAGCTTCTACATGGTTGCCCCCTTCCTTGGACCTCTGAAACAATGGATAAAGCAGCAAAACAAGCTTGGGAGACAGAGGCTACGGAACAGCGCACACATTACACCAGCACAAGCAGCAGGTACCGATGACGAAGATGCTCAAACCGGGATCTACGGAAATACCGCTGGCCAGATTACAAACAATGCCCAAGCAAATGACGATTTCGCCAACATGGTGGCCCAGCTAGGTCGCAGTCAGCGTCCAAGTGATACTCTGCCAGAATTGTCTGGACAGCAACATGCATCGCAGCAGCAAAGCCAGGACCCTGCTGAAGCACTCAAAAGGCTACTCAGTGTAGGCATGCCATCTTCGGCAGTAGAAGCACCTGGTAATCCATCTCCGAACCCACAGCAGGCTAACCCACTTCTGGCTTTATTCAAGCAGGGCAATAGCCAGCCCGGAGTGGGCCAGCAGCCGCAGACCCCATTCGAACAGATCATGTCTACACCCATGCAGCCATCAAGCCCCCATGGCCAACACCATCCTCGGCCGCCGCAGATGCAGAATATGGGTCCTCCGCCACCGTTTTACACACCCCCAGGACCTTCAAACCATTTCAACAACATGCAACATGGACAGAATATGCAGCATCAGTTCATGCAAAGCCCACCCCAACATCCAGGTTCAATGTATTCACGCCAGCCCTTGACAATGCAGCATGCATTTGACCAGCGAAATCCACACTTGTCCCATGATACGAGTGACTCTCAATTTGCGGGAGGCAATGGAAGGCCTATCATACCACCTGCATCCAAATTACCTGCTCCCAACCTCAACCCGCATGCATTGGGCTTACTGAATTCTTTCAAATCCAATAACAGGCAGTCTCCTGCTCCGCAATCGCCTCAGACAACCGTCGCTGCCCCACTGCACCGAAACCAACAAACCACTCCTAGGATAGAACATCCTCTTCCTCAACATTTGCCTCATGGACTCGTGTCGCCGCATGGACAGCACTTTTCCGCAAGTCCACCACACTTCCAATCACCGCAGTTTCAGTCGCCGCCCGTTGCTTCTAACTTTGTGCCGGAACAACCGAAGCCAAGGAATCCTCACCAAGATTCGTTGTTGTCGCTGTTCAGACCCACTCCTCCATTGGCAAGTCCTGAGCCTGCACCTGCAGAGCTGTCGGCATTTCCTACGACTCCAGCTTTTGCCTCTGCTCAACCGGCTGCGAATCCCTCCGAGTTGCCTAACACAGGCGTTTCGGGTGCTCATGGCGCTCTTCCTACCAGGGCAAAGATTACATCGGCTACCGTGAGTGGCCCAGTGAACGCTCCGGACTTTGACACTATGAAGAAGCACAGGCAGTCTGCAAACGGAAGTTCATCTGGACATTCACCGGCCACAAACATTCCATTCATGCCTCAGCAGATTCTCAAGCGTCCTCCTCAGGCTTCTCCACAGAGTATTACAAAGGTTTCTCCGTCACCCCAGCAGCCGACTGAGGTATCGGCCTCACCTCAACCGGCGTTCAAGCCACAGATCCTCAAGCGTCCTCAGCAGCAGGAGCAGAAACAGACACCTGACGGAAAGAGTTCGTCTGGGTCGGGTACGTTACAGTTGTTTAGACTTGCCTGCCATGCTGTGCTAGATCCGTATGCTGACATCGACACTGCAGCAGCACCTGTGACTAAGCCCACACCGCACGCACAGGGATTGTTGGATATGCTCAAGGGAAACTCACCCCAACTCCCTCCCGCTCAACCAGCAGTCCTCCCATCTCGCTCACCTGTGCCTCCACCCGGCTCCGCAATGGACCGCCGCGACTCTGTTCCTTCCGACCAGAAAAATGTGCTGCTTTCCCTCTTTAGTAGTAAGCCATCTCCTTCGCCGAATTCTCAAGCAAAAAGTCCGATACCCCCAGCCCGCTCCCCTTTTGCGCCTACACCAAAAACATCAATGTCAGGTGTTATCAGCCCAGTCAGTCCTTTGCCTACAAACGCCAGTGCTGGTGCAGTTAGTCCAGAAGGAATGGCGAATCGTAGCAGGATCAGCAGTATTGGAGATGGAACGGCTCCCAGCATCGTTATTCCTCCTCCCACTAGCCATCCCGTGGATAGTGCAGTAGGCATGTCACAGGGAGAAGGGATGAACTTGGGTGGTCTCGGAACTCAGGGCTTGCCCGGGAGTGCGATTGAAGGCAAGAGTCCTGTAGATAAGACATTCTTGTTAGGGTTTTTGGAAGACGTTGCCAGGCGCGGGCGTTGAAGGGGTTATTTTTTCGAACGGATATGCATTTTCTGGAGTTTTCTTTCATCCTTATTTTGTTTTTTTGTAAACGTCTGGGAATGCTTTTAGGAATGCAAAATGTTTGGTTTTAGGGGAATTGTTTGCAGCGTTTTGAGAGAGATGTGAGAGTTTGGGGCTTTGTCATTGCTCGTTGGTCTAGCTATCGGATCGAAAGTTTATCACGGAAGGCGAATGCGAACAAATTCAAAGGGGACAGAAATCGTAGTTTCCCCCCCTTTTTTTCTTTACGCATCCAAACCTTAAGCAATTGCCTGACTAGCAAATTGTCGCCAAACATGCATACACACACCTTGAGTACGCCCATCCTTCCTACCAGGAAAAAAAAAGATAAAGCCAAATAACCTTACCGCGAGCCAAGCCCACCTACCCACCCCCTGCGATCCTACTAACCATCGGAACTAGAAGGAAACCCCTAGTCCAAGCGCCAAACCGTCCTTTTTCGCTTGCTTCGCTTCCGCCCTCACTCCAACGCAATCATACTTTGTCCCCCCAAACAAGGCCCCAAACAAGGCCCTAACCCCCCAAAAGATGCTCAGACCCCCAAGGAACCGAGGCACGTTCCCGCAGTCGCCACTCCCTTCCCCCCCTCGGTTAACTCAAACCCCAACCCCCTCCAACAACCTTCGGAGCTACACTACTCCGATTGAAACGGCGCTGCGACACTTGTGATTCCAAAAAAAACCCCGAGTAAAGTTTATGGAATTGATTTTTTTGGAATTAGTGGTTCTTTTTGAATTTTTTTCGGGCTTGGCTGAGGGTAAGTAGTGTCGTCATTGACTCGGGGTAGGGAAAAGGATGTGTGTATGAATGTGTGGCGCTTGGTGCTTTGTGGCATGGGGGGTTTGACAAAACATTGAGTGCGATATGGGAAATAGATTTGTGGGTGCGAAACGTAGTAATGGTCTTTTCCTTTCTTTTTTTTGTTTTTGTTTTGCTCTTGAGGGGTGCGTGTGTGTTGCGCGACATGTGTGTGGACGTGTAAGAACGTGTTGGATGGGTTGACACTGACGTTGAGTGACACTGACGCTGAGAATGTAGGTTGTGTCAGCATTGTGTGTGGCTTCAGGATGGAATTTGTGATGCTGTCTGGTGGGGTTTTTATACAAGTTGGGTCTTGGTTGCTGCAAAGGTAAGGGGAGCGTTGGAAGTGGTGGAGTTGATATGCGAAGAGGATTGCGCGTCATCGGATTGACAAGTTCCTTTGAAAAAAAAGGATGGAAAAGTTTGTGTCGCATTGTCTCACGTTGTGAGAAGAAGAAAAGAATGCGATCGATTAAATTGTGATCTGGTGAAAAGAAGAAAGGGTACGCACGTAGCAATGAGAGAGGTTGAGAGAGCGTGTTCATGATATCACAATCTTTTAGAGATAGGCACATACACAGATGGTAATGGATGTTGAATATAAGTTTGCAATGTACAAAAAGACAAAGTAGAAAGAGATCACAAAAAAACTATAGTAACGAAAAAGCTTTCGCTACACAAAAGGTCGAGCCAGGGTATAACTTCGCATGTCCTCTGTGGGAGAAATAGAGTGAGCTCGAAAATGCAGACGAAATGCGCCGGAAGTATTGTGTGTATCTGCGTGAGTGTTATGTTGTGGGTATTATTCAATCCGCTTGATTCCAGTCGTTCCCAAGCCCAATGCTGTTTTCGCCAGTTCCCGTAAACCGCGCAATGAAGATGCAACAGAAATGACGCTAATCCAAGGATGAATGCAAAAATAGTTGGTGTTTATGTCAAAGTAACAGGTAGTTAGGTGGTCTGTAAAAAACATCTTGTCAGGCTTTACAGTGCGGCGTTCTCGCGGCCCCTATCTAGAATCTCCGAAGGCACTGCGCTTCGTGTGCTGAATCGTACTTCAGTTCCTGGGTGCGCTTTGAAGATTGGTGCCGTTGTCTGGGTGTCGTGTCTCTGGTGCTTGATATCCCTTCCTACAAGTCCACTCTTGGTGCTGGGCTGCCTGGTAATACCATTTGCGTTCTTGGGAACAGAGGATGGTAGGGCGGGCATTTCAGGAATGTCATCGTCGGAATAGGTAGTAGACTGCGTCATGCGGAATTGCTGCTTGAGGCGTTGCTCTTCCACGCGATTAGATTGCTGGTTAACCCAAGAGTCGACAGTGCGGAAGCGAGGAACAGAAGAGCGCGATGTCATAAAACTCTCACGGGCAACTGACTGTGCAACGGTATCGCGGGATGGGTCATGAGGTGTTTGAGGAGCCTGCGAATTTGTCCAGCTGAACCTGCTTGCCATGCCTGCTGCAGCTCCAAACCCAGGTCGTTGAGAGATGGAGGGGCGGTTGGAGAGGAACTGACGGAACGATGGAGGAGCTGGGAGGTTGCTTGGTGGGCGCGATGGAGTGTCGGCAAATTGCAAGTCCTCGTCGTTGTCCAGCGATCTAGTGTTACGGGTTGATGCGCTCCGCCGTTTACCTTCAATCGGAAAGCTGGGCGAGACCGGCGTTTGGTTGTCATCGTGCGAGAGGGCGTCATCAAAGAAGCTTTGATTGCCGTCTCTAGTAGCGGGTTGACTGAAGCTGTCGCTGCGTCCAAGGGGTTGTAGGCGCTTCTGCGATGACGTCGAGCTAGACCTTACTGGGATTGCAGCTGGTCGAGGGGGGTCGATTCTATCATTCATTCCGTAACCGCGTTCATCGTCAAATGCATACTTCTTGTCTTGTCCGTATCGAGAGGACAGTTGTGGCGGTGGGCCATGGTGAAATTGCTGTTTGCCCTGCTGGACGACATCCCTCATGGAGAGACCACGTTTTCGCATAGTGTAAATTGCAAGCACTACCATGACAATGATGATTGTTGCGCCTTTTTTTCTGTTAGTGTGACCCTAAACGAACAAGATGGGCAGTCTCTGCGTACCGATGGAACCAGCCGCAATGAGCAAATGCTCAGTTGTTTGCGAGATGGGGCTGGTATCGCCAGATGACTGCTCAGCGAGAGGCGATGGTGGCATGGCCATTGACTTGGACGGTTCGCTAGCAGCGAGAGCAGCTGGGGTAAACGGTGGGATAGAATGTGTGGTGGTGGTCGATGGATTTATGTGCTGGCAAAGTTAGATAAGATTTCCAATGGCAGTGCTCGTCTTACAGCTCCAGATCCTGGCGACAATCCGATCGAAGGGGTTGACGTTGACGGGGGTGCTGAATATTCGAATTCATCATCCTCGCTTTCGGAATCCGTATCATTTGGGTTTGGTTTTGGTTGTGGTTGCTGTCGGCGCGAACGAGATCGTCCAAGTATGCGGTTTATAGTGGCCATTGGCTCTTCCGATTGCAGCCTTCTCTCGTGCTTGACTCCATCCTTGTCGACAACCACATAACCAACTCTGTTGTAAACTCCAAGGAGCCGTGTAGCAGGCATTGTGTCCGAAACGTGATGGCCTTTTGGATAGGGAGAGCCCCTCTCAGTCTTCCTGCCGCTCGATTCCTCCACCAGACATAATCCGCGCAATCGACCAGCGATGTAAAAAGCCTTCGCGATCGAAGATGGGCTCAAGTCCTAAGGCCTGGAGGACTGCGACCAGCGTAGTCGGGGGTTGTTAAGATTGGGTAAGGATGGTGTATGGGTGAAGGAGGGAATATGAGTAGGTAGGTAATTAACAATAAGCCCGCCAGCGGAACAAAGGTCAGAAAGGAAAGGAGCGTAGGTAAGCAGAGTAGCAAGGAAAGTCTGGGCGAACTCTCAAGACGAGACACGTTCATGCAAAAGGCGCGAGGGGTCGCATTTGAGAGAGTGCATGAAGGAGGCTAGTGCTGAGTCGCTCCTGGTCCCATGTCAGTTTGGAGAGAGGTAAAAGAGTGGGGCCGGGAGGAGGATAGGAAGGGCGAATTTAGTAGCAGTTGGCAGCCGAAAAGACTCCAAATGGCGGAATCAGGTAGCCAGGGTATGCCAAGGACGGCCGAGTACGGTTAGGTTGACAGAAATGAGCAGTAAATTGGCTCGGGAAGCTTTAGATATCGTCTTAGAGTTGTCTCAGAGCGCCATGGTCGGGTTTCAGCGCCCGTCTCTGGGGCAGATCAAACGCCACAGGGGTCCGTGGTGAGACTATCGGTCGGCCTGCAACTATTGGATATCGAGCACAGCTTGGTGAATCGCAGATGGCAGTCAAGCCTTTTCATAGTTCCCCGCATATAGGTAGCAGTGGGTTGTTTGCATCTTGTGTGGTGTGCAGGATGCAGCAGCAGCAGCAGCTTGGCTAGGTAGGGCGCCGTGCGGATAAGGGCTGTGCCGTGCAGTAAGTAGGGGAGACAAGCCACACATGTGCGTCGTACGAGGGCAGAAGAGGGCAGAAGAGGGCACCGCTGCGCCTCGCCTTGCCTTACACTGCCTTGGTCCGCCGCTTGCTCCACCCGAATCTTGCGTGCGTACGGACAATACGACCGCGTTTAGGGTCTGGCCGCCGCCGGGATCCGGCATGCGCCATCGGCTCTTTTCACAGCCAGAGAGCCAGAGGCACCCAATGTTTCGAGCCAGGGCGCGCAGGGGCGGATCAACTGTTTCCTTGCTGAGGCACGGGCGCCTTGGATGCCGCGGGGAGATCGACTGTGCTCGGGGCCCAAGCATGGAGTAATAATCAAACAAAAAAGTGCGCGCGTATGGGATGGCAGAGCACACGGCGACGACTAGTCGCCGGTGAACTGTGGCGGCGGGTCATGTGGCGGAGGTGGCAGTGGAGTGGCAGATGATGCGGCTGTGACGCGTGGTTTGGCTGAGCGCATTCCGAAATGTCCGCTGGCGCTGCTACGCCCCCTCCAAGGCGGCATTGCACCATCTGCTCAGTCATCCGGCGGCAGGAGGAGCTGAGCAAGCAACAAGTCTAGTGCTATATAATCTTGTGACGTGACCCCGTTGGCCCCATTCTGTCTTCACTCCTACACACACACACATTCAGCTCAGCCGACGTTGGAAACATACCCCTCACCAACCCCTCACCAGCCCTATACGCGCACCCTCTTCATTTCTCTTGGCCACACACGCTCAAAATGTCCGGCCCTTACGACCAATACAACCAGGGCTATCAGCAGCAATACCCGCCCCACGGCCAGCAGCAGTATCCACCTCAGCAAGGCTGGGACCAGGGCGGATATCAGCAGCCTGGCTACCCACCACAGCACCAGCAGGGCCAGGGCTATCAGGACCCGCAACAACAGGGCTATCAACAGCAGCAAGGCTACAACCAGCAGTATGGCGCACCTGCACACGGCGGTTTCCAGCACGGTCAGCAAGCGCCCTATGACCAGCAGCAAGGGTAAGAGAACATGCTCCCAATCAAAGTTTGCCATGATGCTCACGCCATTTTCAGTTATGGCCAACAACAGCAATACCCTCCATCCGGCCAGTACCCTGGTCAGCAGCCCTCGCACCAATTTCCCCAGCAAGGCGCCTATCCCCAAGACCAGTATCCCCAAGGCCAGAACCCATATGGCCAGCCCCAGCCAGGCCAACACGGCCCAACAGATCCCAATGCACAGGCCGAGGGTGATCGTGGACTGATGGGCGCGCTTGGTGGTGGTGCAGCCGGCTACTTTGGAGGTAACAAGATGGGCGGCCACGGCATTCTCGGTGCCATAGCAGGCTCCATCCTTGGCAGCAAACTCGAAGACAAGCACAAGAAAGGAAAGCACGGCAACGGCTATCACTAGAAGGGTAGTACAAGGCCAAGGGCCGCGTCCTTGACCTGATGCGTTATGATTTTTCTATGTAACACACGCACGTTTCTATGAATTGGTGGATCTGTCCTTGACGAAAGGGGGAAAGGGCGCTCTGGATTGCATCTTGATTACCCGATATGGGGGGGTTGTAGCATTGTTTTTGTGTGTATAAGCTTTTCATGCATTACTCTTTAAGCCCTTTTTTCCACGTACACTTATTATTCACAAACGAAATGAATTAAAACAATGCAATAGCATAAAGTTCAAGTTTTACCACACATGTACCCTTTTCGCAATCCTAACCGGTAATCACCGTCGGCTTAGAGTACACACGCGTCATGAGAAAGCTTCTTCTTTTTTGCGAGAGAGATTCCCCGGTTCTCAAACCAAAAAACTCCCCATGGTTTGCCCTTTCTTGGCCGCTCACGTCCGTCAATCAACCCGAAACAAACCCTCGACCACCTGTCATGTTCATCGGAAACATAATTCTCCATCCGGCATTTAACACGAAAGCAAATTTCTTGGTCCCCTAACCCCCCTAGTCTTAGTTGAAAAAGAGAGGGGCAGAGAGAAACAGAGGGAGAAAAGGGTGACGTACGTAGGCCTAAATACCATACGAATCTACCAAACATGGCATTCTTTCCGAGCCGGTTTGGTGGTGGTGGGCGCGGACGTTGAAACACGGACAGTGACCGAAACAAGGCCGGGTTAATTATTCCACACAAACAACCCCAAGTCGAGGTTCCTTTTTGCATACATCCAACAGATATTTACGGCCATTTTAACCTTCCCCCCCCCCTCCTTCTCTATTAAATTAAAAGATCGAACCAATCGGTTTCCCTCCCCCAACCCACCCACCAAAAAAATCCCATCACCCCGATCGATGCGCGTTGCATCTCTCACTCTCACTCCCCTTTCATCCTTGGCGTCTACTTGACGTCAGGGGAGGGGTGGGTAAGGGAGAAAACTCCGTTACTTTAGATTGTTTATCTGCAGGTACCCGTTGTTTTGAACCATCCACACACACCCCCCCCTTCTTATTTTCCCCGTTACACACGTACATACGTTACGTCACTTACGCCCTTTTTTCCACGTATACAAATGGCGTGTTCGAGAAACGCGGTAATATTCCGCGGGTATGCGTAGTACATTTGGGTTTGAAACGGAAACAGGGCGGGTTTTTTTGGCGCTTTTTTGGGTTCAGGAAGACGGGTTGACTAGATTACGTGTATGCATTGTGTGTGTGTGTGTGTGTGTGTGTGTGTGTGTGTGTGTGTGTGTGTGTACGCGTGGGCGGAGTAACAAATGGTATGTGCATATGCGTGGGTGCGGGAAGGGGAGGATCCGGATGAGGAAGCAATGCGATGTCTCGCTTTTTTTTCCCTGTTTCTGGTGGTGTACTACGTATGTTCAGGCGAGAATCACGTGATGTTTTACCTGTTGCGCGACTCGTCACGTATGTCGGAGTTTCGCTAGATATTATGGACCGAGGCGTTTAAGGGGTTAGTTCTCACGCCACTTACTAACATACACACTTTTCGGTTTTGATAGCGAGGGGACTCGGTCGGATTAGCGGGATGATTTCGTTATGTGTGACAAGGTGGGTTGGTGGAATGCGAGCTGGATATCTTGGCTGTGTCTTGAATAGGCAACAAACGGCTAGTTAGGTTCATATGGTTGTTTCGTTTCGTTTTGCTGGAGGTTGGGAAACTTTGCTTCTCTGCACTAGTAGAAATGAAGGTGATTAACGTGTGACGTGACAGCTAGGGTTCTGACAGCTTTCTAGCTTGAGTGTAAAACAAGTCTGAACTGAAAACAATGTATAATCAAAATAGGCTGTCTACGCCTAGATACTTGATGGATGCCGCTTGCTCATTGTTGAACAGCTATATCCTGGGTAGTTTGTATTTGGCTATGTGATTCTTCTAGGTAGTATGTCCTGTTAACTGCAGGGCATCCCTAAACCACATCGTAAACACCCCAATCCCCAAATCTCCAATCTTCAATGCTGTTCACCCACATTTCCACTTCCACCAGGGCCGCAATGTGCACTTGACAAGAGAACGTTTTGGCGGCCAACTGGGTAATCGTGGTTACGATCGCAGCCATCGCCAATGTTTGGGTTGGAACCATTCTGACACTGTAGACGTTTAGTTGATAGGAATTGTATTCAGCCATGAGCTACTAACACAGTATGCTGCTCTTCCGGTACTTGGATCCGTGTTGACGGCGCTGGTGCAACAGTAGTTACCAGTGGCGCTGCTTGTAGCTACAAGCGTAGCAAAGATTCCGATGAGCGATGTGAGTTTCATGGCGTAAGAAGTATTACTAATGGTTAAATTATCTGTTGTTGAATAGAAACGAGAAGAACACAATACCAGCCCCATAGGTATTTATGTGTTTCTGCAATATATAAAATGTAATTATCCCCACTCGTACACGAATCTACTAAAGCAAAACAGTTAGAAGCATGTAAGCACACTGGGATCATGGAAACTCAATTCTCGTAAAAGCGACAATCTTTCCAAAATAGCTGATAGACACGAGCGCACTAGTCTCGACTTGAGGAGCCTTACAGATATTTAGGTACACAACCCTTGTCTAATAATCTTGCGTACACAACTGTCCTTTACTTTTCCTCTGTACGCACCTTCGCATGCAACAAAAAGCTATCGGCTACCTAATTATATGCAAATGAGTCATCAGTACAGAAAATCCCTCATCTAAAGTACGAGAGCTTGTGACACCATCCGGGTCTGTGCACAAGAAGCTATTGCTAAGATCGATCATAATCATGTTGAATCCTGACACTTATACGTAACACTTACCCTATATAGAGACAGACATGACTTGGGACATGAGATTTATTATGTAAAGTAAAAAACTCTGACCAACTATAGATCTGAGACCAAATGGTAAAAGGATGGAGTTGCTGTGTTGTTTAGAAGTATAGTGGCTTTGCTGGTGTCTTGGGGCAACGCAAACAGATAGCGAACGTAACCAAATTCGTGTTAACAACATGACTGTGAGTACAACTCGCAAGCGGTTCTCATGAGAGATAGCTCTAGCTGTACACTGTTCTGTCTAATCATTGCTAAAAATGCTGGTTGCTCTGGCTGCTATATATCTGAGGTAGTCAGATACAAAACTTTGTTTTCTCAGAAAAAGTGCAATACTAGTCATGGATGAAGAAAATTCCGATCAAGCCTTTTCGACACTAAAAAGAAAACCCCTTACTGTGATAGCCACGAACAAAGAGAAAGAACTGTTTATCGATACTGAATTCCACTGCTTAGTGCTTTGGCTAGTCCAGCTAAAAGATAACAGTATGTCACGTGATCCGTGTTGAACTGCCAAGCAACTTGTGGAATGACAAAAGCCGGATAAAAAGGAGAAGCAGTGGTAGAGGAGAGAATGCGGGAGCAGTCTTCTGGCAGTGGGAAAGAGAAAAGCAGTGCATTCTGCACCAGCCTTCGGCCTCGCCACAGTTGCTCAATATGCTAGTCGTGTCGTGGTCGAAGAGTAGTTCGTGTCAGTGTCTTAGAGTTCATCATGTGATCATGTGACTAACCCAACACGAGCATCGCTAGTTTCTCGGCGCAGAGTGGACGAATGGCCGGGCTGATGGACAGGCCAAGCGGATTTTACTCGATGCCATCGAGTAAACTGGCTATGCTGGCCGCTGACTGGCCTGGTTGGCGGCTCGGTACCCCACATTATCTTTATCTTCCTTACCGCAACCCGCTATCTAGCGAGCCCTGACATGCAACCTCAACAGACCATGGTGCCTGAGATAGCGGTGCATCGCATCTCCGACGACTGGCCGTGAGCTTGGTGACATGTTTTCATCGAGTCAACCGTCCCCCAAAGTTTCTGCAGTCGTACTCCTATCGCGGAGATATCAGTGCAAGCGCGGCATCATACACTTCTTCAAGTGCACGCGATACGGTTACCGGCAAGGGGGCGCTGCGTCACACGCGGCACATCACCACCCATCATGCGATGCTGCACATGGCCACGGTGCCGAGTCCTGAAAATCCTGCGCTCTTGGACGGCATGCATTCAGCTGGTGTGCATCACCAGGGCCTTTTATGCGAGGTTATGGAGTGGGCCAGTGACGCTACTCGAGCATCAGAGTTAGGTGGAGCACGTCGCGTGGGCTATCTCGAGTCTAAGATAAGACTGCCGACAACGGTCTCTCCCACACCAACGAGAACAGCAATGGCAGCTAATCACGGAGACGATCTTAGATGCTTCATGTGTTGCCTTGTGGTCCTCCCCAGCATTTAAGATGGGCCACGCCCCGGTTTTAAGATCTGCTTGCAATCAAGATCGAGGCTCGTCTTTGTAGAAAGCACCCTAGAGCAAACGTTAGACAACCTTTTTTCCCTTTTCTATAGTCTTGTTATCCGTTCCGCGGAAATCAGCCACCGTGGATCCCGAACGGCAGCCACTTTTACCCCAACCCTCGTCAGCCGAAGACGCACCCAGACCTTCACTCGCTTCTGATAAACCCCCACGTCACACAAGCGGGGATCTTGAGCCATACCAAGCTACGCCGTCGAGCAGCCGGAGCGAAAGCTTCTTAAGGCCTGTGGTGGCCGCGACAGTCTTTCACTCCAGCGACGAACCGTTCTTCGCAAATCGCATCATGGAAAGGGTCAAGAAGTCAAAGGTCGCCCATTGGGCCAACAAGCTTGCCGTCGAGAACGAGCCTGGCCTCACCACCGCCCAGCTCATGCTGTACAACCACGATCTGAAGCCTGTATGTTCGGTCCCTCGCTTCCAAAATCCCTTCTTTTCTAACATCTCCAGGTTGAACCTGAGCGCCGACAATGGAGCGCGTGGAATTTCGTTGGTTTTTGGGTTGGTACGTCATTTTGCCTCATGCAACAAAAGCAATTGACATGGGCTAATTCCTTCACAGCCGACTCCTTCAACATCAACACATGGATGATTTCTTCCGCCAACATTGTCGATGGTCTCTCCTGGTGGCAATCATGGATTTGCGTTTGGGTAAGGAGTTTTGCGACTTTTCTGTGATACCACCCGCTGATTTGGAAAAATAGCTTGGATACTCAATCGCAGCTTGCTTCGTCTGCATGACGGGTCGTATCGGTGCGACATATCACATTTCGTTTCCCGTTGTTAATCGCGCATCTTTTGGCATTTGGGGCGCGCTATGGCCCGTATTCAATCGCGCAGCTATGGCCAGTATCTGGTATGGTGTCCAAGCATGGATTGGCGGCACATGTGTGCGCCTAATGATCCGAGCTATCTGGAACAACTGGCGAAATGTAAAGTCACCTTGCGAGTACTTTCTTGACCTCTGACTAACTTTTTTTCTAGGCCGACACTCCTGGAGGAGGAGGTATTGCCAATGGCATCCCCAGTTCTGGTACCAACACTGTCGACTTCGTCTCTTTCTTCCTTTTCTGGGCCGGATCTCTCCCGTTCATCTATCCGCCAGTCCACAAGATTCGCCATTTGTTCACCGTCAAGGCCTTCTTCGTACCTACTGCAGGAGTTGCTCTTTTCATCTGGGCGATCGTACGAGCAAAGGGACTGGGTCCTATTGTTAAGCAACCCAGTGAAGCCAAAGGATCCGAGCTGGGTTGGCTCATGGTCAAGGGCATCATGAGCGCGATTGCCAACTTCGCCACTTTGATTGTAAACGACCCTGATTTTTCACGTTTTGCGAGGAAGCCTTCAGACGCTTTTCTACCGCAGCTGCTTACCATTCCCATTGGATTTGCAGTCACGTCGTTCATTGGTATCATTGTATCGTCTTCTTCGACCGTCATCTTCGGAAATGCCATCTGGAACCCACTGGACCTGCTCGAGCAGTTTCTCAACGAGGGAGGGTCAGGCCAACGTTTCGGTGTCTTTGTCATTGCTGCTGCCTTCACCCTTGCACAACTCGGTACCAACATTGCGGCAAACTCAATCTCCGCCGGTACTGACATGACGGCTCTTGCGCCGCGCTGGATCACTATCAGACGTGGTGGTTATATTTGTGCGCTTGTCGGTCTCGTCATGTGCCCATGGAACCTCCTTGCCGACACCAACAGCTTCACCACCTATCTCTCCGCATACTCCGTCTTTCTCTCCTCGATTGCAGGTGTCATGATCTGCGACTACTACGTTGTGCGTAAGGGCTTCTTCCAAATTAAGGACCTTTACTCGGGAAAGAAAACCGGTCCATACTACTATACCCTCGGTTTCCACTGGCGCGGTTACGCCGCTTACATTGCAGGTGTCGCCATCAATGTTGTTGGTTTCGCCGGTGCCGTTGGCCGCAAGGTTCCCATTGGAGCCCAACGCATCTACGATCTCAACTTCTTTACTGGATTCTTGGTTGCCAGCATCACATACTGGGCACTTTGCAAGATCAGCCCCATCCCTGCTACGAGCGATGTCTGGATGGAGGTCGGAGATGAGATTACCGATATCAGTGTTGCATATCATAGCGATGATGGAGAGCGATACGATGAGGAAGTCATGCATGGGGGCAGTGGAAAAGGCGTCAAGGAGGATGCCCCAACCAAGCACTTTTAAGTGATGTTGGAGATGTTGTGATTTGTGGACGTTGGTACTAGATGGAGTTGATGCTTTGCGGGTTTAAGGGGCGAGAGATACCAGACCACGCCCGAGGTCACTGTCGTTTTGATTGCTATGGAATCTTTTATTCTAAACCTTCTTATTTACTGGTCGTCTTCGCATGTTCCTATTTGCTGAATTAGAGCACTGACGTAATTACTTCTAGCGTCCAGTAATTCCCCTTTTGGTAAAGAATAAGATGCATGCATACAGATCGAGAGTGGGTTAGCGTATCTCCTTAGCGTCCGGTAATGTCTCACAACTTGCAACTCGGTAAGGCTGTCTCCTCGTCAATACTATCACCAGGGATATATTATCTCGGGCGTTCAAATGCACCACGTGTCTTGCAATCCAATTAATCAGATCAGAACGTATCACAAAAGCAGTCATCATGTTTTCTCGATCGCGCTGACAAACTACATTTTTTCTTAACCTTGATCATTCAACCACGATACAGTACTATACCCGCCGACGAAATCGAGTATCATCTCCCAGCCAACAACTCGCCAAAAGCATCAACTGAAAATAAACCGCCATCGCCAAAATTCAAGTTTTGTATAAACCACAACGATCCAACTGTTCCGTACCCAAAACATCCAGAGGTCTACGACTCGAACCCCACAGCCTCGCGCTCGCGGCCCGCACTCCGCCATCTAACATATAGTAGTAACGATCCAGCATCGCTTCCCCAGATCACACAGCCCTTTTCGTCACGCGTCATTACACGCCTTATCTGTACCACGCCCTAAATTAAAAACAAAAAAAAAACCTCCCGAATCCACATAAACACGGGGTATCAGTTTAGGACTGGCCCATTTTCTTCGTCTTGTTCCGATCGCTGACTTACATTGCTTATTTCCCGATACAGCTCAGGATTTGTTGCAAAGAGAAAACAAAAAAGAGCCGGCATGGAGGCTATGTATCCGTGCCTCTTGGCTGTTTCTAGTGGGGAAACATGTATATTGCTTGTACAGCTAGTTTGCTTTTAGCCGGGCCGATGGCAAGTAGAGAGCGTAGATTGGGGGGTCAGTCGTTTATTATTGTGGGGTCAACTGTACTATCGTATTTCTAATGGGGCGATGGCGGGAGGGGCGAAGGGTGACGGTGGAGTCTGTGGAAGGGAGGAGGGGAGCTGGAGATGAGTGGGTAGGTAAGTTGGTCATGTGGGAATAAGGCGGGAGTGATATAGGGGGAGGTTTGATTTGGACGATGTATTGTCGAGAGTGATTGCATATAAAAGGGGAGGCTGGCGTGCAACCGAAGAGAAGGAGTATGAGATAGTGTTGATAACGAAGAACAAACTAACTACTTATCGACTCAACATGTTGTTTTCCAACATCTTCCTACCTACGGCGCTCCTGGCTGCTCAGGCTGCTGCCCACGGCGCAGTCACCAGCTATGTTATCGACGGCGTGACATACCCAGGGTAAACTACACCACCAGCACCACCGCCTTCAGTCTTCTTTTTCCCCACAGTCCCTTCATACGCAACAAGGCTAACACTTCCGACTCCCAGCTACGAAGGTTTCTCCCCCGCTTCCTCCCCCAAAACCATCCAACGCCAATGGCCCGACTACAACCCCACCATGAGCGTCACAGACTCTAAAGTCATGTGCAACGGCGGCACATCCGCCGACCTCGTCGCAAAGGTTAAAGCCGGCGGCAAGATCCGCGCAATCTGGAAGCAGTGGACCCACGAGCAGGGTCCCGTCATGGTCTGGATGTACAAGTGCTCCGGCGACTTCAAGTCGTGTGATGGAAGTGGAAAGAAGTGGTTCAAGGTAAACTCATCCTCTTCTCTCCCCCTTCCCTTCCCCCCTCCCCCCTCCCAACCCAAAGGAAGAGAAAACAAAAACGAAGAAGTACAACAAGAAGGAGAAGGGATAGAAACGCTGACCACGTACAAAGATCGACCAACAAGGCATGACCGCACCCCCCCTCTCCGGCCGCAACTGGGGCACCGCCTTCGTCCTCAAGAACCTCTACTGGGAATCCACCGTCCCTGCCACCCTCGCCGCCGGCAACTACCTCGTCCGCCACGAGCTGCTCGCTCTGCACCAAGCACGCAGCCCCCAATTCTATGCTGAATGCGCGCAAATCGAAGTCACGGGTGGCGGCTCCGCATCGCCGAGTGGTGACTACCTCGCTACGATTCCTGGGTATGCGTCGCAGAACGACCCGGGTATCATGGTCGATACGTACAGCAGCACGCAGACTACGTATACGTGCCCTGGACCCAAAGTGTGGAGTGGTTAAGAAAGTGATGAGAAGGAGGTTGTTGTTGAAGGGCGGATCAGGGGAAAGGGCCGGGCAGGACTGGAAAAGTAAGATTCCTAGTTCGTGAGAGGCGAAGAGAGCAAAGTGTATATAGTAGTAGAGAATAGTGCATGAATACAAGACTGCAGATGAATGATTCGAACTTTTATCTTTATTTTGGGGGGTTTTTTTTTAATCAACTATCTACATACTATCTACTATGGAAGAATACAGTATTTCATCGCATTCGTTCTTCGCTATACAAACATTTGACATGGATGAAAAAAAGAGGGGGTATAATATAAACAAAATGGCGCGGCAAACTGCAACACTTCTTCGTCTACTACTCATCATCGTCGTCGTAATCTTCTCCAACAGCAGCCCATCCGCATTGCCATCTTCTTCCCTCGCTCTCTCCGCCTGTCCTGAGCTCCCTCGCCTGGGGCCCCTCTTTCCATCTTCGCACACGGAAGTCATCGCTTACGCTGATCAAGCTACCGTTGCGTGCCCATGAAACACTCGTGACTTCTGCGTCGTGACCTCGCACAAGAGCTGTTCCATGCTCGTAGATAGGAATCGTGTCTGGGCAACGGCTGTTGGTAGTTGAACGGGATAGTAATACCCTTGATGATTTTCCGGTAAGGGTAGAAATGTCCGGGAGGTCATCTGTGTCGTCTTCGTATCGTGTTTCGCGCTTGAGAAACGTTTCATCAGTAGGGAATAACACTGGACCGCCGTCTGTGCTGCCAACTGCCAGCATCTCCGTCTGGTCGTTGCAAGTCTTTCGCAAAGATGCTTTGACGTAGAATGAACCTGCGTGGAAGCTCTGGTGACGAAAGCCGTAAATTGGCCCGAGGCCCTCTTGGCCAACACCACAGTATTTTTGTTTCGATGCGGATGTCGAAGAGAGTTCAGGAGCTACACCAAGGATGAGGTGGTTTGTGGAATAAGCATAAACGGTGTTGTCCTTGCTTAATGCGTAAAGTCGGGATGCGTCGCCACTAAGGGTAAGTGAGTTGATGGCAAAGTGTCGGTGGCGGTTATGGGATTCGGGGTGTCGTGTAGTCGCAATGGGGATGGCTGGGCCTCGCAGAGAGTATCGGCCTCTGATATCCCAGAGCTTGACACATGTGGAAGCATCCGAGGCAGTCAAAAGCAAATGCTCACGACCTTCGGGTAAGAAAGTGAGGGCAGTGACCGAGATGTCGTTTCGACGATTGATGCTCTCTACCTTACTGCTCGATGCAGTTCGGGTAGCAGAAAGTGCAGATGACGGCAGGCTAATGTCGGCATGTGCTGAGGCAAGGGTTCGGACGACGCTGGCATATGGGGCATCGGATCCCCAAGCTGAATGTATCGATCCTTGGTTGCCTTTGCATCGGAGGTCCCATATCTGCACAGCACCATCTCGGCTCGATGTGGCGACGATCTTGTCATCCCCTGGTTGGAAACGCACTTGCTTTACTGATGACTTATGTTTGGCCAAAACAGCAAGAGTCTGCTGCGTACGAACATCGACAATCTGTGCAGTTTGGTCACCAGACCCTGCTGCCAGATGAGAGTCGTCAGAGGAGAATTGCAGGTCCATGATGGCGTTAGAATGAGCTTTCCATGATAAATGTGCTTTGGAAAAGTCGCCCTCTGAATCTAACAGATGAATGTTTCCATCTTCATCTCCAATGGCGAGTAGAGAGTTGGCTATAACAGGTTAGTATTATGACAGTGATTGCTGTGCATGAAACTCACTATTGCAACTGGCGGTGCAAAAGGGCGGGGCGTCTTGGGGTAACTGATGCAAGTCGTCTGAACTACTGTAGAAGTTGGCCGTCTGGTCCTGCCATGACGCGCCGTGGTCTCTTCGAAACCCTCGACCTACACCGACGACGCCACCAAATGACCGTTGCAATGTTCTTGACGGTCCTCCCAGTTGCTTCAACCGTCGAATGGGTGTGGGGTATACGGAGGGCTCATCCAGGTCGGCCAAGTCGTCGAGTACATCAAAGGGCGGTGCATCGAGTGCTGGAGGGGTGACGTAACGCGATCGTTTCGAGGGCGACGACTGGGCAGGTGAACTCTCAGGCGACAGATAAGGTTTCCGCTTGCGGCTGCTCTGGGGGGTGCGCATCTGGTTCTCAATGTCGACAAAGTTGACTGTTTTTCGGGGGGTACTTCGCGTTGCCCGGCCACGGTTCAGAGCTGACCGGGTGATGTCCTGTAACTGACGGCCCGAGCGCGAGAGCGAAGTGCGCGAAGAGACATCTTTGGAGTGTCGGGGTGTGAAGAAGCGAGTGAAGCGCTTGGGAGTGATGGGAGGTGGCCGTTTGGGCTTCCGTGAGCAGGCTGCTGCGGATGAGGCGGGAGGCGGCGATGAGAAGAGCTCTGGAGTGGGCTCTTGGAGGAGCATGCTGCGAGGGGCGCAGGGCGACGACATGGTGTTGAGAAGGGGTGGGAGTATGTGAGAGAGACACCAATGCACAGCTCAGGTGAACACACGCGGGCAGCCAGGAAGGAGCGACCCCAATATGGGACGAATGCTCATATGATACGCCCGGCGAGGTTGGAGAGGAAGGTGCACGACCTGCGCACGTCGCGAAGAGCAGGCGCGACCGACGTGCACCGCTATGCCTTTTTGGGCCTTAAGTGGCCCGGCGTTCCCTCCAAACGCACCCTCTTCACTGGCAATGCACGGCAGCGAGGCGTTTCTGGAGCACAGAGAGTGAGTGCATGTTGATCGCAATGCTCCAATCCATCTGTATCCCGAAAATCGGCACCATGTTCATTCAACAGCGTCGTTGAGGCGTCGCGTGCCATCTCGTCATCGAGGACGTGGGAGGCGCGGCGTCCCTGCTGGCGCGGTTGGTGGGAGAACCTGGGCGCATGGACCCACCAAAAAAAGTCGAAGAACATTGCGCTTCGAACTCTTGGCGGAATCTTCACCACTCGACCCTCTCTACGC